ATATAATACTTAGATAATGTCTTTGGAAAGTTACTGATGTCATGCAAAGGTCAGAGTTTTTATATGCTTGTCATATTAAATGTAAATGTAAATCTCTAATGTAATTAATAATATATAATATAGTACACCACTTAGTTTCATCATCGGACATCGAGGCAGAATACAAAATACTATCCGTATCACCTCGACGTCCGTCGTTCCACAATTAGCATTTTAATGTCACTTTTTGCACCACGACTATGTGGAACCAGCTGCCCACTGAAGTATTTACGAACCCACTCAACTTAGGGTCCATCAAGAAAAGAGCGTATATTATTCTTAAAGGTCGACATTTGCGAGCTTCTGGCAATGTGAGTGTTCATGGCACTTAACATCAGATTAGCTTCCTGCCCGTTTTCCCCTGTTCTGTTGAAAAAAAGGCGGCAACCTACTTGCAAGGCTTTTAGTAGTGTGACTGTCCATGGGCGGTATCACTTAACATCAGGTGAGCCTCCTACCCGATTTCCCCTGTTATGTTGAAAAAAGGGCGGCAACACACTTGCGAGGCTTTTGGTAATGTGAGTGTCCATGAGCGGTAACACTTAAGCCTCCTGCCCATTTGCCCCCTTTAACTTTTTTGTTATTTTGACAACGTATTGTAATCATCCTAATGCTTAAAATTAAATGAGTACCTAGTACCGGTTCAAATAAATAACCGGTTATCTAAAACTATCGACAGTGGAACATCACTACGCTTTTTGATGAAGTTCGCGCGAGTCACAAATCAAATTGGCTCTAGTTTTCACTCGAATCAAATTTAGTCTGCACTGAACATACTTCCTAATAGAGTTCGTGAATTGTGAGAACTTTTGGATTATTCTGTCAATTATTGCGGGACTCTCTTCCCTGAGGTCGAAAACAGCATCTATGGACCTTCACTGTGGGCATTTGACACTCTCTTGGTGTTGGAAAACATCGTGAGGAAAGCAGCCTTAGTATCAACCTAAATAGGTTTTACAAAATTATGACGAAACATAACTAAAAGTTTCTTGTACGTCATGTCATACCTGTCATGTTCTAATTTCAAATATGTACGCAACTCAAACAATACATTTGAATTTAGAAAACAAGCGCATTCTGAAATCAATATTCGAATTAAGAATAATCATCAAAATCTATTTGTTATGTTCTAATTTTAAAAATGTGTTTTGTTATACCAACCTCATAAACAAAAAATAAATTTGAATTTAAAAAAGTAATGCATTTGGAAATAAATAATATTGGAATTTGGAATAGCAGCTGACAGTTGTCAGATGTTAAAAAAATAAGTCTGAATCGTGGTGAATGAAAAATAACATTGTCGAAATTATTGATTCCTTAATCAGAGCGATTAATGACGTACACATCTTCAAGAAGGGATAGACAGAGAACGATCTCCTGATCTAATCATACAATTGACATCCCAGGCTTGTTTATGGGTATTTTTGACCTGTTCCTTCTCTAGTATGTCCCATTATTTTTTTCCATACATTTGGTTGTTGAAGAGAGACTGTTACAGGGAGGGTGCTAAACAATAAATAGTTTGTATATATTGCGTAGTAAATGACACTAAACATAGACAAATAAAAAAAAAACAATTTGAATTTCGAACCATTTTATAACCAGCCATGTATTTTTCAAAAGGCGCGATTTCCCGAACGCTTTCGATATTCGATTTGGAGTGGCTCTGGTTATGACAGCTGATTACTAGTGATGTCACATCGATAAATTGAATTTCATTCCAAATTCGAATATTGCTAAAGGATTTCATTTTCCTGTTTTAAATTAGGTTCTATTGTTTTTAGTGTTCCGTGCTTATGACGTCATAGTGTCTGCCGATTGAACTTGTATTTCTTTCTATGAAGAAATTTCACTTCACGTGACTCCAGTCGTTCACCACTGACTTTTAACTTAACTTAGTACTGTATTATTTCATTCAGTAACCGATTGAATGACTAAATACTTAACTATGGCGCATGTTTGGTTCAAATTTTAAATAATTCTTTATATTTCATAAAATCATGTGACGTCATGTGTGATTAACGCATACGTATAGTCAGATGTAGATCAGGAATTACTTTATGGTACAATTATCAACCTGACAATATTCCATTGTAAGAAGACAAGCCCGTACCCGTAAAGCTTATGATATATATTAAGATATGAAAATTAAAAGAGGTATCAATTAATTTTCATTGGCAATATATTATTATTTCAATATAGAATATTTGCCGCATCCTAATATTCGAATGTTCCTTTTCTAAATTCAAATTTAATTTGGTAGTTGCTTATAACGAACTTAAATGCAAATTAAGAGTATTGAAATATAAATGAGCAAAACTTCTTCCAAATTCGAATATTTATTCCAAATCATTCTTTATAAATAAAATTTATTTTTTGTTCAATGTTGGTACAACAAAGCACATACGATAACAATGTGCTCTTTCTGCACTAACGAGATCGCAGATATGAATCAATTTTTTAAATGCCAAAACCAAATTTTCATTTTTAATAGACTCTATTGGCAAAAGCTGAAATAATGAGTTAGAGATCCCTTCCCCGCAAGTTGTGTGATTTGCTCAAAAAAAAAAGTTTTTATATTAAAATCGTGGGAAGATTTAAGAAAACAAGTGGAATGTTGGAAATGAGAATATTATGTGAAATTAAATGAAGGAAAATACAGTAAATTTAGTGACCGAAAATAAGACTCTAAAGTCGTTACCAGGCCATAAATTGTAAAAAAAAGAACAAATTTTTTGAAATTAGAACATAAAAAGAGATCTTATGAATTTTCGGACCAAAATATGACCAATAGAATTGCACCATTCGACGACACGTGTACAACCTACAGGGTATTATACAGATAATTTGTTGAAAATTTTCTTGGTAGTTGCTTCAAGAAAAGTACTAAGTAGTTCTTTTATTCATTATGAAATTCTTATTTGTTAACTGTACATTTCGTCTCATGGTGCAACTCCTATTGGCCGACATTTGGGTCGGAAAAATATTTATTTCCATCTGCATTCCTCGGTTCCTGCAAAAAATAAAGTCGTAAGTTTTTAGCGTTTAGCGGGTAGCGAACCTAACATCCTCATTTGTTTGTCATCGGGAAATTACGAACATAACAAAGAGATTTTGATGATTATTCTTAATTCGAACATTTATTTCACAATGCGCTTGTATTCTAAATTCAAATGTATTGTTTGAGTTGCGTACATATTTGAAATTAGAACATGACAGGTAGATAAAAACTTCATATACCAAACGAAGATTTCATGCATAAATCTTTAGAAATTAAAGTTGTCTTCGGGATTGCGTAATAATATTACAAGACCGACGTCATCGACGTCCGTGCTTCCAGAACTCAGCGTTTGAGGATAAGTTGTTGTTGCTCCATTATGTGGAATCAGCTGCTCACTGAAGTATTTCCGAACCCATTCAAGAACTATCGGTGTCCATACGGCGGTGCCACTTATCAGATGAGCCTCGTAGGTCTGACTGAAAGATTATATGAAGAAATTTCTATATACAGCCGTAGTAGTCACTGTTGAGCCATTAAAAAGAATGTGCAGAGATTCCTGAAGGTCCAATAAAGACTTGTTCAGTATAAATTGTTAAATACATATAGTTCAGCAATAGCCGGAATAATTACTTAGGTACTTAGTTTGTCATTAGGAACGCTAAGATAAGGATGTTCTGATTGCTGTGCTCATGAAGTCTCCACTTTCGTGAACTTTGTGTGGTATATACTCATTTAACGATAGAGTCGTTAACATAATATAGAATGAGGAGAAAGGGACTGTGCCAAAAATCAATCTGGAACTGTTTAGGAAAAACACCCTTTGTATGTCAATTAAGGTTTACAATAAATTATGAAAAGAATTAAGAGATCTTCCGACTAGTCTTTAAAAAGCGTCTTGGTGTATGACTTTTGAGGGAAAAAATGAAATTCAATAAACTGATTATTTGCGTGAGACACTGTAGTTGATATATATTTAATAAACTATGATATGTACGATACAAATAATATAAGAATTGACTTTGACTAATAATGTAAAATTCCTTAAGACAAATTTGCGCGCCATTATGTGTGGCAGAATATGCGAACTTACGATTGTACCACCTTACACGCTTTTGTACCATATTCTTGCAATAAATAAATTATTATTATAAAACTTAGTCAATAATATTGTATTCTTAAACAGAACACAGTCGGGGATTGAAAGCACGACTTCTAGGGGCTTTAAATAATAGGGGATTTTATTTTTACTCTAAAGTAACCATTCATAGTAATAATGATAATTAATTAAATGCCAGGTGCCAACTTAAATCTTTAAGATAGATAGTACCGGTGAAGATGGCAATTCTGTCGCATAACGTCTTGTGCAGTAAACGCATATGTTTTATCTAATATATAAAATTCTCGTGTCGCGGTGTTTGTAGTTAAACTTCTCCGAAACGGCTTGACCGATTCTCATGAAATTTTGTGTGCATATATATGTCTGAGATAACATCTATTTTTCATCCCCATAAATGTTAAGCGTAGTCCACCCCTAAATTATTATTTTTTAATTTTTAGATTAATTTTTTTTTTTAATTTTTTTATGATACAGGATTAAAAAATACATAGAACCCCTAATTTTCACCCCTCTACTATCAACCCCTATTTTTTATTATAAATGATATACATGGCAAAAGGACGTTTGCCGGATTAGCTAGTTTTTTATATTATCATTAGCACACTATACAGTATGTAAACAGTGTTTATATGTGTGAGTATATACAAATACATGGAGTGATCATATACTGGTACTTGATCATCTATTGGGGCTTTTACCTTAGTAATAATTAATTTACAAAGAAGTTTCACTTCTGACATGTGTACTTTGTACGCACGCACTTTTTTTTTCAGATACAGCTTCCTGATACTCAGAGGCGCATAAATCAAATCCTAATCTTTAACGAATTTCTAATTATTTCAGTACCAATAATCCCGGAGTTCCTGTACGACATTCAACATCCGGACGCGCCCCTCTCCATGGCGTTGGAAGACATCACCACACCTGTACCACCCACGGCACCCTACTGCCCCTGCCTCAATGTCACCAGCGTACCACTGGAGAACGTCACGCATAGTAAGTAATTTGAGGCACTTCGCCCGACTCTTTTTGACCTTCAGATGCCCTTTCATCTTTAACCACTTTCTGAAAAACAAATATTTTAATCTTCTTCTCTTGTCCTATGATGAACCGGGAACTATACTGCTATGTAGAATTTATTATTCTATGTATCAGGAAAAAATAAAAAAATAAACAAATTTCGTAAAATTCATTGAGGTAACACAATGTACACTTATGAACGTCAATAAAGAAATACATATTAAATGCTTCTAATTAGACATTCATTGCCAGTTCTCAAATCAAGGGCTTAGAACGGACGAGAAGAACTGACAATAAACTCTCCGCCACTCTTTCTATTGCCAAGTTTTTTGTTTTACAAATTTTTTTAAATAGCTGCAACCATTACACCATGTTCCACATGACATCTTTGAGTAATTAACTATACTAATAAAAAATATTATATTACAAGAAAAAAAACAAAGATTTGTCCTCTATCAGCAGTTGGCATGGTGAAATAGGAGCACGCACTTACATTCTCGTGGGAACAACACGCAAATACATAGTCGAAATAAATAACATCACGGCTATGTGTGTCAAATGGAAGAGATTGGCTGCCCACGACACAGAGAATCCTGTGACACACTTTCTCATTTTACTGTACATTCTTTTCCATAAAGTTTTTCTTCTTCTTTTCAATAAGTTTTCTTATTCTTTTTGTTATTACTATAAGATATTATTGTAACTAAACTTAATGAATGGAAAATATATTTTTGGGTTTTGCCACGGGTCGTGAATCTCTTTTCTGAGTCTCACCCTTGGTCCACGCTTAATCTTGACTGAATCGACATAATAGAACAGCTCAGCTTCTTCTGGCTATATTACAGAAATATTTTTTCACAGTGAACATCACAGCCCAGAAGGAGGCCCGGCATCAGGAGCTGATACATGAGACAGTGGCCGTCGGTGTCATGTTCGCGAGCAAAGCCATAGTGCAACTGATAGCTAACCCATTCGTTGGACCTCTGACCCACAAGTAAATACCAATAAAATTCTCCATTATATTATTTATAAGTCAAAATAACTTTATTCATATAGGTATACAAGTACACTAATGAACGTCAGAAAAGAAGTTAAGTTTCAGTTCGATGGTCAAGGGCGTAGAGCGGGCAAAAAGAACAGGCAAGAAACTTTTCGCCACTCTTTTTTATCGCCAAGTTTTTGAGTCATACAAATTGTTTGAACTGGAGCAAATCAATCCCAAGGATTAGGATCTTTTAAGTATCGTCAAATTTATAAAAAGCTTTATTGATTAATTTATGTTTAACGAGGGCATTGAATTTATTCAGTGATAATTCTCTAATTTCGCTTGAGAGTTTGTTGGAAACGAATACAATTTCCATTTAGGAGTGGTTTATCTTCTGGTTCCTGGTTAGTCATACGCTTAATTAGTTCTGTATCGAGTATTATACTGGTGAAAGTCACCATTTGTTTTGTCCTGCCTTGCGATTCTGTAACTCACTTTTCGAACTCACACAGCGGATTTCGGCTTTCGGCTTCGTCCATTGCCACCGTGGTGGGAACAGGGGGGAACAACCGCGAAAGGGAGGAACTCCCACGCGGCACCTCGCGCCGTCTTTCTTGCGTGGGGGCGGACACTTTAATAAGAATGTTCATGTATAAAAAAAGCTATTTCAGGGATTTTAATCGAGAATTGTTTTTATAATTTGCTTTGACAAAAACTCTCTACGATTGGATGTAATATATTAGGGGTAAAGTGGAATCGTGAGCGCACTATCACGAAACTATTTCGCTTTATTTGTTTGTTATTAATTTTGTTATCTGGAGAACCGCTAGACAGTCATCGTTATTGTATATGAAATTTAAGAAAAATCGACGAAAAAAAATCCAATACAAAATGGTAATCGTTTTCGTACCTGTCAAACATGTAATCATCCCGTAGATTCGGTAAAATTCCCTCAAATCAAACAACGTAAGTTTAGAGAGAGTTTTAAGGGTAAAAAACGGTTTATCTCGATTTCCGGCAAAACTAAAAGTCCTATCGAAGAAAGTTAAATGGCAAAGTTGTAGGTAATAAAAAGATCTAAAACTTTTGTATTCACACATTTTTCACATAACCTCAAAATAATAATAATAATGTCAGTAAAGAAAAATGTTTAGATGCTTGTGTTAATTTCTTAATAAAGTAGCAAACTGAATATTTATTTATTATATTACTTTCATAATGAATTAAGTTCCACTTTATAGGTGATAGTAATAATAATTAAAAATTAATAAATAGAAAATTAAAACAAATTTAAAAAGTTTGATCCTCGTTGCAGTGTACCCAAAGCTGGCAGCATTTTCTCGCTGTATCGCAATATTTATACGTTGAGCGAGGAGCACCAGCTCGCGGGTCATCGGTACTATCTACCAGGCGCCAACTAAAATCTTCCCAGCAAGAGTCTCTACTCCAAAGAAACAAAATAAATTAAATTCATCTAATCTGTAACGTGCCATTAATTTGTTGTTAGGGGGTAGAACGCCGGGTAATCTAGATATTTATTATATTTGTACTGGACTTAATAATAGTCTACAACTCACATTGTACAGAATGAACATTGATTACAAATTATCAATGTTAATTCTGTAAATTATCAATTGCAAATTAAAAATCCAATTATTGCACTGCAATAGTATATACATACATATATATATATTTTTTTAAAGACAATTCACACCAATTGACCGAGTCCCATGCTAAGCTGGTGAAGCTTGTGTTATGGGTACTAGGCAACGGATATACATACATATTATAGATATATAGACATATAAATACATATTTAAACACCCAAGACCTAAGCACAACACCAAAATGCTCATCACATCGATGTTCGTCTCAGCCGGGGATCGAACCCGGGACCCATGGATTCGTAGTCAGGGGTACTAACCACTAGACCAATGAGTCGTCCAAATATGAACTATAATAACATCATTTTCAGAATCGGATACAGCGTGCCCATGTTCACTGGATTCATCTTGATGTTTCTCTCCACGATAAGTAAGTTTCTTGTCAATTAGACTGTATTAAAAGTAATAATAATACCATAAATCATATGTTACACTCTGACCACACAGGTCCGAATGACCGGTCAGGTCTCTTAATGGTGTATTTGCACTCACAATTGGGCTTTCAAGGGCGTCAATAGGCAGAAAGGGGCAGAAAGGGGCAGTAGCTTCCCCTCTTGAGAATTGAAAGATTTAATATATTTAAAAAACATCAGAGGTGCTACAACCTCTATAGGGCCTCAGATTTCTGAATCTGTTTCATGATAATTTTAAATCTAATAGGCAAGGTGGTGATCAGCCTCCAGTGCCTGACACACGCCGTCGACTTTTTGGGTGTAAGACATGTCGGTTTCCTCACGACGTTTTCTTTCACTGTTCGAGCGAATGTTAAATGCGCATTGAAAAGTCCATTGGAGCACAGCTGGGGATCGAACCTACGTCCTCAGGGATGAAAGTCGCATGCTGAAGCCACTAGGCCAACACTGCTCCATAATATCATTATCATCATATCAGTATAGTTATTATGTTTTATTTATTATACAAGAAGAACAAGTTTACTTGCATTTATCTTCATTTTCTATACCTACTTCTTTTAGCGCCCTAATTGACACAGCGAAGCCCTTCCTAGGGCTTAGGAATTCATAATTTGTTGCAGTTTTAAATATTATATATTTTTTCAGTATTTGCATTCGGTCGATCCTACAGCGTGTTATTCATTGCCCGCGCGTTGCAAGGTATTGGTTCGTCGTGCTCTTCCGTTTCCGGTATGGGGATGTTGGCTGAGCGATATCCGGATGACAAGGTAACCTTTTCGATAAATACTTTATAATATGCTACACCAATAATGAAAGTCAAAGTAAAAATATCTTTATTCATGTAGGTAAACAAGTACACTTCTGAACATCAGAAAATTTGTTAAATTTATTCTAAATTTACATTTACTACCAGTTCGCAAGTCAAGGGCGTAGAGCGGGCAAGAAGAACTGGCTAGAAACACTCCACCACTCGCAATCTCGTAATCGCTAAGTTTTGTGTCATACAAATTGTTTGAACTGCAGCAAATCAATCCCAAGGATTAGGATCATTTAAATATTCGTCAAATTTATAAAAAAGCTTTAACGAGAGTTTTGAATTTATTCAGTGATAATTCTTCAATTTCTCTAGGGAGTTTGTTGTAAAAACGAATACAATTTCCATATAAGGATTGGTTTATCTTCTGGAGCCTGGTTGGTCGTACGCTTAAATTATTTCTGTTTCGAGATTCGAATTTTTCGAATTTTATACTGGTGAAAGTCACCATTTGTTTTTTTATTATATGTTAAAAGGCTCCAAAAATTATTTCACCATAAGATTATCTACATTATATTTGATGACCATAATGAAATTACGATAGTGTATATATAACCCAAGGAAAGAGACCAATAAAGATGCCTATATACTGCGGAAACTGTTGACAAAGGAGCAAAGAGATGTAGAACAGTACATCTACAGTAGATCTACTACAGTTTTATAGAAGACATCAATATCTCAAAAAAAAAAACATATCTCAAAAAAAAACATGTGTTTGTACATAAGGTACACGCGTTAGAAGTTATACTTCTTTGGCGTATGGAAAAAAAATAACTAAAATGCAGTAGTGATTAACGATAAATATTAAAATTAATCAATAAAATTATTATTAGTAAATACTATCACCGTCGTATATGAAATTGATTTAATAAAAACACCAAAATAATATTTATTTATTCACATTGTTTAATTTTACTGTTACGAAACACGTGTTCTAAATATAAAAATACTAGAATATACAACTTGAACATAGTTATTATCGATTTTCATGCCACCTAGAACTAACTTCATTCTGTTAATTTTGTGTAACGGTGCGCGCGCATCGTTAAATTTCACTCTCATAAATTTTTCATAACGCGCCTATAACTTAAATAAAAAGTAAAAAATAAATCATAAAATTAACACATTGGATATATAAACAAAAAGTTTCACTGATAAACATTAGATACAATACAAAACATGACAGCAGAATGTTACTGTAGTAGACAATACAACACAAAATCAGAACAAGGAAAAACAATATTCTTAAATGGGAAGACTCTTGTTATGTCCATACTCCATCATATATCGAGGCAATGTTATTCTATTGCAGGAACGTGGTAACGCAATGGGTATTGCTTTAGGAGGTTTGGCCTTGGGCGTTTTGATCGGACCACCATTCGGCGGACTCATGTACGAGTTTGTCGGCAAGACAGCACCCTTCCTCATGCTGTCTGCTCTGGCTTTGGGAGACGGATGTAAGTGTACACGTGGTACTGCCAAATGTATTAAGATAAAAAACGAGCAGTTTTAGCCTATTGAAACGAATAAACTACTGCCTTGCGATTCTGTAACTCACTTGGCATTCTGATAAGGAGGGAGCTTTTAGTTTATTGTTTATCAGAATGCCAAATCGTAAAATGACTGCTTCACGACTGATTTGAGCGCGACCCCGTCGCGGGTTCGAAAAGTGAGTTACAGAATCGCAACGCTGGACTGGAAATTTATATATGTTGCTGAGCGCTGAACCCTGAAAGGTTTTATTGAGAGATAAAAAGATAAAGATACTGATAAAGGTTTTATCAGTCATAGGGTTGTATAGCAATATGTTAGTATGTATTAAAAAGGTAGGCTTAGTAGAATCATAGGCGAAACGAAGTTCGCGGGGACAGCTAGTTCTTTAATAATCACGAAACATAATTTAAAAGTGTTAAAAACTTTAATGAAAAAACTTAGTTATCAAAAATATAATAACGTTTTCAAAGGCTCAATTTAATTTTGTGTATGCGACGAATAGACAAAATAAATTGATCAACATATATTTGACCCATACGATTTTTTCAATACAAAGGCTCCCCTCGGGAGTTATGTGCGATATTCTGGGCTGCTTCTGAGCTGTGGCTGTTAACTTAATGTTCTGTATGACCATTTAACAATTTGTATAAGAACGTTACACCGGCGAGATCTCCAATCGTAATGACAAGTCGCTGATGGTACTATGAGAAAATACTGTACGCATTGCAATGTACTAGGGCAATACAACAACGCGACAGGTTTTTGTATATGATTTGTGTATATAATCTGTTCGCAGTGCTGCAACTTATGATCCTTCAGCCTGGAGTTGTGCGTCAGGAAACCGATCCACCATCACTCAAAGCCCTCATCACTGACCCATACATCTTGGTCGCTGCAGGTATTTTAATCATATTACCTTCCAAATATTCTTTTCCTACAGGACTTTATTTATTTGTATAACAAATTTAATTTTGGAGGACGATGAGTCTTTCACTGGATCGGTCCCTCGGGTTGGTGAACGGTCACGTGATCTTTTGTCTTCTGTGTTACCAACCACGATCAGTTTCCCCAAGTTTTCAACGCCTCTGCGCGTAAATGTAGGAAATATAAGTAATAATAAAAATAAATCTATTTAAATAAATATCTTAGTTGTCAAGATGGTTGAGTGAAGTGCTAGTAACCGCGGGCTTCAGCTAGTAAAGCTAAAAATCTTGAAACCTACTCATTTTTGATGTGAAACTTCTGTAGGCGCATGAGGGTAAAATTTTTATGGAACGTCACGAAGATGTGCAGCGTTTTTGTCGAAGAAAAGGTAGAACGGGATTGAGACCGATTGAGAGAGAGTGAGAAGGGTGAATTTATAAAATTTCGTAAAGAGAATTTATCAAATATTAGTATTTTATATTTAATGCAAAATAATTTATTGAAATCTCAAATGACGAATTGTAAATTAAAATGCCACGTGTTTTATGATCAAAGAAATAAATTAAAAAAAATATATATAATAATTGTATTAATTTTCGACACTTTTATTATTTTAATGACAATTAAATTCATTAAATTCCTAACATATGTCCCCTTTTTTTTATTTGGATAGTACATTAAACGAGCCTCAGCAACGCAAGTCCAATTTATATAAAATACTAGCCGTTTCCCGCCCGCTTTGCTGGGCGAATTAAAATATGAAATAAATAAAATTTTGCTTATTATTTTTTTTTCATATTTTATATTATTCTTCTTTTAACTTCCCGCTAAGAAAATGGAGTTTTTAGCTGATGTTGACGTTTTGAGGTTCTAGGAAGCCTCCCCGAATTTTTCCGCGGTTAAGTCCGTATGTATAAATTTTCATAAAAGTAAAAAAAAAAGGGACGTTGGAATTTAAAAAATAAATAGCCATAAACCATCTGCTGAAAAATGGCTGCCATTCGATGCGCATGCGCATTTTTCCTATATATATACACAATAGATATAATTTATACTTACTTATACTTGCGCTTTATAAATTCCAGGAGCAATAACCTTCGCAAACGTGGGCATAGCTATGCTGGAGCCAAGTCTACCGATCTGGATGGCAGATACCATGGAAGCACGTCGATGGCAGCAGGGTGTCGCGTTTCTACCTGCCAGCATCTGCTATTTGATTGGTAAGAATTGTTTTTAAATATTTCATATGATTTATTTTTTTACGAAATTCCTGTATCAACCTCGACGTCGTTCCATAACTTAGAAATCAGCTGCCCACTGAAGTATTTCCGAACCAATTCGACTTAGGGTCCTTCAAGAAAACAGCGTACCATATCTTCAATAGCCGGCCTTGCGAGCCTTACCATTATCCGCTCTAGTACAATATAATACTTAAAAAAATATATACATGTGTTTTTACGTGTGAATACTTAATGAAAACTGGCAAATTGAGAAAACAAATCATTATGCTGGGCGCAAATGCAGTGTTGGCCTAGTGGCTTCAGCGTGCGACTCCCTTCCCGGGATCGTTCAAGTATTACGTCACGCAATTATTGACACCCCCCCGCCCCCCATGTAACGCGCCGTAACGTTTTTCTGTACACAAGTACAGTACTGTACCCAAGTATAGAAAAACGTTTCGTGACCACCTAGTGACTCTTTATACCTAAAAGTTATCATTTTGTGGTGTAAAGCACTGGAAAGTCGAAAATAATATTAAAAATAACGCGTAATTCAGTCCCCGCCCCGCATCGTAACGTTTTAGAAAAGGACCCCCCCACCAAAATTCGTTAAGTAATACTTGAACGCACATCCGGGGATCGAACCTGTGACCCCCCGGGTGTGCACCAATGGACTTTTCTATGCGCATTTAACATTCGCTTTAGCAAACATCGTGAGGAAATCGGCTTGCCTTAGACGCAAAAAGTCGAAATGATCATAAGACAGATATCTGAGGCCCAGACCCATGTAGCGCCACTGTCTTTTATGTGTTTTAACTTTAAACAAATTATATATTGTTTAATAATGTAAAATGTTTTAGGCACAAACCTTTTCGGACCTCTTGGCCACAAAATGGGACGCTGGCTGGCCGCCTGCTCTGGACTAATTATCATTGGATTGTGTTTGATTCTGGTAACATATTTTACTATAATTTAATTTACTAAGTGTTAAAACTATTCTGGCAACTGGAGTTGTAAATTGCGAAATTTAAATACGCATACAATAACGCTCCTTACAAACGTTGTGTAAAAAAAAACATGGCGATTAAAAAGAGTGGCGGAGAGTGTATTGCCAGTTCTTCTCTTCCGTTCTACGCCCTTGATTTGAGAACTGGCAGTAAATGTAAAATTAGAAGCATTAATATGTATTTCTTTACTGACAAGTCAATGTGTTACCCATATGATTAAATGATTTTTGAATTTGAATATTTCATCAGCACCACTTTGATGGCTAGGCTGTGACATCTTCCATTTGACATAATGATTTTAGCTACTTGATTTAATAAGTTCCACAATTTAGGAATACTTTCTGACCATAGAACAGGTTGAGATTGATAGTGAATGTATAAAGTTTTGAATCGTTAGTGAAAATTTTCTTTTTAAGATAGTGGTTTTGGCTTTTTCTCTTACCCTCTCTTCTTTGCCGATGAGTAGGGATTAATAATTTAATGACGTTGAATAAGTGATACCTGTATCTTATGTTCCATAATAAACATATTTTATGTTTGAAGTTATACTTCTTTAGGCGCGTTATGAAAAATTGATGAGCGTGAAATTTTACGATGCGCGCACACCGTGACTCAAAATTAACAGAATGAAGTTGCTCACGGAAGATGCTACGGCATTGGACATAATTTAAAAACAACATTCGAATATTAATATAATTTATGTTACACTTAATGTAAGAGAATAATAATAAATATTTATTTATTAAATTTTTCAAATGTAAACTGAACTTTATTGACTATAATGACTCCTTTTGCAGTCTTTGATTATTTAATTGTAATTAATTATTTGCATGCAATCAAAAACTATTTTTAATAATGCCAAAGAACTTCTTACTCGCGTACAAAAGTACACGCACCCATTTTTTATTTTATGGAAGGAGAAAAAGCATTTGGGCAAGAAAGTGCGTTTTTGGGTAGCTTGTTAATATTTCTGCTGTTATGTCTACCATTTTATTAGTGGTATTTCTGATATCTGATAAAATATCTGATAAAATATTTTTATATCTATGGTAAAACTGCTATCAATCTCCAGATCCCAATGGCCCGTAAGCTGGAACACTTGATAATCCCGAACGCTGGTCTCGGCTTCGCGATTGGCATGGTCGATTCATCCATGATGCCGGAGTTAGGTTTCTTGGTTGATATTCGTCATGCTGCAGTATACGGATCGGTCTATGCAATTGGTGACACTGCGTTCTGCTTGGGATATGCTGTTGGTAAGATATTTTAAATTAGATATTTTTTTGGACAATTGACACCAATTTACCTAGTCCCATGCTAAGCTGGTGCCACTTCATCCGTTAGGTCGTAGGTTCAATCAGCTGTACATACATTATAGACTTGGTGTCATATGAACACATTTTAAACATTCCTCGAACGGTGAAGCACAACACCAAATTGCTGAGCAAACCGACGTCGTCTCAGCCGGGGACCGAAAAGTCGACCATGGCGTGTGGCAGGCACTGGAGGCTGATCGCACTAGACCAATGATCATAATAATATATGAGACAGTGTTGGCCTATGGCTTAAGTAATTATTATCTTTAGTTCTACATAATCATGTATTTAATTATATTTGAATGCGCATGAACATTCACTGCGAACGGTGACGGCAATATCAAAGAGGATACCCTTCCAAATGTGCTGCATAGAAGTCGCGAGGACATGCTGAAGAAGCTGCATGAGGTATTGCTCTGGCGCCTGCTAGTTGTCATTGTCATTTTCACACGTGTATATGCTTCCTATAACATATTTTACTATGAGCGGACCATATCATGTAAAACAAACATATATGTTTTGATGCATTATTCGTGTTATATTTCCAGGTCCAGCATTCTCCGGCACCCTCGTGAACAGCATCGGTTTCGAGTGGATGTTGGTAATCATCGCAATACTCAACTTTGCGTATGCGCCGGTTCTGTTGCTACTACGTTCGCCACCCGCTATCAATGAGAAACAGGTGATAACTGTATTCCAAAATATTAATTTTTATTTCATATACTTGAGAAGTACAAAAATGTAAATTCTATATTAGGGTGTGTAGCGCCACATGATTATTATTATATTTTTTTGACGTGACAACGTCTAATAACATTACTCATTTACCCATTACACCCATTGTCCCGTTACGTCGATTGTCCCGTTACGCGCATTGTACGCTTGCACCGCATCTATCTCTCTTCCACTCGATGGGCGTATGCGTCCGAAGATTCACTCCTTCTTTGTATAAATACAAAATAGTGATAATTCAATAAAAAGTATGCAATCATGGCATCAATGTGTTGTTAAACTATCATCCCTCGACTTTACCATCTTAAAATTTTTCTAGAATAAAATTTACAAAAGAGAGTGGTTACCATAATCCCTCCATAGGGTCCTTTCAAAAAGTTCTTAAAAGGTCGATGCAACAAGCTTTCTCAATCTGAGTGTCCATGGGTATTATTCGAATATAATGTGTTGCCCTTTTATTACAAGTAAATCGCAGAACAGAAGAATATTTAAAACTGTTTTAAAAGGAGTAATATTAAGGCTATTAGCCTCACTGGAGTACCCGTATAGGTTCGCCAAGGAGAAGTGTATATCGTTTCCAGTAAATATATCTTCTTATTAAAATAGAAACTGTAGTAGGTGGTATGGTCGTGAAGTGTACAAATTTTTATATAAATAAATGATATTTTGATTTCAGAGTTTGATTATCAGCGAGAAATCATCAGTTCGCTACGTGAGCTACCAAAACGAGGAAGAAGAATAAAGCGGCCATCTTGTCCGCCAGCTCGGCCGCCATCTTGTGACCCGCCCGATTTATTTTTAATGTCAGAGGTATGGAAGTAATTTTAGACGTCGAAGAGTAATTTACGATTGTATATGTGTAGCCGCTATGACCAATTTTACATTAGCTTATTACAACAAATATACCGCTTTTTATTGCAAATGTGACTTTGACAATATTGTTTCATCCCGTTTTGACAATTCAATCACTCGTTGATTTTGCACGTTTTCATAATTGGACCAAGATACAATATTTTTTATATGCCATCCTTATGCTTATAACGTAAGAAATATATACAAATAGGAGTTGTAGTTGTCAAATATGAATGCATTAGAATATTTCAATATATAATCTATTCAAGTAAGTAACATATATATCATGTTCAAATATTATATTGAATTTTAGTCATAGTTATATCTATGGCGCCATTTGAAACGTAGGTAATGGAACTATATTTCACTACTGTAAGGCACAGATTGACGTTGTATTAATATCTGCTTCGTAAATTATTTTCCCGCCAAAACAAAGCTACCAGCGCCTCTAACGGTGAATAATGGAATTATTTTACGATTTTGTCAGTAATAACAATAGCGGCTAAATGTTATCGTTAACGGTAAGATAATTTAATAGCCAATGATTTCATGAAACTATTTAAAAATCGCTCCCTTTTGTCAGATGAACGACAAATTCATGAAATTGCATGCGGTATATCTGTCCCTATTTAGCTTGTAATAATGAAAGAGCTAGATATTGTGGTGGTTTTCTAGGACAGAATATACATGCACTTGTTGTGTTAATCTGTGACCTTTAATCTTTCTATTTACGTATGGCTGCGTCAAGTAGAAGGGGAGAAGTATGTTGAAATTTGGTCTGTTACATCTTCAATCTTTCTAACGATTGTACATGTTATATTCAAGTTGTGAGTTCTTGCTGCTTTAGACATTGCTTGCGGCAACGTGAAACAATGTAAGCCGTAGAACTTTTGACGTAGCACAACTTTATACCATTTATTAGAGTTTATAATCAACATATAAATTGTCTATTGTATGTCTTAATCGTATAGCTTTTAATCAAAATATATCATAATCTTAAAGTAATTAAATATGACAATTGACAAAGAGGAAGAAGCGATTTGACAAATCAATTGTCAAAATGTTTTGTAGTATTTCATTATCAAATATCGTCGACATAAATCATTTAAGTAGATATTTGAATAATCACATATACTTCCATAAGTAGCTATCTTTAGTCGAATTCATAATGTATTCATATTTGTATTTTAGATCTGTAATACAATAGCTGGTATGGACCTTATTTACTAGTAATGATAGCCAAAAATATGTATTTTTTATTATTCGCCCAAAGGGCAGGCTTAAGCCTTTCGACCATAGTCCTTCTAAGTTTAAATTTAATTCCACAGAGACCACTAAAAACTCTAACTGTGAAGGGGGAAGGGGGGGGGAAATCCCTTTTATTAATTTTGTCGTAGTCATTCAACGTTACCACAGATTATACAAGACTTGTTTTATCATGACAATATTTATATCAAATTTGAATATATCTATATTATAATGTTTTTTATATATTATTTAGATTAAGAAGCAGCGAACGCTGAAAGTGTATGGTAGTAATAATAGATTTGAAGATAATTAATATTTTATTAAAAATTTAAATAGGTAAGAGCTATTTTGTCGTCTATATACGCCTAGTTCCCATATTTTACCTACGGACCTTTGTAGACGCCGTGTTGAAACCGTAAATTAAATACTGGAATCGGCAACTCGTGATAGTTTTAGTGATATTTATCGTGGAATTTATCATTAGAATATTAATGAATGCTTTGTGTAAAAGGTGTTTTTTTAATTCTTTATTAATGTGGTTGTCTATGACGTATATTGTTTATTATATTGTTTATAGTAATGTCTATAATGTAACGGTGTTTTGTTTATATTCAAAGTTAGTTTTTTCTTATTGTTTAATTCTTGTTATTTACTTTAAAACAATGTATTGTGCCTGTTTATTAGATTAATAAAATGTGGGTATATGAACTGAATTCTTGTTTTATTTTAGTTTGTACCCTCGTAATTCGTTGAACTATCCAAACAAAAATAAATCAACATCGTGAGAATTGTGCGGTTAACCAAAAAAACACATACTTTATATTGTAATACTAGCTGGCCTGGCGAACATTCGAATTCTTTATTTTTGAAGTTATACTTCTTTAGGCGCGTTATGAAAAATTGATGACAGTGAAATTTTACGATGCGCGCGCACCTGAGACACAAAGTTGTCAGTGTGATTATAGCGTGCGCGAGCGAGATGGGAATAAGACAATCTACAAGTAAAAAGAAATAGAATATGCGTGAAGTTAGCAGCTATGCCAAGAATGTTGAATGAACATAATGACATTTACCTTTTAAACAAATAAAGGAGTTTTAATTATTTTTTCAAAGAAATTTAGCAATGCTTTTTCACAAAGACCTATTGTTAATTAGTTAAAAGGTTATGAAACATACGTAGTTATTAAATTGAATGAATAAAATAATAAATTATAATAATTATTGTATTGTCTTTGATTTACATAACCTTTACACATTTAAAGAAAAAACTGTTTGACCGGATTGAAGTTATGTATTATTATAAATTTACAACTATTTAACATAATTTTAAATTTATCCGACGTTTCGCGTGCTTTACAGCGTGCGTGGTCACGGTGACCTGAAATTTATAATAATACATAACTTCAATCCGGTCAAACAGTTTTTTCTTTAAATAATAATAATTATTAATTAATAAAGTATACTAAATATTAAATATTATTAAATTATTAACGTTAAATATTTGTTATTAATTATTTAATATTTAAAAAAAATAAAGAAAGCCAAAGAAGTATAACTTCCTTCCAACCCTTTTTTTTTAAAATACTTATTCTGCTATTCGGGACACCGGTCTAGCTAGTAAGATAAAAAAAGAAAGTTGATAAGACAACAAATACATTATGTCAAAAAATAAAAATTTACCTTCCCGGAACCCCTCCACTAACACTTGAACTTTATGATATGGTATTAAAGTTCAAATTGACTTTTAAGTATTATTACGAATAATATGTTGTATGGGAATATAGAAAAGTGTTGTTTTTAGGCGTTTTCACTCAATTTTTTTTTTTTTTCTCTTCGTAAGAACCATCCTCGTACTTCAAGGAATATTATAAGAAAATAATCAGACAAATCGGTCAAGCCGTTTTCATGTTATGTCGTGACAACGGAAAACGGGTTTCAATTTTATATAATATATAGATGAGTAAAAATTAAGCTAAATCACGTAAATTGATTTTTCCTAAGGTGGTATCGGGTAGAGGAAACGTTATCTTCCCTTCGCACCATTAGGGCCGGAATCCCTCAAGGCTCGGTCCTTGCGCCTCAGCTCTTCACGCTATTCACTGGCGACATTCCGAGAGCTTCCAATGAGGAGCTATACCCGCAAAGACAGCGATGCCTTCGTGGACAGGTTTCAGACCTACTACTTACTTCGCTCACTCCACTTCCGTCGTGCCCTTCAGGGGATTCACCACCCCGTGACGACCTAAGCCGTGGTCCAAGTCTCGCAGACGCCCTTGCGCTAGAAAGTGGTCATTCCGGCAGAGCTCCGCTCAAACAGCCCGAGCTGAGCCGTCAAGGCCCTTCAGGCCAACAAAAACATAGGGGCACTTATTTCCAGTCAGTGGATAGTCTGCATAAAAACTGTATTACACTTAGACTAAACCCAGGATTATTATATTTATTTATTATAATTAAGTTTCAATAAAGTTACATTGTCTCTGACACAGGTAGACAAAGCTTAAATAAAAAGGCAATTACAGATCGTGATTTGTAAGTCAAATATGTACTATAGAAACTTAAATTTCGTAGGGAATAATTAAAACAATTTTGAAAATATATTTTTTTAATAAACTAGTCTATTGGTAGTTGTTATGTTTTCCCTGGAAAGCGAACGCGTAGCCTTCGCCAAACGAGTGTGGACCTCTGTTTGGTTCGACGTCATTTTCGCGGTACTGAAAAAACCATCAAGTTTACACAAAAATACAAGTCTTCAACTTTGAAGTTCCCTTTGAAGTAGAGACTCTTGGGCCGTGGGGTTCAAGAGCCCAGCCGCTAATTAAAAATTTAAGTTGGCGCCTGGTAGATAGTACCGGTGACCCCAGAGCTCGCTCAACGAATAAGTATCGTAATACGGCGAGGAAATACTGCCAGCATTAAAGGTACATTCCCACAGGGACAAAACTTTTTTGATTTATTTTAGTGCTCCATTAACCTATTTTTAATTATAATTATGTAGGTCATTTATAATTAGTATTACCAGTAAATATTTAACCTATTGATTAAAGAGTTCGTATATATATTATATGAAATTATATATAAAAAAAAAACATATATATATTAAATCTTTTGACCATCGCTGTATGGATCGAAATGATGAAACATTTTTTAATAACTTATAAACTAAACCAAATGTATATAAAATCTATAAAATACCATAGATAAAACGCAGCACTTGCCCGTTACAATAGACAATAAAAGTTCTGTTAACTATGGTTAATTTACTACGCGTGTATTAGACTGTGGTATTCTAAAAACTTACCTGGCCATCGGATTGGCCATCAGGCCTCCAGTTCTGTACATAATATTGCCCCCCTGCCCCACGTGGTTCTATTGGACCCTGAAATGATTTCGTAAAAAATTTAGTCCCTGATCAAACCACCTTCTACCATCTTGGGGCAGACGTAATTATACTTTTGATACTTTCGTCGTCCAGTCTTTGGGGACATTACTTTGATTATTGGCGCGTTAGGGAAAAATTATGAGAGTAAATTTTTACGATGCGCGCACACACCGTTATATTTATAGTTTGAGAGAGCCGTTAGCCTCTAGATTTATAATAAAATAAAAAATAAATCAAAGACGGTAAGTCAGTTAAAGATTTAAATGAAATCCTACATACCTGATTAGGTTCAGGGCGTTGCTGACTGTACTGTGGCGTCTCATATTGTCTTCGTTGCTGATCGTACGCCTCCTGGTAATATGCATCTGGAAGAATACATTATTTTGGCAACCATAGTAGTTCAACAAGAAATTTTTGCCTGTGCGGTAGGCTAAATAAAAGTGATGCTAAAAACAGCTCTTCGTAAACTATCATTCTTAACTTATAAACATCTATATAAATAAAAATGAATCGCAAAATATGTTGCTAAGTTTAAAACTTGAAGACGGCTAACACAATTTAAATGTATTTTTTATTCCTTGAACTCTGAGAAAGGTTTTTATGGAGAGAAGAATGGGAGAAATGGGTTTATATTCCAGAAAAGTGACCTTTCTATGGGGTAGCGTAGCAAAATGTTCCATATAACAGCTAAAAGGCTGAGTAAAAATCATATTATGGCGAAACGAAGTTCGCGGGGTCAGCTAGTAATATATATATATATAAGTAATATATTTAATATTATAAATATATATAAGTATAATATTAAATATTATAAATAAATAAGTATAAATAATTTTTCATATGTAGCTCAAACTCAAAATAACTTTATTCATATCAGAACGTCAGAAAAGAAGTTAAATTAATTCTAAATTGACATTTACTACCAGTTCGCAAGTCAAGGGTGTAGAGCAAGAAGAACTGGCAAGAAACTTTCCGCCACTCTTTCTAATGTTAAGTACAAATTGTTTGAACTGGAACAAATCAATCCCAAGGATTAGGATATAAATATTCGTCAAATTTATTAAAAGCTTTATTGATTAATTTATGTTTAACGAGAGCTTTTAATTATTTATTTAGTGATAATTCTTTAATTTCGCTTGGGAGTTTGTTGTAAAAACGAATACAATTTCCATATAAGGAGTGGTTTATCTTCTGGAACCTGGTTGGTCGTACACTCAAATTAGTTCTGTTTCGAGTATTAAAAATAAAAAAAAAATGAGTGGCGCTACAACCTCTTTAGGTCTTGGCCTCAGATTTCTGAATCTGTTTCATGATCATTTTTAAATCTAATAGGCAAGTAGGGGATCAGCCTCCAGTGCTTGACACACGCCGTCGACTTTTTGGGTCTAAGACATGTCGGTTTCCTCACGATGTTTTCCTTCACCATTCGAGCAAATGTTAAATGCGCACATAGAAAGAAAGTCCATTGGTGCACAGCCGGGGATCGAACCTACGACCTCAGGTATGAGAGTTGCACGCTGAAGCCACCAGGCCAACTGTTTCGAGTATTATACTGGTGAAAGTCACCAATTGTTTTAAAATCGTAAAATAAATTTTAACATCTTCCATTTGACATATTTGATAGTGCTATATCACCTTATTGATAAGAGCGTTACGTCATAGTAAGCGTCGTGATAATATGCTTAAAAATATAATATAGTATTACCAGAACTCTGTGGGTTTGTGGGTGCTGGACTTTTAGGTACATGACTGCCTTCGAGAATCTGCAATAAAAAATATAAGCTCATGAAAGAGTGGGAGGATTTCCCGGACAGGGCCAAATATTAAAGTTATAAAATTGTCATCTGTCACCGCCGCCCACAGACACAATGCCAGAAGGCTCGCCAGTGCGTTGCCGGCCTTTTCAAACTCAAACTAGAAATATCTTTATTCATATAGGTAAACAAGTACAGACGACGCCAACATGGTCCAATTCATAAAGTGCAGCAGGCTCAAGTGGCTGGGACATGTGCGCCGGAAGGCGAACGACAGAACCCCTGGTCCTTACTGAACTGACAACCCGGTGGCAAGAGAAATCCCGGTAGACCGAGGATGCGTTGGTGGGATGGTGTTGTCAAGGACCTCGAAACAATCGGGGTTCGAAATTGGACGCGGGAAGCATTGCGATGGAGAAGTGTACTGGGGCTGTATAACCATTGATGATGATGATTATTTAAAAACATAGCCAGTATACGAATACTTTATGATACAGACCTGAAATCCTTCTTTTCCAGCTCTATACTTCAGTTTCACCAGCTGTCCGTTAGGGTCTTTGTATTGATAAGCACCAACTCTGGAACCGTCGGGCTCGATCATTTCACCAGCTGCTAAACCATTGTCGGACGCGTACTCGAACCGAAAAGCGCCATCTAGCGGAAAATATAATATTGTTAGTTGTCTGTGTCGTGCACAAGCCTGGACTGGGTGGTATACCACACCCGAAGGGGACCTTGGGGATGACGACTCCCTTGAGTTCAATTTAATTTAATTTGGATTTGCTTAGAAAAAAAAGCCTTGGCACTGCAACATTTCAGGTCTAGAAAGAAAAGAAAAGAAAAGGAAATAAAACAAAGGAAAGAAAAGAAAAAAACAAAACAAAAGAAAAGGAAAGGCAAAAGAAAATAAAGCAAAAGAGAAGAACAGAAAAGGAAAAAAGAAAAGAAAAGAAAAGAAAAGAAAAGAAAAGAAAAGAAAAGAAAAGAAAAGAAAAGAAAAGAAAAGAAAAGAAAAGAAAAGAAAAGAAAAGAAAAGAAAAGAAAAGAAAAGAAAAGAAAAAAAAGAAAAAAAGAAAAGAAAAAAAGAAAAGAAAAGAAAAGAAAAGAAAAGAAAAGAAAAGAAAATAAAATTTGGATTTGTTAAAGAAAACCCTTGGCACTACAACATGTTAGGTCTAGAAAGAAAGAAATAATATTTTAAAAAAAATTAATTAATTAATAAAATAACAGAAGAGAAAAGAAAGAAAGAATGAATGAAAACACTTTATTATATATAATAAAATGGGATTGTTTAGTTAAAAGAGAAAGTGCACTGACTCCCACACTAGGATTCCCTGTGACGTGGGTCTCTTCCATTTGATATATTAATGGTTTTAGTGGACCCTATCCTCTTTAGCTCATAATGTTGGTAAATTGATTCGTGCATAGCGATATATTACCTGAACTCAGCGATTGTTTATGATGCAATATGGATGCCTGCTGCTCCTTCGGTATCCCGTAAGGCGCACGCCACGGTTCAGCTTTCGCGGGTGGTGCTCCTGAAATAACAATTATTTTGGGGATTGGCAGACAGATTCCTGAATTATATCAACCCGAAATTAGTTCGACGAAACCAGAAACTAGGGATTTTCGTTAACTTTTAAACACTTACTAAAGATATAGTAAGTGATGGAATGTATATAATATATTATATACTAGCTGCCCCCGCGAACTTTTTAGCCGCATTTCTCCTTAATGTGATTTTACTTTGCCTACTTTTTTAGTACATACCAACATGGAACATTTTGCTATGCTACCCCAGAGAATGAAAACATTTTAGGTTTTTCTGCCAATTTTTCTCTATATAAACCTGAGAGTTAAAGTCATAAGATTTTAATAAACAAATTCAAAATAGGGGTTGTTCATAGAGGGGTGAAAATTAAGGGTTGTATGTAATATGTTCGTAAATTTTTTTTATCTAAAAATTAAAATTTAGTGGTGGACCACCCTTAACATTTAGGGGTTTGAAAGATAGATAGTAGCTGATTCTCAGACTTACTGAATATGCATAAAAAATTTCATAAGAATCGGTCGAGCCGTTTCGGAAGAGTATGGGAACGAACATTGTGACACGAGAATTTTATATATTAGATTTTCATTTTAATTATTCCTGACTGATTCTGTCATATTGTTTGTCACGTTTATACAATTTAATGAAATTAATAATCAAAGCTTCCTCTAAATTTTGTGTGCTATTGTTAGTCTGAGAATCGGACAACATCTATTATTTCATCCCCTAAATGTTAAGGGTGAGTCCACCCCTAAATTATAATATTTTAATTTTTAGATAAATTACTTATTTTTTGTTTTATATACAGCATAAACAAATATACAACCCTTATTTTCACCCTTCTAACGATACAACATACTTTTTTATTATAAATGATATACATGCAAAATGACTGTTTCCATCAGCTATTAACTTTTATAAAAACAGCGCAGCGATTTTCCAAAATGCGCGTTTCCGAACATTGATATACAAAAACCCAAGTTATGTACAATCAACGTCTAAAAAACGTCCTCAAAAAATGAGCGCAACATTATCTAAACTTGTGCGCTCATTGCAAATGTCTGTCTATAAGTGAGTCGATGTTATGTTATTTGTGTTTTTTTATAAATAAATTTATGTACTCTTGAACTTCTTGTGTGCAGTTTTCGTTGACAAATATATTTACGCTATATAAAGTGGGGTCAGGAGTTCCCAATTTAACATTTTTTTAATTAAAGAAAAACTTTTTAACGCATTAATGTTATGATGAATAGAAATTTACAACTATTTAACATCCAACACCTTTTGTCTTCAGTCACCGTGACCACTCACGCTGTAAAGCACCCGAAAAGTCGGATAAATTTAAAATTATGTTAAATAGTTGTAAATAAAAAAGTCATGTTCACTCCACTCAATACCTTTGTCCTACCGACCACGGTCGAACATAAAATAGCTTTAAGTACTATACACTGCGTTGTAACTAACACCTTTAAGCAATTTGCGTAAGGTTGATTTTGCAATAATATACTGTAATGATATACTGTTATGGACAGAAATAGTGTTTCCGGACACTTTCGAGCTGTTACTTTTATTCGAGACTGTGCATCTTGGGTTTTTGTATATCAATGTTTCCGAATTATGAATTTGTGGGGGCAAAATGCTAAAATATATCATCGTGCTCAAATACTATTTCACAATATTATATACATACAGATCAAATTGCTTTTGTAGTCTCTTTAAAGTCTACCAAAAAAAAATCTCAAAAATTCCAGAGATTCCTCTGCGGATCCATTATTAAAAGAACATACCTCTGTATCCCCTGTCAGAATAGTCTTCATACGCTGGCCCTTCGTTTGCTGGTTTCCACGACTGCGCGACAGTACCTGCTGTGCTGGTATCACGCGTAAACATAGGCCTGTAGTATGGTCCAGCCTGCAAACAACGGTAGCTGTTAAATCCCATAAATTTTCTAAAGAAATCTAAGCGAAAGCAAAGAATTTGTAACGAAAACTGCGTGAACAATCCAATTACCATAGTTCAAGATTTAAAGTTAGGGTCATTCACCGCAAAGGTCATGACCTCAAAGCTTTTTAACGTACGTTCATAGTTCAATCTGTTTTCATTATAAGATTAGAATTTACAAGAAATATACACTTTTGTTGTATTCAAACGCATATTCACAATGAATACAGTTTAATATATCTATAAATTAATATAATATATCTATAAAGATAGTTGAAACTATAAGATAAAGTTAAATAAGAGTATAAAAAAAGGAGTAATAAAGCGATGTTTGATTAGAGTCTTTTGCACGAGTCAGAGAGCAAAATGTATGTACTTAGGAGCTGAATTTTGAATGCGACTGTTGCAGCTAACTAGCTTAATCGGCCGTTCATTCAACAGCATTTTGAAATTTAACGTAAGTTTAGAATCAATTTATAAACATCTTTCCTGTTGACATTCAATAGTTCAGTTGAGCGAAGTATGAAGTAATGCGAAGTACGAAGTAATGCGAAGTACGAAATAATGCGAAGTACGAAGTAATGCGAAGTACGAAGTAATGAGAAGTACAAAGTAATGCTAAGTATGAAGTAATGCGAAGTACGAAGTAATGCTAAGTACGAAGTAATCCGAAGTACGAAGTAATGCGAAGAAGAAACGAAAAACGAAACGAAGTAAACATGAAACATTATTAATCCTAACGCGACTTCGAAAACCTAAGTTTTGCTACGTTTTAAACATTCACAACGCTATCTATTAATGAATAAACAATAAAAATTAATAGATCAGACAGTAAAGGTAAGTGAAAGACACCCAAAAAGTGCTTGTGTGAACCAGAATCAAATGTATAATGTTATAATCTTACTTCGTTTGCCTTTCTTAATGCTGAGTTCCACGGAAGGTGTTCGGGCTCAAACATTCTGTTAACCTGATCAGTATATATATGTTATTTTGGATAAAGATTTAGATGGTCTTAGATGCCCGCGTCTTATAGATAACTTAATAAACGTGAGACTTTTGGGGGTCACACAGTCAAAGTCAGTAACTTTATATAGAACCATTATTTTTACATATTTCTTTCAATGTAATTTGAAAAAATCAGACGAAAAGTATTGTTTTCATTTACCAGCTTCAAATAACTGACGAAACCCTGTTCAAGTTGTCATGTCATTTTGACAGTTCTTATCGACAAATTTTCATACAAATTTAGTTTTCGACTTACACTACTGTTAAGACATCTTTACTAAGCCCCCAGATTATGTTATAACCCCCAGAATACTATCTAGGTATATAAAACAGATTTATGGTATGCCTTTTTAAACGTTTCGCTCAAACATTCTCAAGATGGCGCCATAACACAGTAACGTGTATCGTTAAAAGTAATATTGAAGCAAACTTACTTTGACGGCCATAGCAACCCAGTTGAGCCCCATTAATACATAATGTACTTGTTATATACATAATCTTACATACAAATACATGATCTTAAATTATCGTGATTCATGTGCACTTTTTACTTTTATTTTTCATGTATCCTTTATTAGTTTAGTTTATTTTTCCTTAATATTATGTAATATGTATTTTTGCACTTCTCGCCTACCTTATCTAAATTACCTAATACATTTCTTTTCATTTAATTATGTTCAATTTTTATATTGTAAAGCATCGAAGTGTTAATAAATAATAATTTCAAATAATATATTGCTTCAACTAACTGTATTATACCTATAGTTTTGTTATAAACTATTAAATTGCGTATTAATACTTTGTATAATAAAGCACTTTGATTGTATGAATCCTGGATGATTTAAAAAAATAGCGTTAATTTAGATCTGGGCCTCAGATTATTGTATCTATTTCGTGATTATTTGTTTTATTCTACATGTAGGTTCTGCCCGTGTGCGCGACACGCCGTCGACATTTTGGTTCTAAAGCCGATTTCCTCGTTTCTTCTTTGGTCCTCGTCAACCTCATGGTCTCTGCCTACAAAGATCAGGTTCTTGCAGTCGCTACGGTCCTGATATACTTGTTCCTTCTCTATGTATGCTGGATTTGGTTTAAGTACGACAAGGCCTATCCCACCCGTAAACCACTTACAAAATGTAAGCTATTATTAGTCTAGATATTTTCGTCGCTAATTAACTTTGAAGTAAAGAAACAAAAAAGTCGGTGACGCAAATGTACCACGCGATGTTAAGAAATGAATGTTAGTTCATGTGAATAATAATTTCACGCTCCGTTCAGTTTGAACTCATTTCACTATTTCTAAATAAGCAATCATGCGCACTTAACTACCCGATGACAAGATAATACTAATTAGTCTAGCTATTCAAAGGGGGAACGCTGCCAGTATCTTCGGAACCTTGCCTAAAGGGACTCCTTTTTAATATATCTTAGATAATATAGGCAGTGTTTTACAGTTCTTTTTTATAACGTCATTCGTTATAACGACAAAATGTCTATAACTGTAAAAATGAGTTAAATATCTGTAGTTTAAAAAAAATATTTCTTTGTTTTAAAACCCAAAAAAAAAAATACTTTTTTTTTTTTTTTCCCCCCCCCCACTGGTTTTTTTGCCGGTTTTTGCATTTGTGGAACCCAATACCCATACATTAATTATTCCCGCCTATAACAAACCGTGAAAGTCTAATAACGAAGAAAAAGAAAAGGCTGAGATGCTCCGGAGCTATATGAAGATGATGAGCCCCGAAAAATAGAGGGAGAAATTCGTTATAAAGAGATACAAGTATTTTAAGGGTTATAAAAATATATTTTAAGGTTATAGTTAATTGTTTATTGTTCCTTTTTGTCTATTTATTACATAAGCATTATATTATAGAGTATTAATGAGATTAAATATCTGTAATTTAAAGTTCAAGGAATAAATAAAAATAATCGAAATAGTGTAGCCGTCTTCGAGTTTTCCGCTTAGCAACACAACACAAAAGAATTTTGCTATTCATTTTTATTTATATAGATAACAATTACAATCGCGAATCATTAGTCGATCAAATATAATATTATTAATAATAATACAAAATTCGTATTCATAATTTCAATTATTAAATTGAAAATCAGGACTTTTCAGTGATATCAATACGATACTTATTAGTAGGTACATTGCGTTGTCCATTGGAAAAAATCATTTCATTTTCCCCGCGAAATTTGAACCCGAAAGCTCTGGATTTAACCGACCCTGTTATCTATGCTAATTCACACATAAGATAAATTAATGGGCCCGGATAAATATTTATCCAGATAGACTTTGTATTTACAAAGTCATAGACAATTAAAAAACAATCAAAGTAATAATTGATAAGAGTCATAGCTACGGCCGTCTAAAATCTTTTTCATCTATATTAATATTTAAAAGTTTAAGTAATTAAAAGTTTCTTTATTTTCTTAACGCCACGATGCGCAAGCGACCTGTATTTCTGGTGGGCCGCGTGCGGGCAGCATGCTGGTGGTAGCGGGAATTGCCCTTATGGGTAATTCTTCTAATTAATGTGCGATATTTGTTTTAAAATAAGTGTTGTTTGATGATTTCCTATTTAAAAAGAGTACCGAGAGTTTTTTACGCCGGCTTTTTCTCTCGGCCTTCACCCTCTGTCTTTACCGATGAGTAGGGCAACAAATTCAAATTTAATGACGTGGAATAAGTGATACCTGTATCTTATGTTCCATACTAAACATATTTTATTTTATTGTAATTGAATAAATAAATTATCATTATTAATCTTTCAAATTATTTTAAATATGTGTTGTTTGTAAACTGTTACCTAAGTGCACCTTGAATTTTTTCACCAATATAAAACTACTAATATCAACAGTTGCAATGCAATAACGGAAAATTTCCTATTGAGAGATTCCCTTATTTACGCGTCCAACTGGGTCTAATTGATAAGTCTTTATGGTGTATCATAATAACAACGCCATTTACGTGGGTGAAGCCGAGAGTTTATGACATTATGATAATTAAAATGACATTTGCTTGCCTATTTTTATATGGCTGATTATGCGGTTTTTATAATCAATCTGAATGTACCGCTTTCTTTGCAAATAAAAGATTTATTATTTAGTTCGGGCTTCGCCTAGTCGATCCTTGTACTTGTCAAATGTTTTAGTTAGCTGTCTCTAAGATAAATTACTGCAAAATATTCTAAATTTGGGGCCCATATAGATCACTGCCGTGTGGTTTTGAAAGGCAAGGTGCCTTAAAGTGGGAGAATATTTAGAGCATGAGAATTGACAACAATTATAGATAACTGTTCTCATTACATTCTGATATATGTAAATATCCCATATGCCTATTACATATGGAAAATTGTGCGGTTTTTTATAATCAATCTCAATGTGATTTCTTTGCAAATAAACTAATTGTTATTATTATTCTTTGGTAACTATTTACTTTAGTTCAGAATTGAATCAATCAATCCTGGTATACCGTTGGACACTAAGCCAAGTGAACACAGTTTTTTAAAAGTTATCTTGTAGAAATTAACGGTTTATTCATTCCGTATTTAATAAACTTTTTGCAGGATGATATAAAAGAATTTCGGGTCTTAAATTTGATTCGTGTTTAACTCATTTTTATTATTAATAACTTTCATGTCCAAATTTATAGTTTATAGACAACTGACGCTAAACTTCGAATAATTACCTGATTAAACGTCTGTGGCGCGTAGTACTCCTGCGCCAGCGCAGTCACAAACATACACCAAAAACATATGAGCTGAAAAAAAGGCTTATATAAAAACCATTCAGGCGAGACAATTTAATTATGATTAGGCCTTGTGATCTATTGAGGTTTAAACCCACTGTGGAGTCATTGCCACCATAAAGGAATTTAGAAAAAAAATGCAAAATATATCCTATCGTAATCCATATAAGATCCTAAGAAGCTCTTCTGCCAATGAGGCAGAAGGTACTTCAGTTCTCTAACCATAAGGGAGGACCACTGGGCAGTCAGTGGTTCGACTTGTCTCAAATTGGTTACCCTGAGGAATGAAAGGTTAACTTACTTCCTTCTTCCTCCGCAGAAGACTTCCTTCTGAATACCGCAAAGTACGAAGTTATCCTACTATTTATTTATTGAACACCACATCATAATGCATTTTCAACAGTATATGTTACAAGCTATCTATTCTAAAATATATGGCAATTGTGAAAATACATTTTACAAAAATTAATTATAATTTTAATTGATTTGAGGTGTCGCTACAATTGTAGTCTATCTACAGCTGTTAATTGTTGACATTATAGTTAAGTGACTGCATTTTATTCCAAGATATTCACGAGACTTGATAATATATGTCAAAAATTATTGTGATTGCATTTACCATGGAGAATGTATAAAGAGCTCGGATTAATACCTGCAGCTGAGTTTCATCATCGGACGTCGAGGCAGAATACGAAATACCATCCGTATCACCTCGACGTCCGTTTCTCAACTGAGCGTTTTTAATGCAGTTTTTTCCGCGCACCACCACTATGTGGAACCAGCTGCCCACTGAAGTATTTCCGAACCAATTTGACTTAGGGTCCTTCAAGAAAACAGCGTACCAATTCTGAAAGCCCCCTGGCATTGAGTGTCCATGGGCGGCGTTATCACTTAACATCAGGTGAGCCTCCTGCCCGTTTGCCCCGTGTTCTACTTAAAAAAAGGTTATTAAAAACTCACCCGCATGGCGTTCAAGTCGACAGCACAGATTATACAAATGATTAGCAAAAATTTCCTTGTATATATAGATTCTTTACACGAAGTGGAGCGTAACCGTGCAATAATTAGTTAATCAAATTAAATGATTGATTAATAGTATTCACGGTAAATGCATGGCCTGGGTTACATACAAAAATCTTTAAATACTACAACCTTTTGAGGTCTGTGCCTCAGATTTATATTTCATGATCATTTGTTTATCTAATAGGCCAATACGTAATCAGCCTCCTCCTCCTCCTTCACCGTTCCATTGATGCACAGCCGGGGATCGAATCTACGACCTCAGGGATGAGAGTCACACGCTGAGGCTAGAGATAGAGAGATATAATGGTGTTTTTGTAACGAATTAACACCAAAATGTTGGCTATTTATTCCCTTATTGAATTCTTTCAAATTGTTCCCGCATCCACTATCCAGTCTTAGTCAAAGCCCAAACAAATTAGGTTGTTCGGCCTATAGTACACAAGATTAGTGTCTTCCTCTTAATAGAGACTGTAAGTAGTGTTATTTGACACTTTGTTAAATATCCTTTTAAGTAATTAGATTAGTTTGAAATTACTAATTAGTCTTAAGTTAAAGCATCTAAATAAAACCGCTCTATATAATTCCATTTAAGTATATGATTAATATATTAAGGGTAGTTTTGGGTTGTAAATGTTTTTTTTTTTTTCCGTAACTAACATAATAAATTATATATAACAAAAAAATGGTGCTGTATTATGTAGGGTAAGAAGTTATATTCTTTGGCTTTCTTTATTTTTTTAAATATTAAATAATTAATAATAAATATTTAGCGTTAATAATTTTAAATACTTAATATTTAGTATATTATTCAATTATTAATTAATATTAATAATAATTTATATGTATTATTTTATTAATTCAATTTAATAACTATGTATGTTTATAACCTTTTAATAAGTAAAATAGGTCTTTGTGAAAAACATTGCTAAATTTCTTTGATTATTTTTCCGACCCAAATATGACAATAGAATTCACCATTCGACGTCAGTGGTACAACCTACATGGTATTATACTGATAATTTTTTGAAAATTTTCTCTGGTAGTTGCTTCAAGAAAAGTATTAAGTAGTTGTTTTATTCATTATGAAATTCTTATTTGTTAACTGTACATTTCGTCTCATGGTGCAATTCTATTGGCCGACATTTGGGTCGGAAAAATAATCCCCCCGAATACACTTCAAAATTATCTGGCATTTCCCTCAAGGTTCCCTGCAAACAAATAAAGTCGTCAAGTTTTTAGTGAAAAACTTGACCCCTCCATTGTTTGCAAAACCTATCGGAAATACCGATAATTTTGAAGCTCTTTGTATTATAAGTGAAAAATAATTAAAACTCCTTTATTTGTTTAAAAGGTACTACAAATGTCATTATGGTCATTTAAAATTATTGGCATAACTGCTAACGTCAATATTCTATTTTTTTTACTTGTAGATTGTCTTATTCCCATCTCCTCGAGCTGCCCCATACTGATCATTTTGTGTCACGGTGCGCCCATGTAAAATTTCACTCTCATAAATTTTTCATAACGCGCCTAAAGAAGTATAACTTCAAAAATATACTATAGATATAGTCAAATATGGAATAAATAGAAAAAGGTTTAAAATTTAGAAAGAAGAAATTCAATAAAATATTATAAATACATTTAATAAGTAATACCTAATTCGGCTGTGTTGTGTAATGGTGTGAATGCGAGGGTATGTACGTGAGGGTGTATGTGGGTGTGTTTTTGTGAAATTTTGTGGTTTTAGAATTTATGAAACATTGTAAGAGAATGCCCTCAAATAGATACAAATATAGATGGTAGTTATGATAAGATTTAGTTTAATATCAAATATATATTACTACTAGCAGACCGGCCAAGCGTTGCTGTGGGTAAGGTTTTTGTTATATCACATAGTGGTAAACTATTCAAGGAAACTAGGAGAACACCAGTCATGGGGACCACTATGCTTTTTGGTGGTTATGCCATTAAATTGTAGCTTATGTGAAACGTTAGTACTTTTAAACAAGCGCCATCTTTAGCATTGTGACTATCAAATAATAAAAAAAACTTTATTCATATAAGGTACCAAGTACACTTATAAATAATAATAAAAATCACTTTATTTGACGCAAAAACAATTATCATGAACGTCAAGAAGTTAAATTGATTCTAAATTTACATTTACTACCAGTTCGCAAGTCAAGAAGAACTGACAAGAAACTCCACCACTCTTTTTAATCGCCAAGTTTTGAGTCATACAAATTGTTTGAACTGGAGCAAATCAATCCCAAGGATTAGGATCATTTAAGTATTCGTCAAATTTATAAAAAGCTTTATTGATTAATTTTCGTTAACGAGACTTTTGAATTTATTTAGTGATAATTCTCTAATTTCCCTTGGGAGTTTGTTGTAAAAACGAATACAATTTCCATATAAGCAGTGGTTTATCTTCTGGAGAATTTTTAATGTCATTTTTACGCGGCAAAATAAAAGCGAATATTTTGGAGTGACGTGTGCGTTCGTAATTTGTGGAAGCCACAGATTATACATGGTAAGCAAAAATAATAGACCAAAAATTAAAAAAGAATATTTATTCTTAAATCACAATTACTTAACAATGTTTTTAGTGTGTTCCTGCAAATTTAAAAAGATTATTTACATTTAAAAAATCCTATATATCAAAATTCAATACATTTTAAACTATTTTATTATAAAATAACTTACTTATAACAAGCGATATCTTCTAGACAAGAAAACTAAGCAAACGCCTAACAAATATAAAAAGTTACAAGTAAACTTTTAAAATATATATATTTTTATCAAAGTTTGAATAGGTTTTAAATAAGTACAATATTATGGCGCCTACACCCTTTGAGTCTGGGCTAAATATAACAGGGGGAAAAGCAGGTGGTTCATCTGAAGTTAAGTGCTGCCGCCCATAGACTAACATTGCCAGAGTGCGCGCAAGTTGTCGGAATTTTACTTTCTGGTGGTAGGTCCTGTATGAGTATAGGTGTTCTGCCTCCTTCAGCGTACGAGTGTTAAAAGCATTAGAATCTATTTGCACAGCCGGGGTTCTCTAGAATCTCTGGAATTAAAGCCTCTAAAGCAGTGGTTTTCCAACACATGTTGTTCCACTTTTCGAAAATTCTTATGTTCCAATAAAAAATACATAATTTTAATTGTTTAATTATGAAACTTAAATGATAGGTTCTAAGAAGGTATCACTAGGAAATTATTAACGAAACACAGTAAATAAATATTATACACCAAATAATTTTAATACAGAATAGCTTAGACTCTTAAGAATTAAATTGCCCCTGAGGGGTGGGCCATCACAATTAAGGGGCCGTTCAAGTATTCAAGTATTACGTAAGCACTAAAAAGGGGGGTTTATGTCTTGGATTTTATTTGCTGATTACGTCAACAGTAATTATTTACTTTTTTACACATGTAAAGTCGGAAACATGTCGTGACGCGCCAGAAGCATATTTTAGTATGATTAGACATAACGTGTTGCGACACGACACGACATGCAAATATGTTTCTAATCATATTAAATGTATGAAACCAATATGCTTCTGGCGCGTCACGACACGCCACGACACGTAAGTGTGTTTCCGACTTTAGCCACACATTGACTATGCTTGAAAACGAAATGCATTTTCGAGGATTCTTACAAAAAATTAATACGTTACTGCACTATTATTTTTGAGAGCTTTGCTCACTTTTGCTGACAGGGGGGGATAAATTGCAGTTAATCTGCTTACGTTATACTTGAACGGACTCTAAATAGAAAAAGGTAAAAATCTATGTTAATAATCAGAAACCCATGGCGACATATCGCTCGTGTATTTGATGGGAGGTATGTCGTATGGTATTATTAAACGATGCGTTTTATCACTGAGAGGGAACAAGTCTTCATTTATCTGAAATTACATAAATATGGATATAATTATACAATATAATATAACACAAATTGTACACATACACATCTTATACAGGGTGTCCCAAAAAAAAAATAAGTCATGTATTTTTGAAGTTATGGATATTTTTTGTTATTCCAGAAAATGCACACCATGTGACAGTTTTTTCATTGCTGTTGTTACAAATATTTACTTTTTGCCAATTTTTTTTCTCTTACGTCATCCCGAATAGTGTTTTATGTAACCTGTGATCCTAAACTCTGTGCTGATCACTCCAACTTTTAGGAAAATGTCATTTTTTTTTCTTTTTTTTTTTCTGATAACTGGTGTGGCATTAACTATGAGAAAATTTCGACTTGACGTCGACTTCTGGGACACCCTGTATAAGAACATTAGCAGTGTTTAAGAACTTTGCTAGCGAAGAAATAATTAAGTAAATAATTTCATGTTTTGGAGTTCCGACTCGGGATAGTCCAACATACAATTGCCCATGGGTAAAACATACTTTTTGTAAATATTGTTCGACCATTCAAAGTAGCAGATAAGCGAGCCGTAGCTACGTATAGAAGATTTTTAGTTCTAGTAACTCTAGGATTACAAAGAAAGGAAAATTCTACCTTTCTATAACTTAGAAAAACAATTTCTGGAGATTATTGACCCCCCCATGTAACGCACCGTAACGCTTTTCTGAAAGTAAAACATTTCGTGACCACCCAGTGACTCTTTATAAGAAAGGAAAATTCTACCTTTCTATAACTTAGAAAAACAATTTTTGGAGATTATTGACCCCCCCCCCATGTAACGCACCGTAACGCTTTTCTGTGCCCAAGTAAAGTAAAACATTTCGTGACCACCCAGTGACTCTTTATACCTAAAAGTTACCATTATGTGGTGTAAAGTACTGGAAAATCGAAAATAATATTAACAATAACGCGTAATTTAATCTCCGTCCCGCATCGTAACGTTTAAACCCAAATCGTTACGTAATACTGGAACGCTCCCAACGCGCTAAAGAAGAAGAAGAAGTTTTGAAGTCCCTCAAACTATACATACCACAAATCTTGGAAGCAACAGCACACCAGCCTCATAACTCATGATCCGCAATGCCTTATTTCCCTTATTTATGGAGCCCCACGCAGCCTTGCTGATATTCCCGGATGTGAGCAGGTAGTAGGCCGCCATTTTGTTATCCGGGGATACTCGGGTGTAGGATTTTATGTGCGGCATCGCTTTATTCCGATTCGTGTGTGTTGCTTTCCATTGGCTGTAATCGAAAAGTTTTTTACTTTTTGAAGTTATACTTCTTTAGGCGCGTTATAAAAAATTGATAGAGTGAAATTTTACGATGCGCGCGCACCGTTACACAAAATTAACAGAATGAAGTTGCCCACGGAAGATGCTACGGCATTGGACATAATTTAAAAACAACATTCGAATATTAATAGAATTTATGTTACACTTAATGTAAGAGAATAATAATAAATATTTATTTATTTAATTTTTCAAATGTAAACTGAACTTTATTGACTATAATGACTCCTTTTCCAGTCTTTGATTATTTAATTGTAATTAATTATTTGCATGCAATCAAAAACTATTTTTAATAATGCCAAAGAAGTATAACTTCTTACGCGCGTACATAAGTACACGCACCCTTTTTTTAAATTAATAATGTGTTTTATCATACAGCATACAAAAATTCATACGACCCTTAAATAATGAGTATCAATCTTTTATTAAATGCTATTTTATTTTTCGCGGAACCTAGAACCTTCAGGTTCATAGAGGTCATGAGGTCTTGGCCTCAGATTTCTGAATTTATTTCATGATCATTTTTAAATCTTCTAGGCAAGTAGGTGATCAGCCACCTGTGCCTGACACACGCCGTCGACTTTTTGGGTTTAATGCAAGCCGGTTTCCTCACGATGCTTTCCTTCACCGTTCGAGCAAATGTTAAATGCGCATATAAAGTCCATTGGTGCACAGCCGGGGATCGAACCTACGACCTCAGGGATGAGAGTCGCACGCTGACGCCACTAGGCCAACACAGCTCTCTGGATTAGTTATATTCTGTTATATTCGCAAAGAATTAGAAAGAAGAAGAAGAAGAAGGAAATACTTACTAAAGAAATTGGTTGAGCCAAGGTTGTTTGGCGTGTGCGCTTGCGCCGTATGGAAGGCATCCACCACCCAGTAGACCATCGTGCGACTGTTTCACGTTTTCTATGAAAGATTGACATTTAGTAAATCAAAGACGTATTGGGTTTGAGATATCAGTCATTCTTAAATTTCATTTTTGAAGTTATACTTCTTTAGGCGCGTTATGAAAAATTGATGAGAGTGAAATTTTACGATGCGCGCGCACCGTGACACAAAATTAACAGAATGAAGTTAGTTCTAGGTGGCATGAAAATCGATAATAACTATGTTCAAGTTGTATATTCTAGTATTTTTATATTTGGAACACGTGTTTCGTAACAATTAAACAGTGTGAATAAATAAATATTATTTTGGTGTTTTTATTAAATCAATTTCATATACGACGGTGATAGTATTTACTAATAATTTATAATTTATTTTTTCCATACGCCAAAGAAGTATAACTTCTAACGCGTGTACATAAGTACACACACTCTTTTTGAAGTGAAACTTCTTTATCGAGGTTGGAAAAAATTTAGTGTAACATTTTTTCGTTACGCGTCACATTTTTCGGTTACGCGCCATGTTGCTTTTTGAAGTCAAACTTCTTTATCGGCGTTGGAATGAAACTTCTTTATCGACGTATGGGAGAAATTTTGTAACAAATCGTCACGTTTTTCAATGATAGTAATAATTCTATTACAATTAATGAAATTCTATAATAATCTTCGTAGTAATAAGGTAAAATGAAATATTTGTATTCATGTCTATGATAATAAAAGCCTTTTGTTAAACTTTATCTAATTTAACGAATTTCTGTAAAGTTGCATATATGTAGTAGATCATTTTTCGAAAAATAAGATCATAAAGAAGTTTCACTTCTTACGTGCTTACACCTAGTACACGCACAATTTATTTTTTATTTAATACATTTCTTAACTTTCTATCCTGATCGATCGTGACTTGTGTAATTCTTGCGTGTATCTCTTTATAACGAATTTAATGGACCGAGTTTTGTTGTTATACAGAGGTTTCGTTATAATCAAGAGAAAAATGTTAGGTTGCAAAGTTGCAATATAGTTTTCTATAGTAGATTTCTAATATATCTATTTCTAATCTAGATTTGGTGTATTTGATACATAGAAATATATTAGTAAAATTTGGTGTTTTTTTTCATATTTACACTTTCGTTTGTGCTAAAATTTACTTTTGACATCTGTTTCCGTTTCTGGTTCCGCTAAGACACTTCCGTTGCATCACTCATTTTCTTATTTGTTTTTGTTTGTTTGTGTGCCTTTTAAAAAAAATACGCGTTTTGTGGAAAACATTATTTGAAATTTTTATAAATTTTTAATAAAACAAACAATTCATTTGGATCATATTAGTCTCGGCTTAACTCAAATATGAAGGTAAATGATGGATTTTGACATAAAAGCTATATAACTTACCTAGAGATGGATAAATAAGCTTCAACTCAGCTGGTGAAGACAGCATTTGGGATTGGTCCTTGATTTTTGTGAATTGATGAAGAAAATCTCCCGTTAGCCACAACTGAAATTGTTATTAATTTTAGAATTCATTATGTATATGTAAAAAACGTCAATAAGGTATTTTTATTCCTTGAATTTTGAGGAAGGTTTATATGCTCAAACGTTCTGTCTCCCTCTTAGGTCTGTCTCCCCTACTCGGAATCAGGTTTACGATCGATAATTTTTGTATGGTCCAAGTATAGAGGAATATTATTCAAGTATTTATAGTTTAAGGTACTGGACAACCGAAACAATATGTTGCTATTTATTTATAAAATAAGAAATGGGTTTAGTTAATATAAGTGTTGATGATAAATACAAAGTCGATAATTGTCGGATCGGAATTAATTGGAAAAACACTTATATTTTTCCCTACTCATTCCGGTATCCGACGTCGGACCGGAGCAGTGGAGAAAGGGCCTCACGCGTATTGGCCGCATCTATATTACGTCATTGTGTGTTAGGTTTACTTTCGTTACGATATTTCTTGATTCGGTCGGATAAAATCTATGCAATAGCTTAAAAATAACACGACTGAATGACAATTACTCTTTTGTTTACGGTTAAAATCTATGGTCAAACTGAACTGAATGCGATTATATTAAAAAAAGTTTATATACCGATTCCCCCCTTTATGACTCTCCCATTGGCTAGTCTAATACAAATAGTTACCTTGGGTTCCTTCCCATAGCTTCCTATGCTGCTGGCTTGCGCCAATAAAGGCCAGCGGCTGTTCTCAGACGGGGGAATACAACAGTGTTGCCGCAATAGAGACCCAACACGGGTCATGCCCCAGTCGAAATCGAAATGGGCACCCGGGGCTGATGCTATCAAGAAGACACTGAAATGTGAATTTAAAATATTTATGATTATTCAATAGTGACTATGGAACTTATAAAATTATATATTTTTGAAGTAAAAACTTCCTTAGCATCGATTTGATTAAAAAGTCGATAATACGAAAAAGAGACAGACACACAAATTCATAAGATATAACGTGGGAGAAAATGAGATAGGAAGCATTATACAGTGTATAAACTTTAAATGAATTATCAAATGATCATTCATTTATTTAATTTGTGTGTCTGTCTCTTTTTCGCTTCATCGATGTTAAAACTTTAATTATTTAAATTTTAGTCAAAATTAAAAATTGATATTAAACTTAAAATTTAAATAAATTAATTTAAACAAAAGTCTAATACTATTTAGATAGTGAAAAAAAGTCTAATTTACATATTATTAAAACTTTTTTAATCGTTGTAGTTATATATCTATATATTATATCAAAATTAATAATTCACGCCCGACCGATGTGAGACGCAGTATGCGTTCTGTCCCGCTCTAACGCATATTGGCCGCACCTATTACGTCATCGTGTGTTAGGTTTATTTTCGTTACGGAATTTCTTGATTCCGTCGCTGCGCTCAAAGCCAAATCTATGCAATAGCTTAAAAGCTTTATTGATTAATTTGTAAGATGTATTATAACTTACTTGATGTGTGAAAAATCGCATCGCTTTACCCTCTCCATATAAAATGCGAGTTGCGGCAAATGATAATGGTTGAGATATCGCAATAATGTCTTCTTGAACATAGTTGGAGACTCTCCATCATGTGGCATCGCATCCGGTGGTAATTCTGGACAGCGCGGACTAAACCAGAGTCTGGGGAAGGAGTTTCACAAATGAATAGCCATCATCTTACAGGAGAGTCACGCGACACGAGATTTTTTTTTGTTTTTTTTTTTTTTTTTTTCTCCGGTGTGTTTAGCCATCGCTCGAATGTGAAGAACACAGAAGGACCCTGCCTGTCTTGGGCCAAGGGGTCGGGGGGCCCTTTTAGTTTTTTTTTGGGCCTTTTGGGGGGCCGAGGGGGGGGGGGGGCTTTCTCCTGTTTTTCATAGATTCGTTCGCAAGGAGGTGATCACTTTACCTATTATTTAAATGTCATGAAGCAGTATAGGCCTGAGGTCCAGACTAGGTACAATTCCCAGCTTGGTATGTACAAATAGCGGAGCGCGTTCTTTGGGAAAAATAATTGTAGAAACTAAATATACAGGGCGCGGGACATTGCTACGGCTCTTCGAATTAATTGGTGATATTTGTTTTAGAAAAGTGTTGCTTGGTGATTTGCTATTTTAAAAGAGTACCGAACTTTTCTCCTCTGTCCTCTATGTCGATTAGACAACAATTACGATTCAAATTTAATGACGGCTTGCGATCTAGGTCAATATCTAAAACGCTGTTATCGCCAAATTTAGTAGTTTTCTTGATATTAGATTACAAACGACCACTCTAAACAGATTACGTTGTCTCTCTCTCCGGGGGGGGGGGGGGCCCGTTTTTCTCCGGAGAAATGGAATGCGCATGAGGCCCACTCTAACGCGTTTTTTCCCGACCTAAATTACTCAGTGTTGTTTTTTACAATTGTTGCCGCGATAAAATCAATAACATACCCCTGCGTTCTATTCTCCCAGTCGTCAACATATAGGTTCGCGGTTGACACAACCACCCTTAACGAACCGTCTTCGTAGCACAGCACCATCATTTTTCTAAACGTGGAAATGTCAGATGTCAAACGTCATGCTCATAGATAATGTACCGAATAGATTTTGAGGCTATAATTAATACTCTATACTCTGATTTTAGAATTAGAATTCTGGCATTTCATAAGTGTTGCTACTTAAAACATTCTCCACCGAAAAAGGGACAAATTTGACCCATTTGAGGGCAATAAAAAAATGCTACGTATTTTTGTTTTATCTAATACAAAAATAACAAATATTTCAATATCACGAACAATATATCGAATTAACTTTAATTACTTTATTTTATTGTTTAGCTGGCATCACTGCCTACTAATTTTATTCCAGGTTTAGTAAACCTTTTAAAAAAAATGTGATCTTTACTTATGCGTTTTTTACGGTTTGTGATGAAAAGGGACGTAATTATCAGTCGCCCTAAACCCACTTTTAATGTTATCAATAAAATGTATGTATAGACTCAGATGTTCAAACTCGTATTGAAATTGAAAAATGTGACCGGCCAAAAGGTTTGCCATCTCTGACATGTCAAAAAATGATAGCTGTCAGAATTCTACGGAATTAAAAATCAGAGTATAGTGATTTTTGTCTTTGTATCATGCGTATTTGTTTGTTCAATTATATGGCTTCCAATGTATGTCTCATTCCGTCATAGCGTAAACACAATTTGATGGAAAGAGACAAATGAGTACTTTAGAAGAGTGCAACAATATCGATTTAGTTTTTATTAACCTTTCCTATTTTGTTTTTGTACCATGCGTATTTATTTATTCACCGAAAATAAGTCTTGGCTTAAAGGTCTCGTTACACTAGGCGATATTCAGGAAATTATTTAAACAAAATGTAATAATTCAAGTTAGCCTGCTAATGGACTCACCAATGTATTCGTCTGTCTTACTCTACTTGAAACACAATGAGAAAGAAAGAGACAAAAGACTACTTCAGTAAGGTGCAACAAAGATTCGTACATGTTTGTTTGCTGTGGCCGCTTCCATGGCTTTCCAAGAAAAAAGACTTTTTTTTATTTTGTAGAGACATGCCAATTCATGGCTGCATTATTATTTATTCAGTTGATACCTTGGTTTTTATTTTTTAATAATGTATTGTCATAACCATGATACGAGTCTCAGGCGTAAACACAATTTGATAAGATTGCCCGTTGCCAAGAGACAAAAGTAACTCCAATATTAAAGACCGCTAGAACCGTGCTTCTTTTGAATATAGCTATCTCTACTGGTCGTGTGGTTGTACCCTTGACTGCGAAAGGCGGTTCGATCCGGCATGGTGAGGAACATAGTGGGCGTCTTGGGTTTAAACGTTTAGCTAATGGCTTTATGTTTGTCTATTCGTCTTCAAGTCCAGGCAGTCTTCGCTAGCATGACTAGAGAATTGTTAGCCTTTTGGCACTGGACATTAAAACTCAGTAACTCCTACCTAAGGTGTTCGTAGTCACATGTTCAACACGCGTTTAAAGGTTAATTTTCGCAGAGTAATAATTCTTTTGAGCACTTTTCTTTATTTAAGGTTAATAGACCGTCATCGACATTGCATTTTCTTGTCCATTTTAATGGTCACTTGCCAACCTCACGAAACGATACGCTTGATATGTACTAATCATGAATATTTTACAATAAACATTATGTTTTTATCACATTAGAATGGGTTTCTCTTTCCGTGCTTTATGAGAAGAAATCAAAAACCTATTTTAGAAGAGGTTCAACTAAACACGACTTTGTTTTTTTTTTTTTTAAAAACTCTACGCCATGACAGACAAAGCGTAAACTTGTGATAAAACAGAGCAGAGCGCCAACTAGCGGCCCAGACTGTTTTACCGAACGTTCTGTAACAGATACTCAGGGTGTCGGATGTCTTTCGCCATAGACGGTGGTTAGCTTTTGCATGGTAAAAAAATGTACTTCTCGATCATTTTTTTCCTTCTAATCGTCGCCATCGAGAACAGTATAATATGTACAAAATATAAATTTACAAAAGATTATAATGTTTGTTTATAGAAAGTCTTGAAATCCTCTTATGACATAGAACGCAATTGTCGAGGAAATATGGTTAGTGTTTCACCGATAACAAAAATTCAGACTCTTTCGTATATAAAAGGGGGTCGTTTTCAAACGGTAGACGAGACCATGGCGTGATGTTAGGGGAAATTATTTCACAGCAGCCCGATGGACACTCATCCCAAAAGATTTGCTCTTTTAAAGAAAGAAAGTGCAGTTACTGGCCTATCTTAAGAAACCCTTAGGTACAGGCACGGCACCTCCGAACTTTTTATGGGGCATCGGAAGTCCTCATTCATCATTAAGGAAAACATGTGAGAACGGCCATAGAAGGGGAATATGCTGATCACCTACTTGCCTATTAGATTGACATATCATGAAACAGATACAGAAACCTGAGGCCAAGACCTCAAAAGGTTGTAGCACCATTACCTGTATCCAGCGAAATAATATTGCGCAAGAAGCCAGCTCACATCAACCATAAAATTTATTTGCAGCGAACACTTCAATTCGCCGAGACTGGAATCCAATATTTCTGTAACATAAAAAATATCGTATAGAGTGTACCAATTCTTAAAAAGGCCGGCAACGCACTTGCGAGCCCTATGTCAACGAGTACATGGGCGGCGGTATCACTTAACATTAGGTGAGCCTCCTGCCCGTTTGCCCCCTGTTCTATAAAAATAGACCGGCAACGCACTCGCGAGCCCTCTGGCAGCGAGAGTATCCATGGGCGGCGGTATTACTTATCAAATGAGTCTCTTGCCCGTTTGCCCCCTGTTCTATAAAAAAAGGCCGGCAACGCACTCGCGAGCCCTCTGGCATTGAGTGTCCATGGGCGGCGGTATCACTTAACATCAGGTGAGCCTCCTGCCCGTTTGGTCCTGTTCTATAAAAAAGGCCGGCAACGCACTGGCGAGCTCTCTAGTATTGAGTGTCCATGGGCGGTGGTATAACTTAACATCAGATGAGCCTTTTAATCAATTATGTATAGTCCACGTTGATTTACCTTGAAAACTTATAGAATACGGCTGTGTGTGTGTTTCTTTTGCATCTGTAATGGTGGTATAGAATATATAATACGGTGCGCAGGCGTCATGTTTTGCCGCCATTTTGTTTTTCTCCGGAATCACTTTGAAATACTCCGAGTATTTTCGAGTCGGTGGCACTATTGGTCTATAGTCAGAATCTGAAAACCAAATTAAACATCTGTCAACACTTTGATTACACTTTGATTGATAGCATTATATCTCTAACTAATATATAAAATTCTCGTGTCGCGGTGTTTGTGGTTAAACTCCTCCGAAACGGCTTGACCGATTCTCATGAAATTTTGTGTGCATATTGGGTATGTCTGAGAATCGGACAACATCTATTTTTCATTCCCCTAAATGTTAAGGGTAGTCCACCCCAAGTTTTTTTTTTAATTTTAAGATAAATTTTGATAATCATTTAAAAATACATACAACCCCTAATTTTCACCCCTCTACGATCAACCCCTATTTTTTTATTACAAATGATATACATGGCAAAACGACGTTTGCCAGGTCAGCTTATAATACTATATATGTTGCAGCCAACTAGCTAAATAAGCCGTTCAATTGATAGCCTAGTCTTTTAACGATAGAGTGACCATGTGTCAGAAATAAAAAAGATAAAAGATCTGACATAAAAATATTTCTTTAAAATTAAATTGCTTGAGTCAGTCACTGCTAAATTCATTATTATTGTCACTTCACTTTTCCATTGTACTTGTAGTTTTTCATTAAACTTTGGAAAACACCATCAAAGTGTGGTGTCAGATTGAACAGTTGAAGATTTTCGGTTTAGTTTGAGTGGCAGAAAGTGGAACTAAATTTAAATTAACAGTCAACAAGCAAGTAATGGAACATCATCGATCCAAGTAATTTGCCTAGCCATGCAAATCAATCTCATACAGGTGAAACTAATTTGTTGGTTAAAAATATTTAATATTTTTGGATTAATTTTCTTTACCCAGGTCAGAAGATATATGAAAAGCATAATCTTTGTGCATATTCGTTTTTAATTAAATTAATTAGCTTTTAGTATAATTAATGTTTCATCTCTGTTAACTGATATTGAGAAATTATAATAAGATTATATTTATCCAAATCATTAATTGTCCTATCCTAATTTGAGAATATTGTAATAAAATAATTGAACATATAAGAAAATGTCTATTTTGTCTCACTCTGTACATACCTCTAACTTTTTGTTCTTGATTCTGTGATTTTTCTCTAATAATTTTAACACTATCCTGACTACTCTGTGGAATAGTTTTGGTCGCCATTATTTTCTGCGGTTTTATTTGCATTACATTAGTACTTTGTGTATTCGGTGTTTCATCTTTGGTCTGTGTACTTGAATGTTTATCACTGAAAGGAGATATAACACATAAGATCTCTATTTTAGCTACTGCCAAATATATCCAGTGGTTTAGACTACATAAATACACTGTATATATAAGATATATATATATATACTATTATGCTACAAAAAGCAATTGTATTGAGATTTATCATCAGCCTCATTTTAGTGCATATTATATAGTTGTTTGGTCAAGAACCGATCCTTCATCAACCGAACATTCATATTCATACAGAGAAATGGGTGAAAAGACATCATTGACCACTATTAAATAATTCACTTGCATAGAACACAGATTACAGCAGCTTATATTGAAAAATATTTTAGCTTAGCCGTTCTAAATATATATAAAAAAATGGTTTAGTAATCTATAATCAGCTGATGAGTATATAAATACACTAAAAAACTAAGAGTATGTCAAAATAGTAACAAAAGGAGTAATAATTAGGTCTAAAATTTAAAGATAGAGTAAAACTAGAAGAAATAAAAGACATGACAAAGTTTAGACAACCTGTTACATCTAGTAAAAGAATGAATAGGAAATGGACAGGACACATTATGACAGAAGACTAAGATAAATGGACAAAAAAAAACGACAAAATGGCTTCCTCGTTATGACAATAGAAAATGAGGAAGACAAATACAAACATGGTAAGATGATAAAATTAGAGCAGCTGGCCCTTTGTGGTTACGTTAAGCTAGACACAAAGAAGAGTGAAAGGTCTTAGAGGAGGCCTATGACCAAAGATAATCTGTAAAACAGAAATTAACCAGCTTGCAAATTAATTATAAGTGTATATAGTACTTCACATTTTAATAAGTAAGATAAGTTATTAAGTAGATAAGATTATAAGTCAATAAGTATTTTACAGCAATAAATAATAACCATCTAGTCATTAAAAAGATTGAATTATAAGGACTTAGGTATCTTCAGATTATATTACTGTATTAAAATTAATATAAGAATTAATCCTTACTCAGATGATTGTGTTCCAATTTTTCCTACATACAAGTTCTTCTCAACAATAATATTTAATTGTTCGATAATCTGACTCCGTTGCATTGAATATTGCTGAGGTATATCATAGTCACCGTTTCCTTCATAGGTATTTAGTATGCTTTCCACTTGAAATTATAACTTTAGGTTACTTATAAGTTAGGACAGTTAAAAAATCTACAAAGCTCTTCAAAAAAGGGAGTTAGTAGTAACTATACTCTTCAATGCACAACAACAAGCAATTTTGTCTCTATTTTGTTTTTTTATTAATAATAGGGTTGAATGTAAATAAATGATTTAACTTAATTGTCATTAAAACTATATGTTTAACCAGAGAAATATCATGAACATAAGGGTTTTTATATAGACTTACAATGCGGATGGCTGAATTCTCGAAAATGTGCTGGATTTAATCTATAACATTTATCACCATAACTGCATTCACGTTTCACTCTTTTTGAACTCTGAGCATCTGGAAATTTAACATACTAATGATCTTGAAATATCTATGTTGTTATAATAATAAATGTAATGTTTCAAAAGCTAAAAAGTTGGTAAGATTTTTGTTTTATTTGTTGATTTAGTGTAGCACGAAGTCCTTTGTCAAATAGCATTGTTTTATTTATTAATATCAAAAACCTTTCCAATTATTTTTTTCTGCATCTTTCACACAATAATGAACCAGTAAATAACCATTTTTATACACGTAGCAATATTTACAAAACTAATATATTACTGAAGGCAAATCATTTATAACCTTTGAATTACTATAAAATAGTTGTGTATCGAACTCAATGTCTGATAAGAGATTCCCAATAATTATAAAAGTAAAATTAAAAAAGTATTTACCGTTCATATTATTCATCCTTTTATTGTTTATATTCATGGTATCATTTCTTGATTAGCTCCTTGTTTTTTTTTCTACTTTCATCGAGGATGATAATTGGGTAGTAAATATTGAAAAAATAATTTTAATTATTAATTAAAATCGCAATTATAATATATTACAAAACATTCCAATTTTAAATCTTAAGAAATTCAAACTAAAAGTTTGAACCAACCAAGTGTCAGATGACAATTTACACTTAATGACAATTGAAGAACATACTTGTAAAAGGATTAATCTTGTCAAGTCATAGAGTAAAAATCCATTTACACCAAAATAACTTGGATTAATATTGCGATTTCCAATTACCGCACTAGAGCGCATTTTGCGGCATAATGCTCAACGTTGAGTGTTCCAACTACAGCAACGCTTCGCACAATTGAGGACTCTCAAAACGAATGCTCTCGCAAACAATACCAACACAGTGACAGAAAATTGACCAGTATTTTTCTTTAAGTTGGCATTTATCGAAATTTTCGTTAGTAAATATTATTTATTGTTGAAAAATTTGTAAGGCTTTCGTTTCGTCGTAGATTTTGAAAATAATTAAAGTTATTTCAAACTGCTAAAAAAATAAATATTAGTATGGATGAAGGTATAAATAGTTACTTTTTTTATATTCCACATTTAAAATATGAATACAATTTTATTTTAAAATTCGGATCTGTAAACAAATTTACTTTACAGGATTATACTTTAGAAAAAAAATTGCAATGGTTTTGAAAAAGTATATATTTTTTTAGAAATCATTAAAAAATATTACTCAAAACGTAAATGATGTAAACTTCTTACATGAAACTAAATATTTTACTGTTAATTTAGCTTGTTAAAACCTTATAGTCTTTAAAGGTTTTCTCTTATTTCAGTAAAAAAAATTTAATGAAATAATTTGATTATTAAATTAAGCGTAAAAAGTTTTCAACCAATTATTATTGTTTACCACATTATTTATACATTAATGAGGTTGCTAACTCTATTCAGACCATTTTTTTGTCAACACTGACTTAGCGCACTCTGCTGATGCATTTGAAAACTAATTCACGTTCCAATTAAGCTTCAGCATTATGCGGCATTGTGCGGCACTGAGTCGAAAAATGCTCTGTAATTGGAAAACGCACATAAAGTTTATAATCTTTTTAAACGTTCTTAAAGTTAATTCCAGTAAGCTAACCTTTACGACATCTATGACCTAAGAACAGAAGAAATCTTTAAGTACTCTAAACGTATCACATGATAAGCCTAGTTAATTAGCGCTTAGGGTAAGATTCAAATATGAAACATGAATAACTCAAACTCCCGTACGCCAAAAAAATGTAGCGAAGTAATAACAATAGTATTTTTTTATTTAATCGGACAATCATAAGTCCTTATATTTATTATTATGTAAATACATAATAATATCATAGTAGTGATCGTTTCTAAATCTCAGTCTTGAGCCCTGAATCTGACAGTAGGACTCATTGACCTATCCCCTTAAATGTAGAAAAAATAAAACGACTTTTTAATACAAAATTATTTATGTCCATAGCTGGATACCCTTATCTCAAAACGACAGAATCAATGTTGATGAAACATAGATTGTTCCCAACTATACTTTATATAGGAACAATTTTAATGAAATATGAAAACAATTTTATTTAAAATATTTATTAATTTTGTATAATAAGTTAACAAATACAAGTTAATGGCTGGTAGTGGCACTGCGCAAAGATTTCTCCAAATTCTTAAGTGCGGGAGTTACGTTTGTCCCCAAATCTTCAACCACACTTGTTAAATACACTGAAAAATAAAACACATTAAAATCCCATTGTCTATATAAATTAAATGAATCGATAAGCTGAGCTCAAAACTCGACCATGGCTGGACGGAACCGAGTATTTTTAAAATTTATTCCTTGAACTCTTGAGGAAAGTTTTTAGAACAAAATTGCACAGAAAACCCAGTTTTGATTCCGGAAAAGCGAACAATCTCTATGGGCAACGAACGAACAATAAGCTACACGAAGAAGAGAGAGCGAGAGAGACGGATGTTCTCCCAGTGTATCTTAATTACGAGAGCGAAGGAGACGGACGTTGCCCCGGTGCATCATAACTACGAGAGCAAGAGAGACGAACATCCCCCAGTTTATCTTAGTGCTGCCAAGGGCTAAATTCAGCTTTTTTGACCCCCTCCCCCCTATTGTCACGCTGTGTCACACTTTCTGTGACCCCCAGCCTTGAAATATTTCGTCACAAAAACTAAGACAACCCCCCCCCCTGCTGAGCAAGTTGAAGTGAATATGACGGCTCATTGGTCTAGTGGTTAGTACCGCTGACTGTGAATCCCCCATGGATTTGGGTTCGATCTCCGGCTGAGACAAACATCGATGTGATGAGCGTTTGGTGTTGTGCTTAGGTCTTGGGTGTTTAAATATGTATTTATATGTCTATCTATCAATGTATGTATATCCGTTGCCTAGTACCCATAACACAAGCTTCACCAGCTTAGCGACTAGGCCAATGACTTATGAACGGCCCCCAAGCGGCAATTTGGGTCGCAGAAAGTCCGACTTCCGAGCGCCTATAAGAACTGTGCATCTATCCTAGGTCTAAATTCGTTGCTATGGGGTAGCATAGTAAAATGTTCTATATGTTGGTATGTACTAAAAGGTAGGCTGCGTAAAATCATATGAAGGCGAAACGAACTTCGCCGGGGGAGCTAGTTTTTGAAGTGAAACTTCTTTATCGGGGTTGCCGGTTGGAAAAAAATTTAGTGTAATATTTTTGCGTTACGCGTCACATTTCTCCGTTACGCGCCATGTTGCTTTTTGAAGTCAAACTTCTTTATCGGCGTTAAAATATGACGTATAGTGATGTATTTTGACTTGTCGAAGTTTTTCCGAACAACGGCGAAATTACATTTTCGACTTGAAATTTGCTAATCGCAATTTGCAGCAATTAATTTGTAAATTGTATGCCTAGGCAGTGTATCAAAATTTACTTTGTTTAAAGAAATAGTTTCTAATAAGGTAATAAAGAAGTTTCACTTCTTACGTGTGTACACCTAGTACACGCACACATTTTTTTTTATTCAAGTGAAACTTCTTTATCGACGTGTGGGAGAAATTTTGTAGCAAATCGTCACGTTTTTCGGTTACGCGCCAAGTTGCTTTTTGAAGTCAAACTTCTTTATTTATTTATTATTTTTTTATTTATTATTTAAATTTTTTGTTGTAGCCTTTTAGGCCTGGTCAGATTTCTGCATATTTCGTGATCATTTATCCAAGTAAGTTTTTCCATCATATAAATGAAAGAATAGTTGAGGTTAAAAGACCCTCAACCAATTTTGAAAAACTGGAGCTTACCAATATCTGTGAGACAACGTTTCGTACCAAGCGGGTCCATGTTGCGTATATTAAGTATCTTCTCAGCGTACACTTCGCACGTATACGTGCAAACCTGCAATTACGTACTGCTAAAGATTTTATGGCCAGACCTTTAAGCCAATTTGAATTTGGACTGTGGATATCATGTTTACCAAAGAGTTTACAATTAGGTATATAAAAAGGTTACTGGCTGTCAATAATAAAAAAAAAGACGAATTTCATTGATTGTTCTGAATTCTTTATTCAAATTGGAAATGTTTAATTACTTAAAATTATGATGATGTTCAATGTCAGTCTCAATCGATAAATACAATTTCCGAATTCAATAAAATTAAAAAAAAATTTTTATCTCTGGTAGATTCTAGAATACTATATGAATAAAAAAAAATACCTCGGATAAAAATTGCCACGGCGCCTGTTTTTCCGATAAATGCATTTCCAGGTGCTGAGGTAATGTCATCAAATATTGACCAATCTGGAAAAAAATACAACAATATACGTTTTAATAGATGCTCAGTTACCATAGTTACAATTCGTCATGATCGTAGAACAATGTCGGATTTAAAAAAATCCAAAATCAACTTTTTATCATATTTGGGTACTACATTGTCTAAATATTACGGCATATTAAAAAAAACCCATGAGTTTTAAATTTCTAATTAATCAGTCGGTAATGTGACGGATCTCATAGATTTATCTAGAAAACTGTGTAATTTAATGTAATTTTTTTTATTTTGTTTCAAAACAAACCCTTTTGTTTGCTTGTATGCCAATTTTCATAATAACAGAATATGAATTAAAATAGTTATGACAAAAACTAACATGATTATATTATTTTGAAATGGCTGCCCTGTAATGTTTACTATTTGTCAGATCCGTCACTATTTTACGACTATGACGAATTATTCATCGTAACCATGGTAACCAACCATAAACAATTTTCACTCTCTTCTATAAAAGTCATTTTGTTTTTATAATACCACCTGAGAACACAGCTCGCTTTTAACACTTTATAAAAAGCTTTTTAGGTCTGGGCCCCAGATTTCTGCAACTATATCATGATTTTTCAATCTAATAGGCAAGTAGATGATCAGCCTCCTGTGCACACGCCGTCGACTTTTTGGGTCTTAGGCAAGCTGGTTTCCTTACGATGTCTTCCTTCACCGCTCGCGTTAAATGCGCATAGAAAAGTACATTGGTGTTCTGCCGGGAACCGAACCTACGACCACAGGGATGAGAGTCACGCTGAAGCTGAAGAGGATATAAATATTTTTGGGAATCGTTGACTTGTTTATGACTTCATACCTCAGTGATATACTCCTGTGGCGATAGCGCGAAGTCTGGAAGATCAGTTGACAGCGCATCATTATTGTACCATAATGATAGGTTCGGAATTTTATCTGAAAAAAAAAAACGAATATCGATTATACAGGGTGTCATTAGAAACGTTATGCTGATATCGGGTGATAGGGAAAGTCGTGGAAAACCCAAGAAAATTATTTGAAAAATTCTATATCACGTTTATTGCCGTTCGAAATTAATTTAATATTATGCAGCAGTTTTCTATAACTATGATATATCAAAATTTTTTGACGTGACAAATCTATGAAACTATAACGCCGGCACAAAAAGTAACACATTGTCCAGTTAGTCATTTACGCTTGCGCCGATCTACATTGACCATGTGTCCACGTTTACGCTCATTGTACCCATTTTTCTAAAAAGTACGCACCATTTTTGTTATGACATTGTCACGTGAGACTATCGTCCGTAAACCGACTTTATAGACAACAATATTTTTTTCAAATTCCTGTTTACAGCAAGTAAACAACAGAACCCCCCGCCCCCCCTTTTTTTTTTTCTCGAAAACCAGCGCCCGGCCCGTTTTTTTTGTTTTTCGTTTTTCGTTCTCAGTCTGATTTCGGTCGGAAATATTCTTCGTATATTTTATTTAACTTGTCTGTTACAGATAGTAAAAATGCTCATTTTTTTATATGGGCTATGCAATGTTGGCCAGTGTTAATATTTTTTAATTGTCAATACTCAATGGCGGTATTAGTAGCGTTCATTGTTCTGTTCCACAATCGCAAACAATAAAAAAAATGTTTGTCTGTAAAGTAGGTTTGGGGACGATAGTTTAACATCAAAAAAAATAATTGCATACAAGTCTCGAGTAGAAGAGAGGCGCGGGGCCCACAGAGAGTAGTATGAACTAAGGGACAGTGACTAACGGGACAATGCTACCGAGAGTCAGTAATTATCTTATAAGACGTTGTACTAAATAATGAACTAAACCCTGAGTGTAGACTACGCCATAATGCTTTTGGGTATGATTGCTTATTCATATTGACGTAATGGGCTACACTAGCCGCCGTCAGCTTATGGGTGTGTTGCCGACCTTTGAGGGAATGGTACGTTCTTTTTTGTGCAACTGGAAGAAGGTCTTAAAAAGTGTTGAGAGTTAAAAAGCCAGGCATGGAGATGAAAAGACTTTCTTGATAATCTGATGATGGAATTCTATTATTAATACTTACCTAATTGGACATCAACTGGATTCCTCAATATCGTCCTAGCGAGGGTCTTCAACTGATCTCGTAATCTGCGGAGCTCCGCTAGCGAGGGCGAAGCCCTAGTTTCTCGGGACTCCTGGCCTAACAGGACAGGAAGATCGAATAGGGGATTCTCATCGGGAGTTTCTTCTGAAATTTTAAAATAATATTTTAACTTGGAGCAGTGTTGCCTAGTGGCTTCAGCGTGCGACTCTCATCCCTGAGGTCGTAGGTTCGATCCCCGGCTGTGCACCAATGGTCTTTCTTTCCATGTGCGCATTTAATATTTGCTCGAACGGTGAAGGAAAACATCGTGAGGAAACCGACATGTCTTAGACCCAAAAAGTGGACGGCGTGTAAGGCACTGAAGGCTGATCACCTACTTGCCTATTAGATTTAAACATGATCATGAAACAGATTCAGAAATCTGAGGCCAAGACCTAAAGAGGTTATTTCAACTTTAACGAACATAATAGAATCTGTGCGGAAACAGAACTGTCATGGGATCAGTGGTGGCAATGATACAAAATGATTGCTCTGAAATTTCCTTTTGTTGTCAACACTGTACTTCATACAGTCCGACAGTAAATTTGATAATATGAACAAAATTAATATACATATAATATAATATGTATAATTAATATATATATAATAATATACATTTGACGGGTCATTAGTCTAGTGGTACCCCTGACTGCGAATCCATGGGTCCCGGGTTCGATCCCCGGCTGAGACGAACATCGATGTGATGAGCATTTGGTGTTGTGCTTAGGTCTTGGGTGTTTAAATATGTATTTATATGTCTATCTATCTATAATATGTATGTATATCCGTTGCCTAGTACCCATAACACAAGCTTCACCAGCTTAACATGGGACTAGGTCAATTGGTGTGAATTGTCCTATAAAAAAAAAAAAACATATTTTGAAAACATCATAACTGCCACGCCTATTTCCCACAGACATGTCCACATGACATCTTATGCAATTAATAATAATAACAAATTAAATTATTGCTTTCATTTATCCGAAATATCTCGGATTATAATAAGACATTATAAAATTCTCGTGTCGCAGTGTTTGTAGTTAAACTCCTCCGAAACGGCTTGACCGATTCTCATGAAATTTTGTGTGCATATTGGGTATGTGAGAATCGGACAACATCTATTTTTCATCCCCCTAAATGTTAAGGGTAGTATCCACCCCTAATTTTTTTTTTAATTTTTTCAAATACAGCATTAAAATTACATACAACCCTTAATTTTCACCCCTCTACGATCAACCCCTATTTTTAATTATAAATGATATACATCGCAAAACAAACGTTTGCCGGATCAGCTAGTTTAATATATATCAGTATATTTGGGCATTGTACCTGGTGCAGCCTGCCATTTAACCATTACATCAATGAGTAGACCAGCAGCTGTCTCCAGGGTCAAGGACGCGGGGAATGTCACGCTTAGAACACCTTCATGTTGACCTTTTGTTGCTGATGAGAGGAATGTGGTCTCAATCAGGCGCATGTGACTGCTTATTGAACGGAGGATTGTGGTCATAAATGTCTGCAACAATTAAAGAGTGTTTTAAATATCAATTGAATACTGTCGTCACTGTTTGAACAACTCTTTTTGTAGTGAAAATTCGTTAGGCGCATGAGAGTAAAATGTTAACGGAACGTCACGAAGATGTGCAGCGTTTTTTTCTTTAATAAAAATGTGCTAGTAAGCAATATTAATTGTGGTGCAATTATTCATACTTGAACACCGATGGTGGTGACATATCAATATCATTATTGTTTTATTAATTAAATTAAATTAAAAATAAATTAAATTTTATTAACTAAATTACCATTTTTTTTTGGCTTTGTATTTTTATAAGGGCACAGAAACAAGACCTTTTTGCTAAGACCCAGTTGGCTATTTTAGGCAATGTGGACAATAAGTTAGCAATTATGATAATAATGAATTTGTTATATTATTTGGTAATTACTACCATATTAATGGTGGTATTTCCATATACATGTAATGGAATGATATTTCATTAATTTGAATTTGACGCGTCGGAGTGACACGCGATAAAATGGCGGATGACGTGTAAATTAATTTAGTGGATTATAGTGTAAAAAGATAGATAAGTGGACATTAAATGTCGTTTCTTTGTATTTCAGAGAAACAATTTTGTGTTTTCATTTAGAAAAAATCCATAATAATATTCCTTTATAAAACGACATTTTTGTTAACTAAAAGAAGATGGACCGGCTGCAATTTGAGTTCACGATGATGGCCTCAATCGATGGCAAATCTAATATATTGGCCATAACTTCAATATTGACAGAAGAAGGAAAATGTTATGTTTTACCTGATGAATTGAAGCCGGTGATTCATCAATCAATTCAATGTTAGTTTTGGTTTTTAATTAGCCTTAGTATCATTCATTAATATAGAAAGACGGCAAAATTAAATTATGGGATTTGGGCAGCTTAATTACTCAATAATTAATTTACAAAGAATTTTCACGTCTGACATGTGTTTAGGTCGGTTATCGAAAGCTGGCGCGTTCACAGTACTCACACTAATGCAATTTCACTATACAGTATGTTTCAAAATATGATTTTTTTGCCAAGCTATATATTTTAGTCCACTCTGGTTTTAGTAAGGTTGGGTGGGTTGTAAATAAATAAAAATGTGTCAAATACATATAAATATTAGGTGCATACGAGGGTCCAGGAGTATGGTGGTGAACCCAGCTTTCAACAAATCAAAAAAAAAGGGTGCGTGTACTTATGTACGCGCGTAAGAAGTTATACTTCTTTGGCATTATTAAAAATAGTTTTTGATTGCATGCAAATAATTAATTACAATTAAATAATCAAAGACTGGAAAAGGAGTCATTATAGTCAATAAAGTTCAGTTTACATTTGAAAAATTAAATAAATAATTATTTATTATTATTCTCTTACATTAAGTGTAACATAAATTCTATTTAGTTAAAAGTATATATTATTATATATTTAGAACATCTCTACCAAACACTAAGAAGTATGTTGTAGCTTTGGCAGTATTGCACAATATAAAATTAATAAATTTCTTTGAAAAATTAATCAAAACTCCTTTATTTGTTTAAAAGGTAAATGACAAATCTCATTATGGTCATTCAAAATTCTTGGCATACGAACTTCACGCATATTCTATTTCTTTTTACTTGTAGATTGTCTTATTCCTATCTCGCTCGCGCACGCTATAATCACAGTCCTAATTTTGTGTCACAGGTGCGCGCGCATCGTAAAATTTCACTCTCATAAATTTTTCATAACGCGCCTAAAGAAGTATAACTTCAAAAACAATTTAGCTTTCAGCTTTCAGCATCTGATGTCAAATGAAATATAACATTTTTTCATTAAACTGTTTTTATTAAGATGCTTTTTTAAGCATTAAACACATTGTGCACCATTTCACGAGATTGCCCTGGTAAAGTTTGAAAAAAGATCAACATAAACAGTAGCAAAAGCAAAACAATAACTGTCTCTTTTATACTTATAAGTTTGACCGAGCGCGAGAGAGACGGACAGTCTTTTCATGATGTATTTGTGATTGTATTTCAGTTTGACATCACGCCTCGCGCTTATTCACAGACACTACACAAGCACAAAGTGTAAATGTGTTGAAGCCGCCAGCTTTAAATACCATACCAATACTTTGTACGCACGCTTTTTTTTTACGTTTTTCTTTTAGTTTTCCTGTACTAACCTAACTCCACTATTCCAGTTTTTTTTAATGTGTGATATTTAAAAGTGCATTTTTTGGGGGGGGGGGGGGGGGGGGGGGGGGGGGGGGGGGGGGGGGGGGGGGGGGGGGGGGGGGGGGGGGGGGGGGGGGGGGGGGGGGGGGGGGGGGAGGGGGGGGGGGGGGGGGGGGGGGGGGGGGGGGGGGGGGGGGGGGGGGGGGGGGGGGGGGGGGGGGGGGGGGGGGCCCGGGGGGGCGGGGGGGGGGGGGGGGGGGGGGGGGTGGGTGGGTGTTGGGGGTGGGTGGGGGGGGGGGGGGGGGGGGGGGGGTGGGGGGGGGGGGGGGGGGGGGGGGGGGGGGGGGGGGGGGGGGGGGGGGGGGGGGGGGGGGGGGGGGGGGGGGGGGGGGGGGGGGGGGGGGGGGGGGGGGGGGGGGGGGGGGGGGGGGGGTGGGTTGGGGGGGGGGGGGGGGGGGGGGGGGGGGGGGGGGGGGGGGGGGGGGGGGGGGGGGGGGGGGGGGGGGGGGGGGGGGGGGGGGGGGGGGGGGGGGGGGGGGGGGGGGGGGTGGGGTGTGTGGGGGGGGGGGGGGGGGGGGGGGGGGGGGGGGGGGGGGGGGGGGGGGGGGGGGGGGGGGGGGGGGTTGTGGGTGGTTGTGTTTGTGTGGTTGGTGTGGGGGGGGGGTGGGGGGGTGTTGTGTTTTTGTTTTTTTGTGGGGGGGGGGGGGGGGGGGGGGGGGGGGGGGGGGGGGGGGGGGGGGGGGGGGGGTGGGTGGTGTGGGGGGGGGGGGGGGGGGGGGGGGGGGGGGGGGGGGGGGGGGGGGGGGGGTGGGGGGGGGGGGGGGGGGGGGTGGGGGGGTGGGTTGTGTTTGTTTGGTGGGGGGGGGGGGGGGGGTGTTTTTTTTTTGTTTGGTTTTTTTTTTGTGGGGGGGGTTTTTTTTGTTGGGTGGGGTGGTTTTTTGTTTTTGGTTTTTTTGTTGGGGTTTGTTTTTTGGTTGGGGTGGGGGTGTTTTTTTTTTGGGGGGGGGGGGGGGTTTTGGTGGTTGGGGGGGGGGGGGGGGGGGGGGGGTTTTTTTAACTTTCCAATGAATTTTAGCCAAAAAGAAATTACCTCCAAGGCCGAACTAAAATGGATGAATATAGCATCTCCTGCAATCTTCTTCCCTCTGTTATAAGAAGAACTCAACCAGTTGTCGCTCTCTTCTGCTATTGATTGTATCGCTCTAGAGTTTTCTAGAAGATCCTTCTGAAAATAAAGACAATTTATTTGACCACTAGCTGCTAAAATTAGTCCAGCTCATTGTCAGCAATCGTAATATAGTCACATTTCATCATCATTTATGGAAAACATGGTTTGAATTGCTGTGATCCACGTGTCGCTTTTACAAGAGCGTTCGTTAGAGTTTCTTAACTCTTTTTTTTATAGAACGGGGGGCAAACGAGCAGGAGGCTCACCTGATGTTAAGTGATACCTCCGCCCATGGACACTCTCAATGCCAGAGGGCTCGCGAGTGCGTTGCCGGGCTTTTAAGAATTGGTACGCTCTTTTCCTGAAGGACCCTAAGTCGAATTGGTTCGGAAATACTTCAGTGGGCAGCTGATTCCACATAGTAGTGGTGCGCGGCAAAAACTGCCTTGAAAAACGCTCAGTTGTGGAACGGCGGACGTCGAGGTGATACGGGTGGAATTCTCTGTCTCGACGTGATGAAACTCAGCTGCAGGTATTAAAATTAAAATTCAAAAATCATTTATTCACGTAGGTAACACAATGTTCGTGTGATTCGTCATTAAAGAAATAAATATTAATGCTTCTAATTTTACATTTACTGCCAGTTCTCAAATCAAGGGCGTAGAACTGGCAATAAACTCTCCGCCACTCTTTTTAATCCCCATGTTTTTTTTTTACACAACGTTTGTAAGGAGCTGCAACCATTACACCATGTTCCACATGACATTTTAAGTAATTAATCCGAACAACTCCTCTGAACACTCTCCATGGTAACTCTTCTCAAATGTTAATTGTAAGAGGGTATTTGATTGTTTGGTAAAATAGGGATCCCTAATATAAAAGGTGTGAAAAATTATCCATAAAAATCTGTCATCGCGTGCGCAGGAAACTATTGATGATAGAACAATAAAATGTCGTACAGTATAGAACGTATCAATATCTACAAAAATGTTTTACCCGTGGGCAATTGTTTGTTGGCCTATCCCGAGTAGTAACTACAAAACATGAAATTATTTTGCTGCCACAAAACTACGTCAAATGCTGTGTATAGGGAAGTTCTAATATAAATGATGTGTATGTGTACAATTTGTGTTATATTATCTTAATATATATATTTCTTGTGTGCGTGTGTATGTGACTGAACTTCTCTCAAACGACTGGACCGATTTTGATGAAATTTTTTGTGTGTGTTCAAGGGGATCTGGGAATGGTTTAGATTCACAAATCAGCCCGGCAGATGGCACTGCAGTCGGTACTTTCATACTTTGCTTAATATCCTAATCGCTTTAAATATCATGCAGGACAACGTCTGTGGGGTCCACTAGTATTGTATAATTTTATCCATATTTATAAACATATTTATGTAATTTCAGATAAATGAAGACTTGTTCCCTCTCAGTGATAAACCGCATCGTTTAATAATACCATACGACATACCTCCCATCAAATACACGAGCGATATGTCGCCATGGGTTTCTGATTATTTACATTGATTTTTACCTTTTTCTATTTAGAGTCCGTTCAAGTATAACGTAAGCAGATTTACTGCATTTTATCCCCCCCTTCGTTTTCAAGCATAGATAATGTATGGGTATATACTTTGAACCAATAGTTCAGGAGTTTAAAAAAAATCGAGTATACATTATGCGGGTACATCAAAATTTCATACCTCATCCAAGTGTTTCAGCCTATATCTATATCTCACACGAAATTTTAACCAATAGTTCAGGAGATTAAAAAAATTATAAGTAAAATAATGCGGGTACATCAAAATTTCATACCTCATACAAGTTTTTCAGCCTATATCTATATCCCACACGAACTTTTAACCAATACCTAGTTCAGAAGATTAAAAAAAAAATAAGTAAAATAATGCGGGTACATCAAAATTTCATACCTCATACAAGTTTTTCAGCCTATATCTATATCCCACACGAACTTTTAACCAATACCTAGTTCAGAAGATTTAAAAAAAAAATAAGTAAAATAATGCGGGTACATCAAAATCTCATACCTCATTCAACCGCGGATCATCTAAATAAGCGAGAAATATTTGAGTCTGAAGTTGTTGATAACTCGGCATCATTTCTCTCAACGGGGCGTAAACAATTTTGCCCAATTCTCTTAGAGTTGCTTTTGATAATTTCTCTGGAAAAAATATCCATATATTAGGAACATTAAATGGAACATGTTTGGTTATACGTCAAATGTGGCAGACCTCGTACGTTAGGCACGTATGGAAAACTAAATCTTAAAAGAACTGGCAACCCTCAGATCAAGAAGTGTGTGACAGAATTTTGACCACTTGCCTATTATATCAAAAACGTCCAAGACAGAAGAAGAAGAGTAGACATTTAATGTGTGTAAACAAAATAAACGTGTGTGTACTTATGTAGACGCGTTAGAAGTTATACTTCTTAGGCGTAATAATTTTCTTCGAGCACTTTAGAGGGACGTTTCCCTCTTCGAATTGCATTTTTCTTGTCCATTTTAATGGTCACTTCCCTTCGAAACGATATAATATGTACTAATCATGATATTTTACAATAAACACTATGTTTTTTATCACATTGGAACGGGTTTTCATGGTTTAAATAAACACGACTCTGAAAAACACTTCGCCATTACAGACAATGCAACTTGTCGATAAAACAGAGCAAGCGCCAACCAGCGGCCCAGACTGTTTAACCGACGTTTGAACAGATATTCAGGGTGTCGGTTTTTTGTGCATCGTAAAAATTTACTCTCATAATTTTTCCTAACGCGCCAAAAGAAATATAACTTTTAAAATCTAAATTCAGTCCTCTGAAAGGAAAAAAGCGTTGAGCGAAGGATGTGGTGTGGCCGGTGCTTGTTTCCATTAAGTCAGCATATTGCCATTAAAGCTTAGGTTTCCTAGAACAGCGGTGTCGTTAACTAACGGCCGCCATTTTACGGTTGTCAATAACGGCCGTCTTTACTTTTTAACATAATGCAAAAAAACAATCATTTTCGCTCGTCCAAGTCACTCATTGTATTAATTAAATATGAGTACCGCTACACGCAAAAAACGTTGAACTAATGTTTATCACCGCTATGACGGCCGACATGCAAATGACATCACCGCTATTTGACGTTACGGTGACACTCAACGTTCTCTAGAAACCCTATTGACGTTACCCAACGTTACATTACGGCCGTTAGATAACGGCACCGCTTTTCTAGGAAACCTAAGCTTTAGTGTATTTCGCGTGCTCCGGGGAACTAAGTCGTAAAAGCAAAAACTATTAAACCGCACATTACGACGGTAATTTTGACGAATGTCTGGAACGTAATAATATATTACCAATATTTTGAAACAGGAATATATTTTCAACAATCTTTCAAAATAAAATAAAATAAAATATGTTTATTATGGAACATAAGATACATGTATCACTTATTCCACGTCATTAAATTTGAAGGCATCCCTACTCATCGGCAAAGAAGACAGAGGGTGTAGGCCGAGAGAAAAAGCCGGCGTAAAAAACTCTCGGTACTCTTTTAAAACAGCAAATCATCAAACAACAGTATGAATAACCTTCTACTTAATGCAAAAAAGACAAAATGCATTAAATTTTGTGCAAAAAATGCAAGGGTTATGGATACTAGACCAATTATAAACGGTGAGGAATTGAATCTGGATGATACAACTGTATTTCTCGGAATCACCATGGATTCAAAACTTCAGTGGTCCCCTCATATTAACGGATTGGCGAAGAGACTTAGTTCTGCAGCCTACGCGGTTAAAAAAAATTCGCTCACTAACTGATGTCGATACAGCTAGACTTGTTTATTTTAGTTACTTATCATAGCTTAATGACTTATGGCTTATTATTATGGGGTCATGCTGCTGATGTCGAAACTATTTTCATCCTGCAGAAGGGCTATTCGTGCAATCTATAATTTAAAATGTAGGGAATCTCTTAGAGATAAATTCAAGGAAATTAATATACTTAACCTTTCCCTCGCAATATATTTATGAAAATATTATGTATGTATAAAAAATAGTGATAAGTTTACTAGAATAGAACATACGCACAATGTTAATACACGGAACAAACGACAGGCTGCAATTTCCCCGTATACTAGACTATCAAAGTTAGTAATTCTTTGGGAAAGGGATACTCTTCTTTAATAAAATCTTCCAGAGGCTCTTTTATCACTGCCCTTTCAATAAATTTAAAAAAATGTTTGAAAAGGAATAGATTTTAAAAAAGCTTTAAAGTCAACGATTATCTAGTTGATAAAAGGCCTGGGACTAGTGCTAGACAGGCTACTTCTAATCAATTTGCGATATTAGTTTTAAATAAGTGTTGTTTGATGATCCTTGCTGTTTTAAAAGAGTACCGAGAGTTTTTAAGCCGGCGTCTCTGGTCCTTTTAAAACACATATCTTATTCAACACTTATTTAAAACAAATATCGCAAATTGATTAGAAGTAGCCTGTCTAGCACTAGTCCCAGGCCCTTTTATCAACTAGATAATCGTTGACTTTATAGTAAGCCTTTTTACACAGCTTTTCTTTAATACATTTCTTAAATTTATTGAAAGGCAGTGATAAAAGAGCCTCTGGGATTTTATTAAAGAAGAGTATCCCTTTCCCCAAAAAAAGAATTACTAACTTTAGATAGTCTAGTACGGGGAAATTGCAGCCTGCGTTTGTTCCGTGTATTAACATTGTGCGTATGTTCTATTCTAGTAAACTTATCACTATTTTTGTATACATACATAATATTTTCATAAATATATTGCGAGGGAAAGGTAAGTATATTAATTTCCTTGAATTTATCTCTAAGAGATTCCCTACATTTTAAATTATAGATTGCACGAATAGCCCTCTTCTGCAGGATGAAAATAGTTTCGACATCAGCAGCATGACCCCATAATAATAAGCCATAAGTCATTAAGCTATGAAAGTAACTAAAATTTCTGTCTAAACTGTCGCTAACTTCTACGACTATTTGGTACATTTACAATCTAAACTATCTTTATGCTACCTATTTTAGAAAAAATAAAATTAGGTAAACGAGTATTACTAACATTGTGCACAAAATAATTTCCGTAGAATAAAGGGGGGGTTATTATGTTGTTCCTTCATAAACCAAATTTTTTCATAAACCAGATATCCAAATTTATTATTAAAGATGGCGCTTATATACCTTATTAGTACATACCTTTATTACCAACACCTATGAGTCTAATAATACAATCAATAAATTCATTTATATCTGCTTTCAAATCGATCAACATGGTCATCCCTTCATCAGCTGATTGGCATAATTTAAAATTCGCCGACACAATCTAAAATAATTAAATATTCGATTTTTATTAACATCCAAAATTACATTAAATACCACATCGCCACATGTGTCTCATTAGAGTTGTAGTCACAATTGTCTGAAAGAGTAATTATAAGAAACGTGTTCTATCTGTCTTCTTTTGGTTAGGCAATGGCCATTAATTGTAGCCTATTTGAAGAAACAGTACAGCCTTCTAGCGAGCTCGTTAGAACCCGACACTCATGACGTCACGAATCGATGTTTGCCATCACTCGAAGAGCTCGACTCGCGATGAATCGGCTCACACACTAATACGCACGTAAGACCAATGACCTCCGTTCAATGACCTGAGGTCAATGACCGACCTTGAGCAATCGTGCGTTTGCTTGTTTCCTCATTTAGTTATGACTTTTATATATATTCACTAACTCCCTCGCTACAGCCTTTAAAGCGTTAAGTTGTTATAACGCGTGGCCAATTCATGATATTGCCAATCATAAACTTGCGTAATTGCAATCTATCACTTGTAAGTCTCAGCTTTTAAAAGGCTGTCAACGCACTTGCGGAGCCTTCTGGCAATGGGAGTTTCCATGAGCGGCGGTCCACTTAACATCAGATGAGCTTTCTGTCCGTTTGCCCCCTATTCTATAAAAAAAGTCTTAGTTCTAAACTTTTTTGTAATGTTAAGAGTTTCTCTTTCCAATAAATATCTAAATATCATTTTTAAATGATCAAATTGTAAAATAATGAATTTCCTAACGGGGTTTTTAATAATATTCATAGGCCATATCCGGCTCGAAGGACCATTAAAAAATGGATATTTTTAAATAAATTAGTGCGACTATTAAAATTATACGTATAAATCGTTGTACAAAGCTTCATAAAAGATTCCCAATTTTATTATCTATTGTTTAAAATACCTTAGTCGGTGACGGATCCAAAGACAAAAGCAGGTCTGTGTAAAGTCTTATCAATTCCGCTATAGGCGTTTCCGACTTTAGTACTGTTGTCAGCCACTCAACCTAAAACCAATTTAATATAAATAATACGTATGGCGATGCAGAAAACATACTTAAGACAAGTGATCAGTCTTCATTCTGACACATGTCATCTAATCGAATGGGTGCACCAAAAACAAAATTATTTATTCATATAGGTAATATAATGTACACTTATGAACGTCAAAAAATAAATATAAATTGAATTCTTCTAATTTTACATTTACTGCCAGTTCTCAAATCAAGGGCGTAGGACTGGCACTAAACTCTACGCCACTCTTTTTAATCGTCAAGTTCTTTTTTTACAAAATATTTGTAAGGAGCTGCAACCATTACACCATGTTCCACATGGCATCTTAAATAATTAAAAGTTAATTAATAATAATAATAAAATAAATAAAAACAAAGATTTGTCCTCTATCAGCAGGAGGCATGGTGAAATAGCACGCACTTACATTCTCGTGGGAACAACACGCAAATACATAGTCGAAGATTGTGAAGAAACTCTTCCTTAAACCCAAAACTAGAAGTGTCGGACACAGAGGGCTGATCACCTACTTGCCTATTAGTAAAATTATCACGAAAGAAATACAGAAATCAAGTTATAGCGTTTTTTTGAAGTGAAACTTCTTTAGACGCATGAGGGTAAAATTTTTACGGATGAAACGCGTCACAAAGATGTGCAGCGATTTTGTCGAAGAAAAGGGAGAGAGCGATTGAGAGAGAGCGAGAAGGGCGAATTACTTTATAGAAATTCCATTTTATAATTCATACAAAATAATTTATTGAAATCTCAAATGACGAATTGTATATTATAATGTCACTTGTTTTTATTAAAATATATTTTTTATTAATTTTCGACACTTAATATTTTAATGACAATTAAATTCATTAAATACTTTAAACATACCTTCCTTTTCCCTCCCTCTAAGTCTCGGAAATCTAAAGTTTTAGATTTGTATAAATATGAACAAGACTTAAAAATTAGTTTGCCAAAGTAGTTTCACTTCTGACATATGTACTCTGTACGCACACACTTTTTGAAGTGAAAGCTTCTTTAGCGGCGTTGTACACTTTTTTTGGAATGGGTCAAAAATTTTAAACTCGCGTCAGGACACGTGACCTGATCGAAAATTCGTAAGACAGATGGAGAGTAGACAGATGGCGTGGCGTATTTAATGTAATATAAATTGTTATGTTTGTGTACGATAGCGCAATAAATAAATATTGTATTTTACCACATAAATGATAGTACTTTTATACTGATAATTAAAGCAAGTCGTGCCAAATTATTCCCTAACCATTCCAAAATATCAAAAATGCACAACGTTAATATTCAAGTTTTCACTTCTGCCAGCACTCCCGGAGTGCAACCCGTCGTTTTTTTTATTCTCACCTGTCTATTAGCATCACTGGTGAGTTGTCGAGTAAGTGCCGCGAGAGAGTGAGAGTCAAGACGCCGCCAATTCGACGAATGTCTAGCGGCCGCAGCGCGTCGCCAACAACGATGTGCGGACACGGAACGATTCATACCGCGGAATATTGACACATAGGCACTCGTGCGATCTGTTAACCCAACATTTAACACATGAAAATAATATACAGGGTGGCCAAAAAGTCGTGAATCAAACGCAACTAAGGGATTTATTTATTTATTTAGTTATTAAGCTTACGACATCACACACAGTACTAAATCTACTAATTATTTTACAAAATTTTACATCTTAAATGTGTGACAATTAAAGTAAACACAAGTTACACAAAAAAAATAGAAATTAAAAAATATAATTAAAACGTTTACAAGATAATACAAGCACACAATAAAATAGAATAAAATTATAGAAATTTGTTGGCACTTAAAGCAGAAAAAAAAAACATCAGCAAACCAGCGAAATTAGGTTCGAGAAAGGTACCCCACAATGCTTTCTCTAAAACCAATCAGCCCACTACCGAATATATTCAGCTCCGGATAAGCTGTGTTCAACCCGTTAAAATCGGGAGGAATTCGAACGAGAGGTGCCTGAACTCCTAGGTTGGTTTTGGCAGAAGGAATTTGGAAGATATTGTTGATTTTAAACCTAGGGAATGAGTAAGGAACGACAATTTTGATATCCTGTAAGAGGTCACTGCTCTGTATATGGTTATTGAGCCATTTATGTAAGAAGGTATAGAAGGTCATCTGCAAAAAATTATTCTACGGGAGGTCCCTAAGCTCAACCCCTGCAGAGTTATAATTTATTTTGCGTTTTTATAAGAAAATTGACATTTTATACTGTCTTATTAAAATTCGAAAAAATCTACATCCTGTATCTTTTTCATAATATCCACTAGATTGGTATTGATGAGTTGTTGCGTTAGACATGCTATTTATAGTTGTTTATTGAGTGTATTGAAGATAATATTAAGTTATACGTTATAAAAATTTCTTAAATCATAACTTTTTGTTTACTTTACCCCCACTGTAAAAAAAAAATCTACAGTGACCCTGTATTACAAGTTTTGGCGCATTTAATAGGGATTTTTAAATGTGGGTAAGTTAACTCAAAAAATTAAACAAAATCGTCACGTAAAAAAGAAAAATGCTTTTAGTATTAACAATAATATCCAAAAATTGCGTGACGTAATACTTGAACGCTCCCTTATTGAGAGTCTAATTGCTCTACCATGTTCATTGCATACATTAAAAAGGTTTCTTACCTGCATCCATTTGAGTGAGTGCTTCGATGAATGCTGGGCTTATGGCCGCCTCTAGCCTGTTATATAACAATTCCAACTGTGTGCGTTTCTTCTCATAGTCGGGTGCATCGCTAAGAACCTGAAAAAACACAATATAAATATCTAAGGAGATATCATAGTTAAAAAGAGAAAGTACACATGTCAAAAGTGAAACTTCTTTGGCAAACTAATTTTTAAGTCTTGTTCATATTTATACAAATCTAAAACTTCAATTCCCGAGACTTAGAGGGGAAAAGGAAGATATGTTTGGAATTTAATTGTCATTTCAATAAAAGTATAAAAAAATTTTTTTTTTAAACACGTGGCATTTTAATTTACAATTCGTCATTTGAGATTTCAATAAATTATTTTGCATAAAATATTAAATACTAATATTTGATAAATTTTCTTTACGAAATTTTAATTTTAAAAATATTTTCTATAAGGTAATTCGCCCTTCTCACTCTCTCTCAATCGGTCTCAATCGCTCTCTCCATTTTCTTCGACAAAAACGCTGCACATCTTCGTGACGCTAATATTATTACTATTGCGTTGCATCCATCAAAATTTAACCCTCATAATTTTAACCAAAAAAGCCAAATTATTAAATTGATGGAAGGTAATTGCTTTCCCTCCGACCTAAAGGGATTCCCGATCTAACCTCCGACTTGCCCACCCATAAGGTTAAGAAGTTGCAGAAAATACCTCTAAGCTATCAGTCATAGCGACCACCAGCTCAGCCACCTCCTTCAGCTTGTCAAGTTGTGTTGGTATCCCTGCTTCCAAGGTGTCTTCGAGTGAGGAAGCCAATGCCGCCCATTTATCTGCCTCGCGGAGGGCTGATGCCGCATTCTGTGAACAGATGTTTGGACGTATGAGGGACTCAGATTCGGTTTCCGGGTAAAAAAGTATTTCCTTCAGAAACGAAAATATAACTCTGCCGTGCATAATAACTAAAAGCCGTAGTAGCGAATAAAAATAAATTTTACATATACATTATATTCAACAGATACTCGAGATAGAAAGACACAAAAAACAATAGGAGTTACTAAAAAAAATTTTCAAACCGGCTAATCTATAGGCCGCCCGTATACTTTAGTGCGCAAGCGCACATGCCGTGTACAATCATATAAAAGTTTCACGTTTATAATCCTCACATCTATACTAATATTATAAAGAGGAAAGATTTGATTTTTTGTTTGTTTGAAATGAATAGGCTCCGAAACTACTGGACCGATTTCAAAAATTCTTTCACCGTTGGCAAGCTACACTATTCCCGAGTGACAGGCTTTGCTATATGTTTCTAAAAATAAAGATGCTTACTAAAACTTGAATAATCTAACCCAAGGTGTAAAAAAATAAACAAAAAACTTCCTTCAATCGCGCGCGCTGCGAAAACTATTAATGATAGAAGAAAATGATGTACTACAATTTTTCAGGACACATTACTATCTATAAAAAATGTCGCGACAGCATATCTCTATCTTTTATAGTTAGTCACAATAAGCGTCCCTTTATTATTTTTTTTTATTAAAATACGACCGCTAGAAAAGGCTCTTTATTCGTACCTAGGTATTGATCCTTATCAAAATAATTACCAACGTTTCTTATAAGCTACAATTGAATGGCATAACCACCAAAAAAGCATGGTGGATTGGTGTTCTCCTGCCGTTTCTCTTGAATAGTTTACTACTATGTAATATAACAAAAATCTTAGCCACAGCAACGCTTGGCCGAGTCTACTAGTATAAAATAAATTCTTGTATTCATTTAACTAAACATAACAATCAAATATACAGTATTTACAAATTTCTTAACCTACAAAGTAATAATAAGAATAATTAAAAATTAATAAAAAAAAAAAAAACAAATTTAAAAAGTTTGGTCCCTGTGGCAGTGTACCTTTAATGCTGGCAGCATTTCCTCGCTGTATTGCGATACTTATTCGTTGAGGAAAGCACCAGCTCTGGGGTCACCGGTACTATCTACCAGGCGCCAACTTATCTTTAATTAGCGTCTGTGCACTTGAAACACCGGCCCAAGAGTCTCTACACCAAAGAGCACAAAATCGAAGTTGGAGGAAAAACATTTATTATTTTCTGCCTCTTACCTCTAATCGGCTCTTCAATAAATCTATCTTCTGTAAACTCTCAATAGAGTGCCCAGTCTCTTCTTCCACGCTCTGAACTTGCTGTTCTAAACTTCTTAACTTCTGTTGGAGTAACGCACCTTCTAGTTGTAACGACGAAACATCTTGAATGATTCGAGGCACAGTTGTAAGTATCTGAAATTAATTAAAAAACTTTATTTAATTTTAATTATATAAATATAATAAAATAATGAATTAATTTGAAAAGCTCTTTTCAGTTTTTGATGTCAGTTAAAAATAAAAGAGTTAATTAATTTGAGTTCTTATGTGGGTAGTTTCATTATTAGTAATAATTTATTACTAATAAGTGTGGGTAGATAAAGTAGAAATTGTCACAATGTAAAGATCATAACAAATTTTTTCTGCCGATTAATATTTCCTATAGAAAAATGAGAAATGTGGTAGCATTGCATCTGATTTGTTAAGGGTGTACAGTAGACAACGGACATCCAACCGTAAGAGAGTTTATTGCCAGTTCTTCTCGTCCGTCTACGCCCTTGATTCAAGAATTTTATTTTGGTAGCATGTTTTTTTAAACTAAATAAATCGACTGTCTATGGTTTTACATATCATACAACCTGAGGTCTTTTTGATTAATTTCAACAATGACAGTTCTGGTTTGAAATGCAAATATGCAAAATTGTCAGAGAATATAAACCAAAGTTTGTCTGCTCTATATCATAACCAGTTACAGCACTAAAATCCACCAGTTTAAAGATTATAAAAACAGCATAGCTATGATTTGAATGCATGCCCCTTGGGTTGAGACTCATTTGCTAACCACTAGGCCAACACTGCCCTTGACCAAATAATGGCTATTAACGTAACAGGGGTACTATTAAATCAATTACATAATTATAATTACCAGCTTACTTGAGTTGTTGTTTCATCTAATGAGTTACTAAGTTGTTTCATATACAGTTGAAGTCTTGTCACTGTATTGGCTACGAATATCTGAAATTATGGTAAAATTATCATTTTAAGAGCAAAGTTAGGAAATACAATTGTCCAGCAAGATTGTTTATGAGTGTCAATTAAAAAGGTACCCACTTATTCGCTTCTATCATACATCAGTCTCATTGCACTCTTTTAACTAAAATATACTTTTGTCTCTTTCTGCCAAACTGTGTGTATGCTGTGATGATTAGAAACAGATTAATTATAACTATTAGACTAAATTTGGTTTGGGTGAATAAGTGGGTTTATTTTAAAAAGAACAAGATAGAATGAATAGATTGATGTAAACTAAGCATATCAGATTAGAAGATATAAAACTATCACAATATGCATAAAATATGAAAACAATTTATTGCTGATATGTTTATCTCATAATATTGGTAAGAAAATAAAAATGAATTTATTTTAACTAAATTTACCCACCTCTTTATCTTGATTCCCACTAATACTCCAAGCCCGGTTGATCCAGTCCTTGGGGTCAAATTCATCATCAGCGAAAGTTTTCAAGTCCTATTTGGGAAAACGGACATAATAAGGATTTGTTTACTTTATGAAAACCTAAACTAATATAAACATATGAATTTATAGTACATACCATTTTTGCACTTTACGTACTTAAGTTTAGTAAAATTATTTGAGAACACTTTTTACTTCATAATAAACACACAATATGAATTTATTATATTTTACTACAATTTCTTAATGACAATTTAATAACAAATAATAAAAACAGACAATATACATTAGACAGCTGAGCTGACACATATATTTTTTTTTAAACAATTTATTTCATAACCATGGATACAGAGTCCTTCAGTCGGAAACATAGAATTACATTGACACATCAAATCAGTTGACAATGTTGCCACATACCTATATATTATATAACCGTTACATTATTATGTTGAATTGTGTTTGTTGAATTTCATCAGATTTGAAAATCATTAAGCATTAATAAGTTATAAATTAGTGTGTAAAAATAGTAATCACTGAATTCTAATTTCTTTTTATTAAACTTCTGACACGCGTAGTTAATAAAGATACAATAAGTTAAAGTATTATATCTTTATCTCCTTCTTACGCATTAGGATGTGGCTTTAGAAAACAAATGATAAGTATTAAGTCATAGTTCATTTTCATTACTTTAGCGCGGTTTTAACTTTTAGCTTCTGTTCTTATTACAGGGGGTCTAGCCATATTGGTGTCGAAAAGTATTCTACATACACTACCGCTTTTGCGTAATTGTATTGTCGAAAACGCTTCGTTCGTAGCCAAGAGACATGTCGATACATTACCGCAAAGTCGACAGCGTAGATGCGAGCTGCTGTTCGTAGCACCTTATTCCGTCATATTGTCTCTGGATTAAATGTATTCCTAATGTCACTTTTATAAACAAATAAAAGTTAAAACTTTACAATATTATTGTAAATTTGCAATTGGAAGCTACAAAAGGGACATTAGAATGTCAGCAAGGTCGGAACAATTTTCGATTTAAGTGGAATTTACGGAAGGTGCAAAGTGAATATATGAATTTTAATTGCATGTTTAAATTAATTATGGTTTGTTTCATGTTTTCTCAGAAATTTAAGGCTACAAATAAATACAATATTTTGAAATTGCATAATCGCGATATATAATAATTAGTAGTACTCATACTTTGATATTTTTAGGATTTGACCTCACAACTAATCTACAAAATGAAGAAGCAACATATTTTGTTACCGCTTAGAAGAAACAATAAAAATAGTACTGTGGATTGATAAATAAAAAGTGAAAATAAGGTTGACTAGAAGTTGATAAAGTCCAAGGAATTAAAAAACAATAGAAAAAAAAACGTAGACTAGTGTGATCACTGAAATTAGAGTTTGATTTAAGCTTTAATTAGGTTTGGTGTTTGTGCTTGAACATTTTTAATGTCAATTTGAAAGCAGATTTATATATAAGTGTAGATTTTATTAGTGATTTGCTACTAGTTGGAATTATCTCTGTTTATGTCCAACAAACAATTTCAGTTTAAGTTAGAGTCATAAAAGTTGATTGTTTATAATATATTTATACTTTTAGAAAGTGAGAATTGAAAAACAGCAAGTACCTACTCAATGAAATGAAAAGAGGAATTAATAAAAATTATAAAATAGAAACTTAGTCTGGTATGAAATTATAACCCTTAATCAACCTTTGATTCCATATTGATGCTCCAACATCTTAGATATAATAGATATAAATTTAAGTTTGATGCTGATTTTAAGTTAATATTTATGTCAATTAACTTTTGGTTATATCAGTGATTTGCTACTAGTTAATATGTAAATGCAAAATCTGTTTAAGTAAGAAATGAATAAACATTGTATGTTATGTATTTGTCAGTTTTATTTTTGGTAATTTACCTATGTCTTCTTTAGTAGGAAAAGCCATTAAAGTGGTTCACAATATTAGTTTATTTTACAAGAATATACAGATAATGCATATATGAATTACCCATACCTACTAATAGTTAGGAATATTAAACAAACAGGTAGCAAAATAAAAATGTTTCAGTTATGGTTATTTTTTATTAAAATAAGGCACCAAATATCTTCCTTAACATAATGCAGTCTACATAGAAAAATAAGCATATGTAACAACTTATTAAACAATACAGACATTACTACTGAACACACGCAGGTGCACCAAATTAAATGCATTACTACCTAATGATGTATTCATATATGTAGATAATTAACTAATGTAAGTGTTAATTTGCAGCAATGTCAATATCTTGTTTGTGTGCTGTTATATACAAAAAATTGTTCAATTCATAAAACCTAACGTTAGATGTTGTGATGATTTCATAAAATTACTATGATACCTACAGTTACTATGAATACATCCTGGGCGATTAAAAAAATAGTGATTGTTTCCTTAACACAACAATTGTAAATAATAATAGTTATTGTAAAGATATAATTCTTCCCAAAATCTACAAATGCAGTTTGTTTATAATAATATCTCATTAATATATCTATATCTCATCAAAATTCAAATTTAATTAAAAGATAAGACTTTAATAAAACTTGTCCATTTGTGGTTTTTTTTAATACTTTTAGTTGTCTTTTTCTGAAAATAAAATATTTTAGTTAGTACTTTGATCAATAGGTAACTTTAATATTAAAAGTCTTTACTTCATTCTAAACTTAAAAATATACTTAATTTGTCACTTTGCTGCTTATTGTCAATTAAAGTTTTTAATAACCAAACAATGTCAGTAACTCCCAAAGGACTTGAATTAAAACTTCTCATTCATTAACAATATTATAATAACTTCTCTAGTATATTAACTTAGTAAATAATTAAAGAAAATATCTGCTTACCATTAAGTACTTAGTATTGCTCACTATATTTTATATTTCCAAAGTTCATGAAGTAAAAATCCACTTTATTTGATTAATTTAAATCAATATTATATCATTAGCTTCTATTATAATTACAATAAAATATATTTAGAACTTCTAATAATGTTCATTAGTGACTGCTTTCTCATCTGAAATATACAAATATTATGTACAATCATTTTACTTTGTGATTACATAATATAAGCAATATTAAATGGTATATGTATTTTTCAAATTAAAGAAAAATAAAAGATATCCAATATAACTAGGATTTACCTCTACTAATTTGCTGATTTTCTTGATATTTTCATATTTATCTGTGTCTATTATGTTATCCTCGCATTGATTCAAAGAAAAACTAAAACTCTTAACTTAAAAATATTGACTCTAGTTTAAATTATTATAATTACACGAGAACGTTAAAAAAAGACAGATAACAAATTAAAACCATTTCGTTAAAATGTCCAATATATGACATGTTTTTAAAACGGTAGCCATTAAAGATGGCGATAGTTGTACTGAATTATTGCAAACAGCAGCTTTTGAGATCACGCTAAAACATGGCGGAGAAACGCCGTTTTTTCTACACTGCCGAAACATTAATTGGCCGTTGGCTACCGAATAGCGTAAGCGTTAATGTGTGTCTTTTCGTAGCACTGTCATGGCGTCGCTTATTGTATCCCGACTCACGCCTTTAGGGCCTAGGCTACCGACTGTCGACACGAGCTGTCATTTTCATACAAATTTAGTTTTCGACTTTCTACATACACTACTGTTAAGCCATCTTGGCTAGACCCCCAGGACAATAATAGTCGGTAAGTTGTGATGACAATTGACAATTTTAAATTGTTTTTATTTTATTTAGTTTTATAAAATTAAAAAAAATGGTTTTAGTCAGCTCTGTCACAGCTGTCACAATTTTTAATCATAGCACTATGTAGTATGATGTTAGAAAAAATATCGATTACGAAGTTTTATTTAATTTATAATTATGTGAAAGTCCTCAAATAATTTATTAGCTTTTTATGTTATAATGCTAACGATTATTCCTTATTTCTTTGCTAAATATCTTAATTAATTTATTAGTGTAATAAAGGTATATTCAATTTGATTGTAACAATAAACCGTACTTATAGCCTATTTAGTTCTTAACCGTATATATAGCCTATTTAGCTACCTTAAAGTTTTAGTTTAAGACCTAATTAGCTACCTAATTAGGTCTTATAGTTTATATAACTTGGTGTGCTTTCGTCTAGTCGGCTTAAGCCTTAACCTTGTGAATTTTATTTAAATCTGACTGGTTGTCAAGCTTAATAAATTGACTACCATCACTACTACTATTATTTTCCCAATATATTGAAGACTTCTGTTTGCACTTTGGCAGTTGCATTTTGGCAAAATATTTTTAGTTATACATATAGATGATTCAAATTACCAAATATGTAACTAGGAACTGTTTTTAATATTTTTTTCTTGAATTTCAGCACTAATTTAAGAAACTAGACATGAGACACAATGAAGGCAAATTTGATGAGAATTCATATTGTATGCTACTGAAAAAGTGTAAAGAAAAATTACTATGTGATTTCTGTGACAAAACATTTGATAGCAGGTATGAGGTTCTTTATCCTATTTCTGAAGTGCATATGGTGATTATTTCTAGGCCTTTGAAACATCTTTTTTTTTTTAAAGACAATTCACACCAATTGACTTTGTCCCATGCTAAGCTGGTGAAGCTTGTGTTATGGGTACTAGGAAACGGATATACATACATATTATATATAGATAGATAGACATATAAATACATATTTAAACACCCAAGACCTAAGCGCAACACCAAATGCTCATCACATTGTTCATGTTCGTCTCAGCCGGGGATCAAACCTGGGACCCATGGATTCGCAGTCAGGGGTACTAACCACTAGACCAATGGGTTGTCAAAGAAATCTAAGATTATAAAGCTAAATTTAATGTCTTATTATTAGATGTCTAGATGCTTTGGTCATTAAAAGTATATAGTCCCATAAGGAAGCAGATACTCTAATACATTGAGATATATCTGTAACATATAATAATCTATTCTCTTCTTTCCTACACTGTTGTGTAAGCAATAATAGGAGTGGAAGTTATTTTGGTTTTAATGGCAAGGATAGTTATTAATAGTTTCTTCAACCTCATGTTATTAATTTGTTTCGCTTATTTGTTTTTATTTTACAGATATTCAAACATAATTCACAATGCACATCACATTGTTATACCTTTGTTGAAGCAGGAAGTTCACCAATGCAAAGAATGCCTTTACCATTTTCAAACAGTTAACGAGCTTGTCAAACACCTTTTAGAAAAACATAATCAAGTCTCAGCATTGCAACAAACTGCTAACAAAAGAATATATAATGTTCCAAGTACTAGCGCAGTATCAAATAAAAATTTAGAAATTATTAACATTTCGGATGATGAAGATAATATAGATAGTAAAGACAACATTTTAAACTGTTTTAAATATTTAGAAAAATCACCTGTGGAAAAAAAAATTAAGAAGGAAGATACATCTATGGTTAAGGGCTCAAAGAGCCAAATAGATACATGGAATGTGGCAATTGATAAGAGGGTGACGGTGTTTGATTTGTATGATTCTATGAAAGATATTAAGAATGAAGAATATATATTGCCGGATGTGTATTATGATGTTAAAATATCACCAAATACTGATAGAAACATCACTAATTCACAATTAACAAATACAGAGTCAATAAGTAACTGTAAAAGTTCAAGAAATAATGATGGAATGCTACAGACAAAATTAAATAAAGATAATGAAAGATGTTTAAGTATAAATTATAATGAGCTAACTCAATCATGCAATTATAAATGCAAGTATTGTCAAAATGTCAACATGTTCCCTAACAGGTATGTTTCTCAACTACTTTATAAATTATTTTATTCATTCATTAAATTTCAAGTTTTGTATAAATGAATTTGTGCTATACAGTGTTTCTTTAATTAGTAAATAAGTTGGTCAGCTATCTGTGTCTACTTGTACTGATGTAGAATTCGGAAGCCAAAATCAAGGGGTTGTAGCATCATTTGTTTTAATCATATACATTTTAGTTTTTAATTGAGTTTTAAAAGATTCTAATAATTCAAAATTCCAACATGTATTTAAAAAAAAGGGTGCGTGTACTTATGTACGCCCGTAAGAAGTTATACTTCTTTGGCATAATTAAAAATAGTTTTTGATTGCATGCAAATAATTTATAACTATAATTACAATTAAATAATCAACGACTGGAAAAGGAGTCATTATAGTCAATAAAATTCAGTTTACATTTGAAAAATTTAATAAATAAATATTAAGATTTTATTTACACAAATACAGTATTTACAATTTTCTTAACCTATAAAGTAATAATAAAAATAATTAAAGAAGAAAGAAGAAAATCAAAATAAATTAAAAAAATAAAAAATAAAAATTATTTAAATATTCTATAAAATAAATAAATATTATTATTCTCTTACAGTGTAACATAAATTCTATTATTATTCGAATGTTGTTTTTAAATTATGTGGGCAACTTCATTCTGTTAATTTTGAGTCACGGTGCGCGCGCATCGTAAAATTTCACTCTCATTAATTTTTCATAACGCGCCTAAAGAAGTATAACTTCAAAAACATTGCTTAATTCTTTCTAAGTAAGCATCTTTACCTACCATGTCACTTGTATGTACAAAAAGAACTTGTACACAGAAAAGAAATTAAAATGAAACCTTAAGATCAGAAAAAAAATATTTTTTATTCTATTTGCTTCCCTTATTTAAAAATGTGTACTTAAAAATGAAATTCTCTCTATGTCATACTAGTACCTTAAATTTTTTTGTGTAATAAAGAACCTAGTACAACTTTTTTCCTAGGCGTAACCAATTTCGGTAAAGCACTCGAGTTTTATTAATTAATTTTTAAAATAAAAAGAAGGAAATTATTTATGCAATTTTTTCTTTAGTTCATTATTATATTATATACTTTACTAGCAGACCGGCCAAGCGTTGCTGTGGCTAAGGTTTTTGTTATATTACAAAGTAGTAAACTATTCAAGGGAAACGGTAGGAGAACACCAGTCATGGGGACCACCATGCTTTTTTGGTGGTGATGCCATTAAATTGTAGCTTATGTGCAACGTTGGTACTTTCAACACAGCGCCATCTGTTAGAATTGTGACTATCAAATAATTTGCAATAAAATAATATTGCGGGTATAAATTGAGATGTTAGCTATCCTATCTTTTAAGTAAGATCAAACCGCACACGGTGTGCAAATTTGAATGAAATCGGTTCAGTAGTTTAGGAGTCCATAGCGGACAAACAACGTGACACGTAATTTATATATATTAAGATTGTTCATTATTCTTTTACAGATATGCACTGACACTACATCAAATATCACATTTAGAAATAGGAAATATCCAACCGAGTCTTTGCATTGTGTGCGACAAATATTTCAGTTCTGCCAATTTAAAAAAACATATAAAAGAAAAACATTGCAATATCATTCCGAAGAATTGTAAACTCAATACTTGTACTATATGTAATTTTAAATACCGTAGTTATAAAAAACATTTATACAATTATCACCACAGTTTGTTTAGTTGGGAGAGTTGTCCAGAGCCCATCACTTTGAGTAATATGCATAAATCACATGGCAACATTGCTTTGAAAACTATATATCACATAAGTAGTTCCGATACAGATATTGTTGAATTATGTGGTAAGTGTTTCAAGAAGATGAACAATTCTAATATTAAATGCATAAAAGTCAGCACATGTAAGAAGCCGGGTTGTCAGTTTGAATGCACTAATTGCCATGATGAGTTTTTAGAGATAAATTTTGTGGAGAAATGGCATCAGGTGTTTGTGAGTCGGTTTAAGTTTGAGGAAGATGTGAAAAAGAGAAAGAAGAAGACAAATGAAGATCGGTTGAGGAATATTCAGATGCGATTGAAGATGATTAATAAATTGAGTCGGTTTTATGTCTGGTTTTATTTATAAAAGAATTACTAAAATAACCTCAAAACCCTCAAAAATATAAAAAAGGGTGCGTGTACTTATATACGCGCGTAAGAAGTTATACTTCTTTGGAATTATTAAAAATAGTTTTTGATTGCATGCAAATAATTAATTACAATTAAATAATCAAAGACTGGAAAAGGAGTCATTATAGTCAATAAAATTCAGTTTACATTTAAAAAATTAAATAAATAAATATTATTATTCTCTTTACAGTGTAACATAAATTCTATTATTATTCGAATGTTGTTTTTAAATTATGTACAATGCCGTAGCATCTTCCGTGGGCAACTTCATTCTGTTAATTTTGTGTCACGGTGCGCGCGCATCGTTAAATTTCACTCTCATCAATTTTTTATTTTTCATAACGCGCCTAAAGAAGTATAACTTCAACAATATAAGCCGTTTATTCTCTCTCTCGGCTGTAACTGTCAAACATAAGCACATTAAAGTATTATTTAAAACTAGCAATACCAACATTTGCACTTAGATACTGAATTTTTAAAATAATTTTTCATTACAAAGACCGTAGTACCTGACTGACTATTTATTTTTTTTGTCCTACCCTGGAATCGAACCAAAGACCTCATGATGTGTAGTCAAACATGCTAACCACTAGACCCATGTGTTAAATAATAAATTGGTAAAATATTAAACATTGAAAACCTCGTCAGACAAAGAATTATAAAGGTAAAAAATTTATTCAATTTTTAAATACATAGAACGGGATTTTTAATAAAACTTTACATCATACAAAAGAAAATTTAAAAGAAACGTGTGTATACTTCTTTGGCGTAACAAGATAAAAATCTTTTCAAACATTTTATTCTACGTTTGTAGAAAAAACGACACTAACAATAGAAAAAAGGGGTTTAATACATTGAAAGGTTTATTATAACGCATTATCTAGTTAAATAAAAAGTGACTATAGTTAACTTCAGGGTGTCGGTTGTTTGTGACGGTACGCGCGCAGCGTATTGTAAAAATTTATATTCATCATGTTTCCCTAACGCGCCAAAAGAAGTATAACTTCAAAAACACAGGAAAACACGACGTGTATTGTACTTAATAACTATTACTAACAAATACTTTAACAATACGCTTATTACAAAATTAAAAGGCTACCCTTCACACGCCCCCAACATAGCCCATCTCTGGATTCACTACATTATTTTATTACTAGGCTATTAACGATGATGACTAATATTTTAGAAACCTGTAGGAAAGTATCGATTGCCAACGGAACTGGCTTGGCAGAGCTAACAGACTTTCTGTAACGTTCCTAGATTTGATCGTCGTGGCAACAGCGAAGGCTCAAAAGTAAATTGTTACTATGCTTTTTCTTTCATTTAATTTTATTTATCAGGAAACACAAATCACGCTTCGAAATATTAATAAAATTAGCGAACCCGACAGACGTTGTCCTGCATGATATTTCAAGCGATTAGGATATTAAACAAAGTATGAAAGTACCTACTGCAGCGCCATCTGTCGGGCTGATTTGTGAATCTAAACCATCCAGGGCTCCACCCAAACGCATACAAAAAATCATTCAAATCGGTCCAGCCGTTTAAGAGGAGTTCAGCGACATACACACGTACAGTAGTAGTATGTATATGTAAGCTATCCTATCTTTTAATTTAGATCAAACTGCACTCGATGTGAAATTAAAATTAAAATTTGATTGAAATTGGTTAAGTATTTTAGGAGTCCATAGCGGACAAACAAGGTGACGCGTAATTTATATATATTAAGATATAGAATTAGAATATTTAAACGAAACCATTTTTTTTTCACAAAAAGAAACTACAAGACGGGACGGCCAATTGGACAATAGAACATTAATAAAATCATAAGAAGACGAAAATACATACAATACACGGTTTATTTATCTAATATATAAAATTCTTGTGTCGCGGTGTTTGTGGTTGAACTCCTCCGAAACGGCTTGACCAATTCTCATGAAATTTTGTGTGCATATTGGGTATAACTGAGAATCGGACCACATCTATTTTTCATCCCCCTAAATGTTAAGGGTAGTCAACCCCTATTTTATTTTTAGTTTTTTTTATGATACAGCATTAAAAAATATATACAACCCCTAATTTTCACCCCTCTACGATCAACCCCTATTTTGTATTATAAATGTGGCAAAACGACGTTTGCCGGATCAGCTAGTTTATTTATAAAAGCATGCCAAAGTTTGGCACACTGATACATTGGTACAAGAAAAATAAAATACAATTTTTAATGTGACAAGCACAGTGTTGGCCTAGTGGCTTCAGCGTGCGACTCTGATCCCTGTGGTAGTACGTTCGATCCCGGCTGTGCACCAATGAACTTTTACTTCTTTCTATGTGCGCATTTAACATTCGCTCGAACGATGAAGGAAAACATCGTGAGTAAACCGGCTTGCCTTAGATAAAAAGTCCACGGCGTGCGTCTTGCCTATTAGATTGACAAATGATCATGAAACAGATACAATCTGAGGCCCAGAACTAGAAAGGTTGTAGCTCCACTGATTTTTTTTATTACGAAGAGATAGTAAAAACATAAAAACAATAAATTATAAAATCTAAACGAAAATCAATGATATAGATATTTTATAATAAAAATATTTTTTGATAAATCATAATATTTGACGACTCATTGGTCTAGTGGTTAGTACCCCTGACTGCGAATCCAGGGGCCCGGGTTCGCCCCCCGCTGCGGGGACGAAAATTCGATGTTATAGATTTGGTGTTGCTAGCTTTTTAAATATGTATTTATATGTCTTTCTATAGATATTTTATGATAAAAATATTTTTTGATAAATCATAATAAAGATATTTTGCTCGCCAGCACCTTAGCTAAAAGAGTAATGTTCAATATTCATCCATTTTTCCCCGCTAGTTCTATTACTTAATCTGTCTTACTTTTCTTTTGTAGTCCTATACACCTCTTTCTAGTCCAGTCAGTCCTGATCGATGCCGTCCATGCGTCCGTCGTGCTGTCTCTGTCCCTAAAATATGGCGAAGGGGGCCGATGGCTGGCCATGCGTCATACTCGTGAACGGGTGCTACTTGTGGTGACTAGGAATTCGTGTATATATGCGGTGATGTTAGTTACTTCGACTATGTATTTGCGTGTTGTTCCCACGAGGATGTAAGTGCGTGCTCCTATTTCACCATGCATCCTGCTGATAGAAGACAAATCTTTATTTTTAATTCATGTTATTATTATTAATTACTTAAGATGTCATGTGGAACATGGTGTAATGGTTGCAGCTCCTTACAAACATTATGTAAAACAAAAAACTTGGCGATTAAAAAGAGGGGCGGAGAGTTTATTGCCAGTTCTACTCTTCCGTTCTACGCCCTTGATTTGAGCACTGGCAGTAAATGTAAAATTAGAAGCATGTAATGTATATTTCTTTTTTGACGTTCATAAGTGTACATTGTGTTACCTAAATGAATAAATGACTTTGATTTTTTTGATTTAGACCGATTACAACATTTCTTGTTTTGTGTATTCTTCTAAACTGTATAATGCTTCCTTTTTTTTCTTTATTTCTACTAACAAATCAATTAATCTGTTCTTTAATTAATAAAATAAATTCACACCGACGACATTTCAACGTAATTTCTAATAATAACAACAAAGAAGTGTTTATAATTAAAGTAATTGTTTTTGCCAAGTAGGTTATTTTCATTTTATCCGCACAAATTTTGTAATTAATTTTGCGTGGATTTTGTATATGTATATGTTTTATATATGTGGGGAAATATTTTAATAACCAGGAATGCTTTGAATCTAGTTTTTCTTTAAAATGTGGTCGTTTATTTAATGTTTCAGTTTTTTGATATCTATAAATGTAATTAATTCTGTTTCGTATATTAATTTTATCTATAATCTGTTTTGGCTGTGTATATTGTCTAATTGTTTTCTTTTGTGTGACTTATAAATAAATAAATCACTTGCTCAGGTTCTACTATCATTATTCTGCCTTCATGACCATGCACCACTGAAATGGCGTCTCACGTTTATGTACGCAATTTCAATAGTTCTCTGAATATCCATAGTGCAGCGTTGCGATTCTGTAAATCACTTTTTGAACTCTCACAGTGGTTTTCGCAGCGGCGGTCGCGCTCAAATCAGTCGTGAAACAGTCATTTTACGATTTGGCATTCTGAAAAACGATAAACTACAATTCCCTCCGCTTGTCAAGACGTAATGTGAAATTGCTTAACAGAATACCATAATAATAATAATAATAATAATAATTAAGCCTCATTTATTCCTTGAAAAATTTACAAAATATACACACACACATAAAATACATACATATATATATATATACATTTTGTTTTTCCAAGGACCTCTTAGTGAGTGAGTTTATAACAGTACTTCAAAGCATAATGCAAAAGCTTAATTGGACACATAAAGAAACATCTCTACAATTAGAGGAAATGATAAACGAACTCTGTTGTATTACCGAACAAAAACAAAACAAAAATAATGACAAATCACGTACAAGATCCTGTCCAAATTAATGGATACCCCTTAGAATACGTGCAACAATACATATATTTGGGTAAGGAAATATCTTTTAAAAATTCACGGCATCATGACGAAGTTGATAGGAGAACTAGGATATCATGGAACAAATTCTGGGGATACAAAGAACTACTGAAGGCAGAGATACCAATATACTTAAAAAAGAATGTCTTAGACACGTGTATATTGCCATGTCTTTCTTACGGTTGCCAATCATGGATATATGACTCGAACACAAATAGAAAAATAACAACTTGTCAACGAGGAATGGAACGCAGTATACTCAATTTAAAACTGAAGGACTAGATCAGAAGTACACAAATAAGAAACATAACAAAGGTTATTGATGCTCTGTCCTATTGCAAAAAACTTAAGTGAAAATGGGCGGGCCATACCGCTCGAATGAATAATGGCAGATGGACAAAAAGGGTAACAAAGTGGAAAGGGCCACCAGGAAAAAGAAAGCGTGGTCGCCCTCTTGCACGGTGGGCCGACGAGCTTAAGAAAGGTGGTGGAGAGGATTGGGAGAAAAATGCTCAAAACAGAGAGAGATGGAGTCAACTGGAGGAGGCCTATACTCAATAACAGAATACCATGAGTCCAAAAATGACGTGAGTGACGAAGGGAGCGTTGTTAGTGCGAGGTGAACTCACGGACGAACAATCGCACGGCAGAGGTCGCTGTGTTCGTTACTGAGTTTCTTAGAGATATCTAACTGTTATAAAACCCGAGACTACATAATCACTTGTCATGGTTGGGTGCTGAAAAGCAGTTAAATTTATTAGATATTTCATTCTAAAGGGAACGCTTTATAATGAAAAATCGTAGGATTCATGATGGACAGAAGGCAAACGAAAACGCGCAAAGTTTAGATTTAAAGACATTTAATATTCTCTTAACAGACTATAGTCACATGAGAACTTATATACTAAATATAGCCAGGCTGTCTTGCACTTTTTATATTTTGTGGAAGTTTATTAGACCGCTCAATGTTTTTTTACCGTTATTGGTTCTATATTTAGGTAGAATTAGATTATGAGAGCGTTGTGAACAGCACTTCTTCATTTGATTAATTTTAGTGAAAGTAATATAGTCATTTAAAATTTTGTAGATTAAATTGTAAGTTTACCGTCAACCACACCACACCCGCAACACCAGAAGGTTTGCCGGTCGGTAGAGAATGGCAGCTGGTACACCTTACCTTTCTCCTTTTCGAATCTCTCATTCAACATCTCCACATTGTTCGCGTAGTTGATGTCTGCTTTGTCCAGGAGATGTCTCAATTGCAGAATGTCCCAGTCTACTTTGCTGTTCGCTTCGGCGATCGCTCGCTCGAATTGTGCCTCCTTCGCCGCTAACACTTCTTTCAGATTTCTCAACTGGAATTTTATATCATTTAAGTGATGGTATTGTATTTCGTAATCCTACAGCTAACATAAATTATATATAACAAACAATTCAACTAGTATATCTCTAGTCAAAGATGGAATATATATATACAAAAAGGTTAAAACATTTACGAAAAAAAAAAAAATTAAATGCAGTTAACTCAGTAATACATAGTAAGCACAAAAGCTGGCGCGGCCGCAGAGATTTTGTTAGCTTTGGAGTAGAGACTCTTGGGCCATAGGGATCAAGTGCTCAAGCGCTAATTAAAGATTTAAGATGGCGCCTGGTAGATGGTACCGGTGACCCCAGAGCTGGTGTTTTCCTCAACGAATAAGTATCACAATACAGCGAGGAAATGCTGCCAGCGTCTAGGTACACTGCCACAGGAATCAAACTTTTTCAATTTGTTTAAATTATCTAATGATATATTTAAATTATAATTAGTATTACTTTGTAGATTAAGAATATTGTAGTATTAATACTGTATATTTGTAAAGTAATGTACGAGAATGTAAGTGCGTGCCTATTTCATCATGCCTTCTGCTGATAGAGGACAAATCTTTGTTTTTAATTTATTTTATTATTATTTATTACTTAAGATGTCATGTGGAACATGGTGTAATGGTTGCAGCTCCTTACAAACGTTGTGTAAAACTTGGCGATTAAAAAGAGTGGCGGAGAGTTTATTGCCAGTTCTTCTCTTCCGTTCTACGCCCTTGATTTGAGAACTGGCACTAAATGTAAAGTTAGAAGCATTTCATATACATTTATTTTTTTGACGTTCATAAGTGTACAATGTGTTACCTATATGATTAAATGATTTTTGAATTTAATAACTAATTCGGCCATGTTGTGTGATGGTGTCTATGTGGGGTGAGATTATGATTATGATATGATTTAGCCCTATTAATATTCTTAACACTCATTTTAAGTATATATTATTATTAGTATTGTCTTTGATTAACATAACTTTTATTCATTTAATAAAACACTATTTTGACCGGATTGAAGTTATGTATTATTATAAATTTACAACTATTTAACATAATTTTAAATTTATCCGACGTTTCGCGTGCTTTACATTTATAATAATACATAACTTCAATCCGGTCAAAATAGTGTTTTATTAAATATATTATTATTATTATTATTATTATTCAGTGGCTACAAGTCTATGTGGTATAAACAAGTAGTAAAGAAGAGTTGTAAATATAGTAATTACGAAATTGTAATTACTAAATACAATTAGCTATTTAATGCATAATAGCCGATGCATCTTGCAGCGTTGAACCCGTGCAAAAATAACGCAGTATTTGGCTGCGTTGAGAGCAGAGAAGCTGTGGAGTTTTTTTATTTATATTTTTTTTATATAATAGGAGGAAAACGGGCAGGAGGCTCATCTGATGTTAAGTGATTATCAACGCCCATGAAGTCACATTGCTAGAATTTGCTCAACATTGCTCGCAAGGTTGACGGCCTTTCAAGAAATACGCTCCTTTCTTGATGGATTAAAATAACTTTGAGGTCGGAAAAATGATTTTAATTTCCTTAAAGAAATTGAAAAACGTTCTATTAGAGATTTAGTGGTTCCTTTCATAGTGCAGGCTTGAAAGGTCTGTTTAGATTTGTGTGTTATTTCTTAAATTACCTCTATTTATTATTTTCTTGTTTTGTGTTGTGTCGATTAATAGTCGGCGCGAAGGGATTAATTAATTAGGTATCTAAATGTTTCTGTGTGAAACAAAAATGTTGTAACACAAAAAGATTTTTGGGTCTCATTCTCATGTCGTTTCTATAGCATATAAGTTTTTGATTGGAATTTTGAAATGTTTGAGAGCATAAATAAAATAAATACCCATTCAAACGTCTAAAAATCTTTAATGATAAATAATAAGATAGGCCGTTTATTTCGAATCTTTACAATATACACTTTAGATGTGTTATATACTTTTTACACGCTTTATATTAGCTTCACCTGTATGTATGTATGTAACCGCCTCCTTCGGACTCGATTTTGACCCACTTTTAACGGACAATGCAATAATCCGAAAAAAAATGAAAAAATTTAACTAAAAAATTAATAATAGTTTAAAAAAACGCTGTGTGCCATATGCAACCCACGCTTTTTACATTACATATTTACCATCTTTTTCTTATTTTTGTTGCTATAATTTACTTGTCAACAAAAATTTCTAAAAATTATAAAATATCTGTTCAAGTAATTTTCATGGCCTTAACAGCGCAGTCGGTCTCACTCTGTCTCATGCCGTAGATAATGCTCTCGCGCTCCCACTCACAGAGATATTAAAATTTAGTTTAGGGGATGATTGGCCCCTTGGATCGGTCTGTCTTGTCAAAGCTTTTAAAATAGTTGTCGGATGAACATATATAAAAATGGAGCGTCAGAATTTACGTGAAGTTGACTAATTATTTTGAGACCCTTAAAGCGTCTGTCAACAATATGGCCGACGGAAAGTGTCTGGAGTATAGACAATTTATTTTTTAACTATACACTCGAAAACATATATAAAAATCAGCCATGAGAATTTACGTGAAGTAAGTAATGTTTTTGTGTACCTTGATTACCTGATACCTGGAAATTGGCCGTTTGACCAAGCTAGCAGGTAGGCATACGATCATAGTACACTAATACTACTCAATCGTCCACATTTCATCCGTCAGAAAATACGTGACGTCTGGCGGCTCTGGGATCTTGACCACAGTATTTTTGTTCATTACCATTTTCAGCCGAAATTAGAAATTATTTTTCACTTTTTAGTTTGATGTGCTTTAAAAGCGTGTGATCTAGTTTTTTTAACTATTATTTATTTTTTACAACTTCCTTCAGTATCATTGAACCTCCGCCATGGCTATCTTTCTCCGTTCGCTCGCTGCTTAAACGTACCTATCTATCTTCTATCCACCTTTTTTTAGGGCGCTCTCTTCTCCTTCCCCTCGGTCCTTTCCATACAGTTGTCTAGAAACCAACCTTTACCTGGAAAAGAAAGTGCTCTAGAAAAAAAACTAAATCGTTCAATAATATCAACCTAGTTTCAATATTAAAAAGTGCGTAAAAAGAACGGCAGAAGTGAAACTTCTTTGTAAATTAATTATTACTAAGGTAAAAGCCCCAATAGATGATCATGTACCAGTATATGATCACTCCATGTATTTGAATATCTATACTCACACCGTTAACGTGCTAATGATTATATAAATAAATAAAAAATATGCGTTTACTGCACAAGACGCTATGCGACAGAATTGCCATCTAAAATTCTAATATGTAACTACTAAACGAATACATCAACCAATAGCGTGTATTTTTTCACGATCTTCTTACTCTCTATCTCAAACTTTCTCACTAAAGCTCTCTCCCACCTCTCGCTCCATGACACTTTGCGTGATACGACGTTCACTCTTACTCACTCTCTCTCTCGATCTTTCTCACTCGCTGGCTCCCTACTCTCGCTCCATGGCTATTTGCTTCATGCTACGTTCGCCCTTTCTCACTCTCAATCGATCTCAATCGCTTTCTCCCTTTTCTTCGCAAAAACGCTGCAAATCTTCGTGACGCTAATATTAGGTCCTTACATATGAAATTGGCGTATTTCGTACTGGCCACTTTAATCACGATGTTCTCCTCTTTGGTAAGGAATTCCAAATTCAAATTTGTACAGCTATTTACTCATGTATTTGTGCTTCGATGACTTCGTCATTCACTTGTTTTTTTCTGTTTGCGTCACTCATTTTACAAAATGGAAAACTTAAAGTATCGCATTATTTACGAGTTCGAGTTCCGCCGTGGCACTAGTGCTGCGGAAACGACTCGAAGGATCGTCTCGCTCGAAGAACCGGCACAATAATGAAGGTATTTTAAAACGAATCATTACCTGTGATGAAAAATGGATTCTTTACGATAATCGGAAGCGCTCAGCGCAATGGTTGGATCCTGGCCAGCCAGCCAAATCCTGCCCCAAGCGAAAATTAACCCCAAAAAAGTTACTTGTAAGCGTTTGGTGGACTAGTGCCGGTATTGTTCATTGCAGTTTTCTCAAATCTGGCCAGACTATTACGGCTGATGTCTATTGTCAGCAATTGCAAACCATGATGGAAAAGCTAGCGGCTAAACAACCTAGGCTGGTCAATCGCTCCACGCCACTGCTACTTCACGACAACGCTAGACCACACACTGCACAACAGACGGCTACCAAATTAGAAGAGCTTCAATTGGAATGTCTAAGACATCCTCCGCACTCCCCGGACCTTGCTCCAACAGATTACCATTTTTTTCGTAATTTGGACAACTTCTTGCAAGGGTAAAAATTTAACTCTGATGGGGCAGTCCAAATCGCCTTCACAAATTTTATTGATTCCCGTCCGACTGGTTTTTTTAGTAAAATCAATGAACTACCTATGAGATGGCAAAAGTGCATAGAAAACAATGGTTCATACTTTGATTAATTAAATATATTATATTTAAAAATATTCGACTTTTTGTTCCTCCCATACAAAACGCCGATTTCATATGTAAGGATCTAATATTAATTCATCCGTAAAAAATTTCCACTCATGCGTGTAAAGAAGTTTCACTTAAAAAATCTTAAAATAAATCAAATAAATGCTCCATGCATTTCGATTTCAGCTACCTAACGTAGATTCGACCAGTGTACTACAGTACAGTGTAGTGTCCGCAAGCAAAACAGCTTGCAACTTCACAGTGCGTATAAGGACGTTTATAAAGTATATGAACAGTGTCTAATAGTGTTATATGTAGGTATATAGTGTATTTACTATTGTGTGCATGTTAAGTTTGCGAGTATTAATACGAAAGTATTCGTCAAGTGTTTTGCATTGTTATACTTATAAAAACGTTCTATATATTTCATTAATTGTGAAAGGAATACATCATTTTTCTGTGCTTCTTCTGACAAACAGTTGTCTATTATTATTACGTAGATAAACTGATGCGTGTGTAGTTTAGGAGTTTGAAAAAAACCTGTTTTTAAAAGAGTTCAAATTAAACAACACTTACCGGAAGCCTATACCAATCTGCTGTTTTGGGAATAAAGGAACTTGTACATTGGTTTAAAGAACTACCCCTCAAACTACCACTTAAAATATTTACTTACACACGCGCACACACAGAAACTAGAAGAGTAATGTATAAATGAATTTCTGTAGAAGAATCTTCAAGACCCAATACGTACTCAGCTTGTTTGAACAGAATTTAATTGATAATAAAATAGCTTCATAGTAAGGGGGCGTCCATAAATTACGTGAGGTGTTTAAGGGGGGAGGGGGTCGAGTCAAATCTCATTAAATCTTACGTTGGAGAGAGGGGGGGTCTCGGCAAATACCACGCAATTTTTTTTCTGATTGAAAAAAAAAAACTAGGAAAACGGTTGACCCTAAAGGCCATCTCTGCAACTTCCCGCTAACTCCATACCTAAACGCTCAACATTTCACTTATTTTGTTTTAGTCAAATAAAAGCACGTAGCAAATTTTTTTTACAGTAACAATCCAATGCGTTTACAACCCACATTTTGAAAAATCTCACGTGAGATTGGGGGATGGGAGAGGGGTTTGAATAAAATCTCACGACATCTCACCAGGGGGGAGGAAGTTACAGAAAATTTAAAAAAACACCTCACGTAATTTATGGACGCCCCCTAAGGTCCGAGTATTTAGTATAGTATGTTTTCAATGTGAGGAAATCGGCATGTCATGAAAACAGTCAGAAAAAAGCACTATAAAAATTAATGAATTACGTAGAAATGTGTCTGATTTTATGAACTTCAAACTTCATTCATTGGTAAACTTTGTGAGCAGTTGACCTAGTGTCAGCGTACGACTTTCATCCATCACCGTCTTAGACCCAAAAAGTCGACGGCGTGCATCAGGCACAGAAGGGTACCTACTTGCCTATTAGATTGATAAATGATCATGAAACAGATTCAGAAATCTGAGGCCCAGACCTAAGGAGGTTGTAGCGCCACTGATTATTTATAAGTGCAGGAAAATAAAACATTCATTCATAGTTCCTTTATATCAATTACAAAACTCTGCAATTAATTTCAAAATTTATCTATACATATTATGAAAAAAGAAAGAAAGAATTATATAAAATTGTAAAATAAGTGTTTTTACGTAAAAAAATCTATGCAGTAATATTAAAAAAAAAAAATTAATTTAGAATATTTATTTTAAGTTTAATTTACATTTAAATTTTTGTAATATAATAACAAATTACGTAGTAATTATAATTAAAAATCAAAGTAATTAAGATTTAGTAATACTTGTATTTAAACATATTTTGTGCCAGCAGTTGCGGTTATACAAAAATTTAAATAAATTTTATTAGTAATAAACTGGGAATAGAAACTTTATTTTAAAAAATTAAAGTAAATTACGAAAATAGTATACATATAATTATTATTTATTGAAACTAATCCAATCTCTTTTGAAATGTAACTTTTTGGTGTCATCTGTTTTGTTACGTCTAGTAATGGAGGTTTAATCACAACCTATTAACAATAAGACACGAAAATGTGTAAGTAATAAACAATACAAACAACAACTTTTAAATATGTAACAATTTTATTAAGGTTAATAATATCCGCATATTGGAATGTATTCCGCTAAATCTATATATATATATAAGAAAAATGGTCTTCGTTTGAGGCTCCTTCATGCCTAAACCACTGATCGTATCGACATGAAACTACTGCCATTCGATGCGAAATTTTATTATTATTCGTAGATGGTTTATGGCTATTTATTTTTTAATTCCAACGTTCCTTCATTTTTTATTGCTGTTTTACTTTTATGAAAATTTATACATACGGACTTCACCGCGAAAACATTCGGGGAGGCTTCCTAGAACCTCAAAACGTCAACATCTGTTAAAAACTCGATTTTCGAAAATTTTCAATTTTCTTAGCGGGAAGTTAAAAAGAAGAATAATAAAAATATGAAAAAATAATAATAATGAAACATAAAATTTTATTTATTTCCTATTTTAATTCGCCCAGCAAAGCGGGCGGGAAACGGCTAGTACTATATAACCAATGTTTGAGGCTCGAACAAAACATTAAGTAGGTTATATATTGTTTCTTATTGTTGTTCTTTAATCTCTGATTTATTATAATCTGTGCAACGCGGGCACGCGTCCGATGACGCAACTATTTTGACACATTTTTAAGCCCCAATGACCGCGGACATCTTTCATCTCCCAGCTGTTATTGGCAATACGTCAAATTTATGAGAGTACAAATAGAAAATAATTACGCTAAATGCTCATTACTTATTAAACTAATCTTCAGTATTATGTCTGATCTCGAAAATTTTATGTTATGTCCAAAACAACCGGTTTTATTTCATAAAAAAATATGTTGTCTCACGTCTATTTAATGTTTAGTACGAATTTTTATTAAATTAATAAATTATTTGCAAGAATATGGTACAAAAATGTTATGGTGGTACAATCTAAAGTTCGCATATTCGGCCACACATACTCGTAACTACTACGTTATCCAATTAATATTAAATTGTTTCACGTAAATAATTATTAAAAGAGTAGTACATTAAAGTCGATTTTTTAAAACTCTAGTAGCTAACTCTATCTTTTAATGTTTTTATTAAATTATTATAAACCTTGATTGCCATATAAGAGGTGTTTTGCGCATGTATATTTGAATTAAATAAGCTATTGCATATATAAACTGCTATGTTCGTTATTGGATCGAAGTTATGTATATTTCAGATTTATATTGCCGACCCGGCAAACGTTTGTTTTGCCATGAACAAAAAAAATTTTATAAAATAAAATTGGGGTGGAGACCCCTTATCACTTAGGGGTTTGAAATCTAGATAGTAGCCAATTCTCAAACTTTCTAAATATGCATAAAAAATTTCATAAGAATCGGTCGAGCCGTTTCGGAGGAGTATGGGAACGAACATTGTGACACGAGAATTTTATAAATATTATAGAGATTAAATAATAATAAATTGCTTTGTTGACGGATATTTTTTAGTCATATAGACAATTTTTTTAAATGTAATGAGAGGCAAAGCATCGGTAAGCATCGGTAAGCATCGGTACGCTCTTTTATTGAAGTCGAATTGGTTCGGAAATACTTCAGTGGGTGAATTATTTTTTAAACTATGATCAACGGATATGATGGATATGATGCGTGAATGTTCTTTTGAGTCTTTCATTATGTTTCAAGGCCTAAGGCCGTTTCTCCACTGCTCCGGTCCGGCAAACGTTAATTACCGATCCGATTTAGAAACTCACAACAGTACTTACGTACTTCTCCACTACTCCGGCATCCGGTTTTTAACGAGCCGATAACTTGCTAGATCGGAACGCGGTGTATTATCGGTCCAAGTATCCAAGAGGTTATAAATTATTATTCACAGGTTTATTTTTATAGCTTGTTTAATTTGAAAGAATCTGGATAACCTGGACCAAATCAAATTATGTTGCTATTTATTTATCTTTTATACCATAGTACTTGTGAACTATTTATTAAGAAGATTATAATATTTTAAGATAGACAAGATAAAAAAGTAATAAACTTGCCAGGGCAATAAAATATTCAGAATTTAGAACGTTTTATTAATAAAATAAAGTATATGGGTTTTAGTTAATATAGGTGTTGCATGATAAATATATACAAGTATCGATTATTGTCGGATCGGATATAGTGGAGAAGCGCAATCCGGCCTTCGGATATTTTTCGCATGACTATTCCGGTATCCGACGCCGGACCGGAGCAGTGGAGAAAGGGCCTAACAAGTTCTTTGACATTATGAACGCCATCATTGTCACGAAATATTTGCAACATTACTCTGGATTTTAAAATAAAAATAAATCAATAACAGTGCAAATAAAAAAATAAACATAGTTAATATACATAGTTTACAACCTTCTTAGGCGTGGGCCTCAGATATTTGTTTCATGATCATTTGTCAATCTAATAGGCAAGTAGGTGACCTCCTCCATCCACGCTGTAGACTGTTTGGGACTAAAGCAAGCCGGGTTCCTCACGATGTTTTCCTTCTCCGTTTGAGATGTTAAATACACAGAAAAAGAAAGTCCATTGGTGCACAGTCGGGGATCGAACCTATTACCCACTAGGCCAACAATGCTCTCCTCTGGATTTTTGAAGTGAAACTTCTTTAGGCGCATGAGGGTAATTTTTTTACGGATTGAACGTCACGAAGATGTGCAGCGTTTTTGTCGAGTAAAGGGAAGGAGCGATTAAGACCGATTGAGAGAGAGAAGGGCGAATTAACTTATATAAATTCTATTTTTTAAATTAAAATTTCGTAAAGAGAATTTATGAAATATTAGAATTTTATATTGAATTGTAAATTAAAATGCCACGTGTTTATTATCGAAATGAATTAAAAAAATTAAATTAATTATTTGTATTAATTTTCGACACTTTTAATATTTTAATGACAATTAAATGCATTAAATTACTAACATTTCTTCCTTTTTCCCTTCCTCTAAGTCTCGGAAATCTAAAGTTTTATCTTTGTATAAATATGAACAAACTTAAAGATTAGTTTGCCAAAGAAGTTTCACTTCTGACTTTTGTACTTTGTACGTACGCACTTTTTTATAAAAAACATAATATCCCGTTGTTTTTGAGTATCTAATAGCGATTAGGTTTTGATTTGTCGGTGACAAACCATCTTTTGAAATATTGTTTACAAACCTATTCAATAATGTAGACAATTATTATTCCTGGCAACATTGCACGTGACATTTAGCCGTGTGCAGTGCTCTAAATAATGGAATTTGGGCCAATCAATTCCTCATTGTTAGCACAAATACTAGATTTATGTAATTCAGACTCGCAGACACGCGTTTGTAAAGTCTTTTGCGGGAATGCATTAATTTGAATGCAGTGTTTATGTTCTACTAGTAGACCATGCCATGCCATTAAATTGTAGCTTATGTGAAACGTTGGTAATTATTTGATAAGGATCAATACCTAGGTACCAATAAAGAGCCTTTTGTAGCGGTGGTATTTTAATAAAAAAATAATAATAAAAGGACGCTTATTGTGACGTAACTATAAAAGATAGAGACATGCTGTCGCGACATTTTTTATAGATAGTGATGTGTCCTGAAAAATTGTAATACATCATTTTGTTCTATCATTAATAGTTTTCGCAGCGCACACGATTGAAGGAAATTTTTTGTTTATTTTTTTACACCTTGGGTTAGGTTCAAGTTTTAGTAAGCATCCCTATTTTTTTTGAATATGAAACATAGCCTATGTCACTCGGGAATAGTGTAGCTTGCCAACGGTGAAAGAATTTTTGAAATCGGTCCAGTAGTTTCGGAGACTATTCATTTCAAACAAACAAAAAATCAAACCTTTCATCTTTATAATATTAGTATAGAAAATAACGTATGCATACAATTAATGATAATAATAAGGAGGGAGCTTGTAGTTTATTGTTTATCAGAATGCCAAAATCGTAAAATGACTGCTTTACGACTGATTTGAGCGCGACCGCCGCTGTGAAAACCGCTGTGTGAGTCCGAAAAGTGAGTTACAGAATCGCAAGGCTGGGATGACAGTCGCACGCTGCGTTTGTATATATACTTATACTTTGAATACACTTTGAAACACAATCAGTACAGTCTACATTTGTCTTTATGCTTTGTAATGAGAGTGATAAAGACAAAATATTGATTAAACGGGTCTTATCTATTTTAATACATTCATCGAATCGATAAATCTGTTGCGTTGAAAGTGATAATTTTTCAAGCAATTTTATCAAAATTTTTGTAATACATAATTGAGATTTATTTCGAGGTTTTGAAAGTCTGCCACAATTCGACATATAAAAAAATTTAAAAATCGACGTGTCGTGCTTTGTTCCATGATCCTCTTAGACCGGGAGATAGTGACACAAAATAGTGGGTCATTTGTACGTATGTATGTATGGCGGTTCAGGGGTCTTATTACGCAATGCAAAAAAAGGAAAAAGTTGGTACCGGTACCGGCCCAAGCGCGTGGGCGTTAGTCGAACTCGTCGGATTAATTAGTGTTCCATAAAAATTCTAGTATTTTCCGATAGTCCATCTATACCAATATTATAAAGAGGAAAGGTTTGATTTTTTGTTTGTTTGAAATGAATAGGCTCCGAAACTACTGGACCGATTTCAAAAATTCTTTCACCGTTGGCAAGCTACACTATTCCCGAGTGACATAGGCTATGTTTCATTTTCAAAAAAAATAGGGATGCTTACTTAAACTTGAATAATCTAACCCAAGGTGTGAAAAAATAAACAAAAAACTTCCTTCAATCGTGTGCGCTGCGAAAACTATTACCTAATGATAGAACAAAATGATGTATTAAAATTTTCCAGGACACATCACATCTATAAAAAATGTCGCGACAGCATGTCTCTATCTTTTATAGTTACGGCACAATAAGCGTCCTTTTATTAATTTTTTTTATATTAAAATACCACCGCTAGAAATGGCTCTTTATTCGTACCAAGGTATTGATCCTTATCAAAATAATAACCAACGTTTCACATAAGCTACAATTTAATGGCATAACCACCAAAAAGGCATGGTGGATTGGTGTTCTCCTGCCGTTTCTCTTGAATAGTTTACTACTATGTAATATAACAAAAATCTTAGCCACAGCAACGCTTGGCCGAGTCTACTAGTAAAAAAATAAGAGGCGGCAGTGTCATGCCATACTTTTCCGGTGTGACTTACAGCCCGCCATACTGACGCGTCCATTAAAAAAGTACCTCCGATGGTACAAATGACCCACTCTCCTGGCCTATCTAATAAAAAAGTTCGCACAGCCCGGACATACAGCAACCAATATTTAAGCCTTGACTTGTTTAAGCTATCGCGTAATAAAAAACTGCTCAGTTTTGTCTTTTCGACCAACAGCCCTAGGACATACAGCAACTCTCGTGGCGCGCCGCGGGGTGTTAACCCCGGCTTTTTTTTTGGGGGGGAACACCAATATTTAAGCCTTTCGACTTGTTTAAACACCTGCTATAATCGTTACGCACCAGCGAGAGCATAGATTTCTTCGTCCGCACCAGCTGTAATATGCCTGTTAGAGAAGTTAAAAGGAGTATTAAGGATATCCATAGCGCCAAATCACCTGTATTATGAGCACAACATACACACCTTCACGTACATTCACACACACATCACAAAACTAGGTATTACTTATTTAAATAGGATTTTCATTGTTTTTCCCTTTTGTAAATGTTTCAACCTTTTTGTATACCTATATGTAATAATTCTTTATTTACGCCATTTGAAACAATACGATTACAATTAAGAAAGTAGTGGGAGACTGGTTTCCAAGCTTCCATTTCACGGCAAAGTCATACTGAGTCATAACAATAAAAGTACATATATGAGTAGGCCAGTGTATTCCATCTCTGGCTATTTCTTTAGCTTTAATTGTCATAAATTGCACTAACTCTTACAGCTTAACGAATGACAAGACGGCAATGAGTGACGCGCGATCGGTAAGCGACTCCGAATGTTCAAGTTGTGAGGAAGACGTGGACTCTGGGATAGCTGATGAACCAGCCCCACAGAGACGGGACATTGACTGTATGGATTTAGCTGAATTCTTCGCCTATTGGTAAGTTTTTTCTCACTTATATGTTCACGGAGCGAAGATGGTTGACTTTTATTTAGAGTCGGTTTTAGGTGAAACTTCTTTAGGCGCATAAGGGTAGGTAATAAAAGGGGAAACGTCACGAAGATGTGCAGCGTTTTTGTTGAAGAAAAGGGAGAGAGCGATTGAGACCGATTGAGTAAGGGAGATCGAGAAAAAATACACGCAATTGGTTGATGTATTCCTTTATAGTTACATGTTAGAACTTTAGATGGCAATTCTGTCGCATAGCGTCTTGTGCAATAAACGCAGATTTTTTATTTATTTATATTATCATTAGCACATATACAGTGTGTAAACAGTGTGAATATAGATATACAAATACATGGAGTGATCATATACTGGTACAGGATCATATATTGGTGATTTTACCTTAGTAATCATTAATTTACAAAGAAGTTTCACATCTGACATGTGTACTTTGTACGCACGCACTTTTTGTTTAATATTACCTCCAAGTAAGAACATATTCTTAAAGTCCAACGCACCCACTAACATGGGTGTCCATGGACGGCTGCGGCTAGTAGCATCGTTCCCCGCTTATGATAAAACATAGTCAAGTCAAAGTCAAAATCATTCATATAGATAACACAATGTATACTTATGAACGTCATAAAAATACATATAAATGAAATGCTTATAATTTTACATTTACTGCCAGTTCTCAAATCAAGGCGTAGAACGGAAGAGAAGTAATCAATAGTTAATTAATCATAATAAAATAAATAAAAATCAAAGATTTGTCCTCTCAGCAGGAGGCATGGTGAAATAGGAGCACGCACTTACATTCTCGTGGGAACAACACGCAAATACATAGTCGAAATAACTAACATCACCCCATACACGAATTCAAGTTAAAAAGAATCAAGACAAAAACTTTCTCCAGGGAACACCTTTGTAGATATTTATAAAGGTTATCCTATTTCTGTCCTCGTGTAATGGTAACTTTGTTTGTAAATGGTAATTTAGGAAGGTATAAACGAGTTCAGAAGGTAAGAAATCTATCTAATGTAGGTCTAACGCGTTTTAGAATGCTGCGTAATATAAATCTTAGATTGACGTAATAAATAAAACAATGTATAGGGAAATTATTTATTTTAAAAGATCACTAAAAATTAAATTGTTCTTATCGTCGATCTGCAAATTGACCGCCATAATCATTATCTACAACATTGACTCCCCCGCCATAATCATTATCCACAACATCAACTCCCCCACCATAATCATTATCGACAACACTCACTCCCCCGCCATAATCATTATCTACAACATTGACTCCCCCGCCATAATCGTTGTCTACGACGTTAACTCCCCCACCATAATCATTATCGACAACACTCACTCCCCCGCCATAATCATTATCTACAACATTGACTCCCCCGCCATAATCGTTGTCTACAACGTTAACTCCCCCACCATAATCATTGTCTACGACATTAACTCCTCCACCATAATCATTGTCGGCGATTTGCACGCCATTCTGAAAAAAAAAACGTAGTTTTAGTTAAGCGTGTAATAAAATTAACTGAACGCTTAAACCTTTAAAAATATTGTCTATCGCTTATTCATTTATAACTCGATGTTAATAGACAATACAAACGAGCTGTACAATAAAAACTACAATCACTGCAATGACGTCATAAGCGCCCTAAAACGCGCTAACGATGTTATTCCAACTGAGGATATATACAACTTCTCGACTTAGTCAGATTAGGTTCCTTAAAAACGCTTTTACCGGGAAAGGCGTTTGCTCCCCCGCCGTTGGTTCCCCCCCCGAAATTTTTTTTTGGTTTTGAAAAAAGGTTCTTATACTTTTAACGCTAGGGTATAGAAACATAGTCCCCTCCTCGTGAACTTCTGTCTAATGTTAAGGTGATTGAGCAGCCCCAGCGACGGCATCCAAGCCCAGGTAAATCCGAACCATCAGCAGAAGACGCCCTTTCTTTGTAAAATACAATAAGAAAATAATCAAACATTCCTGAAAGAAGAGCTGAGCCGAGCTGAGCCTTTGACATACGGCCTTTCTTACATACGCACCTCCCTAGCCTGTTCCTAAGAAGTCCACTGAAGAAATCTTCTTCATCTGAACAGTTTTAACTAACTTCAGTCTGCAACAACTAGTTTTAACTGAGATTCAAATAATTTAGTTAGTAGCCACTGAGGCCCCACCTTCTCGACTTAGTAAAACAGATTGGCGTAAAAACCTTTACCGGGAAAGGCGGGCCCAACTCGTGGTCAACTTCTTTCCTAATTTGATGGGGCCCTATCGAAAAATCCAGTTCACAAATCGCGCTACTTAGTTTCAAAATTTTAATAAACTTTGAGATTTTCACCCGAGCGTACACAATGGGACACGTTGTACTTATGATGGGGCCCTATCAGTACAAATCGCCTACTTAGTTAAACTTTGAGATTTTCAGCCTCCTCTCTTAGCCGAAAGGGAATGGTCTATAGTCCACGCTAGCCCAATGCTTATTGGAGATTTAACATTCATCCATAGGACATTATATATCTAGCGCAGGGGCCCTTTTGGGTAGGGGGCCCATGGCATTTTGCCAGCCCTGCCACCCTATTGTTACGTCACTGAGCCCACCAGTCACTAGTCAGCATTTAGACTGATCGAGAATCCTCTCTTTAGGTCAGAGGAACATCACCATTCTTCCTCAATTCTTTCTTGGCTACCTAAGCCGTTAACAAATTCACGGTAAATTGATAAATCATCAAATAACATTCTCTATTGAGACTGTCTATGGTTTTTTTATAGTATAGGGGGAAACGAGCCTATGGGACGCCCAAAAAGAGCAGTCATCACAGCCCATGGGCATTTTTAGTGGATGCGTTGCTGGCCTTTGTGGGAGTTACTCTTACTTTACTTTAAACAATTGGAGGTCGTATCTCCCAGGAAAGACTCCCACTCGAGTTGATTCCATAGCTCGCTAGTTCGCAAAAGACAGTGTATTGTGAAGCAGACCGTGGAAGTCTTCCAGCCATCAAGGTGATGCTGATGGGATCAACCCAAACAACTCTTCAGAACACTCTCCATAGTACACTTTGTAGAATACGCATAGAGACGCAATGTCTCTGTTCAGAAGAGCCGATTGGAGATTGACAATTCTACAAGCCCTGGTATTGGTATCTATTGAGCTGGTGCACAATTAAAATAACATATTTATTAATCTACTTACATCGCCTTCAAAATGGACACCACTCATATTGATCCGTTCTCTTTACAATGCTATCGAACACTAAATACATACACCGCATTATCACTGATAAGATATCGTTAAAAACTATAAGTGAGGTTTGTTTGTCACCTTGTTGCACCAAATACGAATGTATTACTTCTTCTTTTTCTTCTTTCCATTGCTGAAGGTTTGCCGTCCATCTCTTGGAGCCTGTCTTGTCCTGTGTTACATGCAGCAACTCTTAGACAGTCGCAATGCTCGTCCACTCCTTAACCGTCATTCTACCGTTTACCCTGTATTTTACCCATTATAAATAATTGAAGGAGGTGGTAGCGGTCACGTGGCATATAAAACATAACAAAATATTAATGTTAAGTTAAGTTTCAAGTTCAATCTCTGGTTACGAATGTTATTAAAATTAATTTCCCCAAGAAATAAACGTTTTTTTATGTAGTAATCAATATTGACAAATATCAAAACGATTCCTAGTAGCGGATTAAAATGTAAGATAACACAATATGATGATAGTGTTCAATTAATCAGATGATGTCCTATTAATTATAATAATAAAAAATAATAAAACTTTATCAAAAAAGGGCACACAGATGGAAAAATGTTTGATTGTAAATGTAAATTTATCTGAATAAAGGCTATTTTTATTATGCGTGAATGTGTTAGTGTGTGAATTGGGTGATAAACAACCCAATTGTTCTTCGAGAACTCGGTTTCTTTGCAGCTTGGGTTAACGCATCAGCCTTGCGATTCTGTAACTTACTTTTCGAACTCTCACAGCGGTTTTCGCAGCGGCGGTCGCGCTCAAATCAGTCGTAAAGCAGTCATTTTACGATTTGGCATTCTATAATTCAATAAACTACAAGACCTTATCATGTTTAAAAAAATTTTTTTTTTTTTAAATATTAATTAAACATACTCTGGACTGAAATTTGCTAGGCAACCCATATGGATTATATATATTGACATATTAAATTAAACATAAAATACGTTTCATTAAATAAGCATCTCGGTGAAGGTCGTTGTATATCGGGATCTTAGACCATAACGACAAATATAAGCAGTTCAGAATAGGGTAATAAAAGCACGGGGGAAGGAGAGGTCGCTTACTTCGGTCACTTCAGTAAGCTTCTGTCCTGCCCATCAGGAGATTGACCACCCCGCGACGGCCCAAGGGTTCTTGAAGGTGGCGCCCTAAAAATGTTAGCAGGTAATATATGGTCGTGATTCTTAAATACCGGCTCGCGATGAAGATGTCCGATCGAGTGGAATCCTCATATCCAATGCATCTCCAATTTGTCTCTCATTAAAAATTTCCTCAGAGTTCAAAAATAGATATTAAAAATATTACTCTTATTGGTCCAGTCGTCTTTGAGTTATGCGCTTAGCAACATATTTGCGATTCATTTATTTATATAGATGACCTCCCAAATGTGTCCGGATAACTTTAGTTTGGAACAGAATAGGCACGATCATTTAAAAGTCATTAAATGAATAAAGACATTAAACAAAAACGCTTACATTGCTACACGATTTTAATCAGGCGTTATAATTTTCTTACACGAATGTGTCCTTAAGATATGTAAATATATGTGTAATAAACTCTTTTGTTTACGTAAATTATACTGTATAGGTTTGCCAAAGAATTATATATTACAAATATATTATGTTAATTCTATATTTAGTAAACCTTAGAAACTTAATGAAAAACTTAACAGAATATATAATCTTCACCATTAGATCCCTGAACATCCACAACCCTTTATTACGG